GAAGGGAAAGCTACTGGATTGTGCCCTCCACATTCCAGTGCCATGGCATAATTCTCCAATACAATTTTTTCCTTCCCATTCTTTGTGTCTGGCTCATTAAACATGAACTGCTACCTATTCCATGTGGATGTTCTTTGAAGTAGGCTAGTATTTCATTTTGTCATGGGAGTAGAATAGCTGATGATCTCTTCCCTGCCTTTTCTCGCTGTTGCGATTAGCTGTTGCATGCGTATTCTGCCGCCTGCCTGGAGATTCTCTAGCCCTGGAGTTTGATGATGCAGCCTTGCACCTGGACTGATTCAGAGAAGCAGTCGCTTTTCATAGTTGGCTTTTGGTATTTCTTTGTAGCTAATTCCAGGATTGTTTTCTGAAGAAAGCGTGATTTTAAACAAGCCTTTTAATACATTCTGCATACACGTGTCCTCATGGGCCACGTCGCTGTTATACAGCCTGCAAATCTAGGAAAGTACAGCTGGTTCAGTATAGTTTATCCACATGATGATAAAATAAAATCCCATTGGTCCCACTCCTTCCACAAATGCATGGCCAAGTGTCCTCTTTGACAGCAGTCAGTCCTTTACTTGAAAGACTGGTAAAAGAATGTCAGCATTCTGAAGATTTTGTTGAAGTCTTTAAAGCGTTAAGGGAAAGACAGGCTGATAGTTTATTCATTCATTCATTCACATATTTATATGCCAAAAGGCCTTCCTAGGTGACTTACAACAGCATATTAAAACCTATTACAACAGTTAATTAAACATCAATACAAACAATATAAAATATTAAAAAGGCCACCAATATTCACAAGGGCTAAGGATTGATTTTTTTAAGGTGTCTTCACTTGGTGCTAAAAAGAAACCAAAGAGGGCGCCAGGTAAATTTCCCTAGGGAAGAAGTTCCAGAGATGGAGGCAGCTGTAGAAAAGGCCCTTCACCTATTTGCCACCCCTCTCACCTCCCTGAGGGGTGGCTCTCACAGAAGGGCCTCCTGTACTGATCTTAGGGAGCAGGTGGGGAAGTAGAGGTGTAGACAGTGCTTCAGATAGTTTTGATTATGTATTTATTCATTAATTTATATGCTGCCCCACTAGCCAGAGGCTCTCTGGGTGGCTTACAACAGATTTCCTTTGGCACTGTAATAAGCTAAGGGAACAGGTATTCCTTTAGCCTGTCCCTGTTCCTTTAGCCTCTGTCCCACCTTATTTTGCTTTCAACCGCCTCCCACTTTTAGAATGCAAACCCTCAGAGCTTCTTCACAATGGAATTTGGTCCTCTGGTAGAAAGAATTTGTGCAGGACAGTTTCCAGCACGAGGTTGGAGGAGGTTGACCTACACTCTTCTGAAATGTATTTTTCCCTTTTGACTTCGTGACTAGAATCAATATAATTTCAGTAAACCATGTAGATGTGAACAAAGCAAAAGGTTGTTTTGTCTGAACTGCAGCCTATGGCAATTTTGGCAGCCCTTTGATTAGAAAACCGCTTCTCTTCAAATACAGCTATTTTCATCAGTGCTGGTACGGTTTTGCATTTGCAAGCAATCACATACAATGCCTCCAATTTGTGCCTGTGAAATTTCAACCCTTTGCAAAACGGGCTGACCCTGTTTACGCACGCAGCTGAGAATGATCTGGTGGAAGGCTTCTTTTGGACAAGGGAAGGGACCATTAGAGCAGTCAAAGAACCTGTGACTTTGTTGTACCTTAAACAAAAATGAATCAACATTTCATAATTGTTACTTTTTAGGGAGGAGGTGAAGAGAAATGAATTTTCTACACTTTGTGGAACTCAGCTGAATTTTGTCATAGATATTGTAGTGTGCCACTTGGAGTCAGTATTATTTCTCGCTTGCCCAGTGTTCTTTGGATAAAGAGTGGATGTATCAAACCGTTCAAGAAATAAGAGGACCAACAACTGGGGACTTCTAGAAAAGGAATGTTATAGATAGGCTGAAAATAATAAGAGGATTAAAACATGTATGAATGTGTTCAGAATCATAATGCAGGATTGGCTTCTGTCTTGCTGGAATCATGATACATTTCTTTAAAAGGAAATAACATTCCTTTAATTCAAGATTTCCAAGCATTATTGGAAATATAGGATCTAAAAGATGAACACAGAACAACAAACTCAAAAAACCAAAATCAGATGACATTTGGCAATCATTCTACATGACATAAAATCAGCACAACAAGTACATCTAAAAGCACATACTGTTAAGTTAAATATGTTCAAACAGGGTTCTCCAAATGGGTTATTGACAGCTGCTATTCAAAATAATCTTCATTTTACACTATCCAGCTTCATCTGAGATTTCTTTTTTATTTTTGCACTCTAAAAAGTAGTTTTCAGCCATTCCATATCTGTGCACCATTCTTGCCTGAGACATATTCTGTAGTCCACATTTTACAAAGAGCAGCCAACTGCAGTTGAGAATCCTGTGCTGTCTTTAACCCATTTGATCACAGACTTCTAGTTTAGGTCTGGATATCAGTGGAACCCACTGGGTAATGTTCCTGAACAAACATCTCCCATTGTTCCATTATCAGGTCTGCCCCAGCAGTAGGCCAAGAGAGGAATCTGCCTCATGTGCTGTAGTTTGTGGCGTGCGGAGCAACATGTATTTCGTAGGCTGCCACGGATCCCTAAACGATCCTACCGCCATACGGGGAGCTAACATTGAAGTGAGATTCAACTGCTGGTGTGATTAGCTTCTGGACATGGAATAGGGGAAGAGGCACAGTCTTGTATTTTGCCTCGGGCAGGAAAAGGCCCCAGAATGATAGTGAATCAGCATTCTTGCACTCTACAAAAGGTGAGAGCTGAACTGTGATTTGCTTTAAATCAAAGCGTGGACAACTTATCTTTAATTCTTCTTTGTTGCTGTTCAGACTTTTGACTTGAGACCCTGACTGGGTTCAGACGATACCACAACCCACACTCGGGGGCTCAGTATGAGTTACATGTGGGTTGTCATTGAACTGTGGGTTGTTGCTGAAACACGGATTATTGTGTTCTCTGAACATCATGGCTTGTTAACCACAAACAGCCCATGAAGTGATCCATGGTTTGTTGTTCAGTTATGAGCTGTGGGTAGTTCACCTCGGTTTATTATTTCAGCTGAGTTAGATAAAATGTTAACCCATACTCAGGCTTTGAGTGCGAGTTACTGTGTTGTCTGAACAGCTAGATGTGCAGAGGGAAGCAAGCACAGTACCTCAGCTTGTCTCATACTTTGCATGCAGAAGGTCTTGGGTCCAGTTTGTGGCATTTGGAATTAAATAGCAGGAGATGGGGGGAAACTCTCTTTTCCTGAAGGTTTGGAAGCCACTGCCAGCCACAGGAAGCCAACTGGTCTTGGAGAGAAAAATAATCTAATTTTGTATGAGGGTGCGGGGTTTGGCACCACCTCCTGGTGTATTTGCCTCTTTGCTGTTGTTCCAGAAGAGGCTGCGTATCTGTTCCTTTAATTAAAGACATGTTGTTCTGCAGGAGTTAGTACTCATCAACTGCTCAAATGGACCTCAGCACTTGTGGCATGTGAAATCGTGGCTATCCACCATGCAGCACCTTAGTTTTATGCATATGCATTTATATTCCAAACCTCAAATTAATGTCATATCTTTGGACAACCAAAGGATCACAAAACCTTTCTGCATTTTCAAAATCTGGAGATTACCAGAGCTTGCATAATGATTGTGATCTCTTGGTTGGTCTCATAAAAGTATTTTTTTGGGGGGGGTGGATTTGGGGGGTTTTCTCTGAATCAGCACAGGGACCTTTTACTCTTTTTATATATTTGTATTTTTATATATTTGCACACATGTGTTACAGATTGTTGAGTGATTCTGGACAGGTTGCTTTAACATCTGAAGAAGGACACATGAGGGTATCAGTTGCTACCCTTGCCGTTCTACTCAAGGTGTTCTCAAAAAGCAAAAGACAGGGACAAACAACAGAAAATGGAACACTTCCCTAATAAATAAGGGAGAGACTTCAAAACATTATTTAATTCCTATACTACGCAACAGCTGAAGCTCTTTAAAGGGGGGGGGGGTTAGAAACTTGAACTTGGAAACATGCTCACATGCCCAAGATGTTTCACATTGTCATTCTTTGCTGAATTATAACTTAGCAAGAAGTTCCGCCCTGTGTTCTGTGGCCTCTAACAGATAAGAGTTTGGTTTACCTTCAAAATCACACCACATATGTTAATTAACTTTCCACTACCACGATGTTTGTAGAAGCATTAATACAGCTTGGTGAACGGTCCTTGTAACAGTTCTGTGTCCTTTTAGGATTTAATGCGATTTTCACAAGGTGTACTTTTTGCATTTCATTTCCCTCTGATCTCCTTTCCCATTGATCACCCTCCACACCTGACTTCCAGAACTGTATGCAGATCTGACTGCTAACATAAGGTAGCATGTCATCCATCATGTCATCTTTAAGGTGCTACAAGATTCTTTGTTGTCGTCATCTTTTGTTACAATGGACCAATATATCTACCCCTCTGAAAATTTTTCTATTTTCTTTCTATTCTTTCACATTAATAAAAAAAACAGTTGGCTTGGTCATGTTTGGAGTAGCCACACTGAAATGATGGGGCTCCAGGGTGCGCCATGGTGCTTTTGTCCTGTGCACTTCAGTGGGTCTAATCCAACACGAATTGTTCCTGAAGCTCACGGGTTGATTTAACTCTCAGCCTTATCTACCTCACAGGGTTGTTGTTATATGGATATACCTCTGGAGCTAGCCCAGTAGGAACATAGTGTCTCCATCCCATTCGGTTTCTTTGGCAGTTCTTCTTCCAAACTTCTGCTCTGTGAGCTTGGATGACTGGAGGAGCCAAGATAACCCTCCAAGGGCTGCAGCTCACAGTGCTCAAACCAACAGCTTTGGAAGGGCATAGAGGGCTTGAGAGAAACAACACGGCCGGCCTTTGTTCTTGTGTATTCAACTTTGCGACTAACTGGGCTACGAGGACAGGTGTATCCCTCTGCTATGTCCACCTGGCTGAGACAGAGGCCAAATGCAGCAAAGCCTGCCCAGTCTCACTGGGTTCTCCCTGGGCACTTTTGATCCGGTGTTGGGAGAGATCCTCTTCCGCATCCGCAGGCCCAACAGGGATCACGACAATCTTCCTGCGGAAATTCTGCCCCAGCAAGATGTAGATGAAAGGGTTCAAGCAGCTGTTGGCATAGCCCAGACTGATGGCCACATTGTATGCATAGTAGAACGGCAAGCTGGGTTGGTGCATGGCCAGCTGGATCAGCTGCAGGACATAGAACGGGGCCCAGCACACGAAGAACGCCAAGCAGATGGCGATGGCGATGCGCGTCACCTTTTTGGCCCGGAGCCTGGTGCACCTCTGCCCAGTCAGCGCCTGTGAGGACCTGGCCATCCTCAGCAGAATCCTCCTGTAGGCCACTGTGATGAGGGTGAATGGAATGGCGAAAGCCAGGAAGAACTGGTAGAGGGTGTACCAGTAGATGTCCCGCTGGGGCTTCGGTAAGAGGATCCCACAGCCAAGGAGCCCTCCTGGCAGAGGAATGAGTTGCGCATACATCCACACCGGGGTAATGCAGAGGATGGAGAGAGCCCAGAGGGCACAGATGGCGGAGATGGCTACCGGAGGCTTCCTGAAGCGGGTGGAAGTGAAAGGGTAGACGGTGGCCAGGTAGCGATCGATGGACATTGCGGTGAGGCTGTAGGTGCTGGTGAACTGGCTGTTTGCGTCCAGGGCAGTGATGATGGTGCACATAGTCTCTCCGAACTGCCAGGCGCCATTTCCTAGCAGTTGGTGGATGAGGAAGGGCATGCCCAGGAGGAACAGCAAGTCCACCAGGGAAAGGTTGATGATGAAAATGTCGGGGACGCTGTTGCTGGGGCTGGGCTTCTTCAGGATGGTGTGGATCACCAGGCTGTTGCCCATGATGCCCAGCAGGCAGATGATCCCGAAGAGGGTGGGCATGATGAAGGTGCTGTAGCTGAAGGGGCTGAGTTCATCTACCGAAAGAGGGAAAGAAAGGATGTGCACACAGGGAGGCTGAACTGGGTCAGTGATGTCCACACAGGTGTTCACAAATACAACAAGGCAGATAACAGAGGCATGAAGGGATTTTTGATGGCTGCGGAGGCTGCTGCTGCTTCTCTTATTGACCGGAGTCTACTTAATCCCTTACTTTATGCTAGTTGGAAGCAGTGAGGTCCTACCAGGCTGCTGCATGGCAGGGTGGGAGGAGAGACTGGGGGATTCTGCCCCCCTCTCCAGTTTCCTTTTTGCGTGGCTTTCCTCTTGGTAATCCCATGCAGAGCAAACGTCCTGCAAAGGTGCATTGGGAATGGAGTGGCCATTGCTGTAACCTGGAATCCTTCCCTGCCTTCTCCCCGTCCAGAATCCCCCTTTGTGACCTGTATGAGGGCCTTCAAGGCCACTTTCACAAGCTTGGAAAGTGGCTACATGGTTTTTCCACAGTGGTGCCAAAGGGGCAGGTGGAAGGATTGTTTTACTTTTCTAATACGTTTTTAATTTGTTGTACTTTGGTGCTGGAGGAGACTCCTGTGAGTTCCTTGGACTGCAAGGCGATCAAACCAGTCAGTCCTAGAGGAGATCAACCCTGACTGCTCTTTAGGCGGCCAGATCCTGAAGATGAAACTCAAATACTTTGGCCACCTGATGAGAAGGAAGGACTCCCTGGAGAGGAGCCTAATGCTGGGAACAATGGATGGCAAAAGAAGAAGGGGACGGTAGAGGATGAGGTGACTGGATGGAGTCACTGAAGCAGTTGGTGTGAGCTTAAGTGGACTCCGGGGGATGGTGGAGGATAGGAGGGCCTGGAGGAATGTTGTCCATGGGGTCGTGATGAGTCGGACTCAACTTCGTGACTAACAACAACCACAACTTTGTTAATATGTTTTATGCATGGTAAGCCACCTAGGAAGGCCTCAGCAGTTATAGGCGGCCTATAAATACATGTATGTATGTATATATGTATAAATAATCCCTAATGGTTGGCCAAGTAGGCTAGGGCTGATGTGAGTTGCCATCCAGAACACCTGGAGGGTGCCATATTGCCTTCATCCAACAGAACACCCTATGTGTTGTTGATATTAAGAAAGCCTCATGGTGCTTGTATTTCTTGACATGTTTCTCATGGATATGAATGGTATAAATGCCCTAGATATGCCTCTCTCTAGACAGAGCTATCTATCTATGATGTGCCTGACAAATTTAAAATTAATGATCTCATGGAGGAAAGGAGGGCTGCTTTGAAGGCAATGGAGAGTCTTTCACTTATTCCATAAGGGAAGGAGCCCATCGCACTGCATTTAGAGAACTGCTTTGCTGAGTGGAGCTTTAGATACTGCCCCACATCCTTGCCTAGATGACACCATTGTATGTGGGGGCATTGCCCACGTACCTAAAGGCTCCATATCTCCATGGAAGATCATTGCTACAGTCCTGTGCCTGCCCATATAAACACTGAGGATTTGGGAGAGGCACGTGTGGTTTTGCTCTGCTCCATCATCTACCCTTATTCCTTCTGGGAGGCTGGGCTACAAATCTAAGACACACACAGTCACTAATCTATTGTACACTCACTCAGAGGCGCTTTCCTGACAGAGCTCTCTGAACGTGAAAGAGGGTTAGAAGACAATCTATATAGAATTGGAGGCAACTGTGAATACTTGGAATAGCAAAAAGCTCAAGATGGAGTGATCTTTATGCATCGGCAGTCATGCAGTTTGACACAGGTGCGCTCATTCAGCTCCCCAAGTTAGCTCCCCGTGCCCGTTGGGTCTGAGAAAGTTATCATTTCAGAAAAACCCCTTTATACATTACTAAATATTTTATCCTGCGCCTCCCCATTGACTTGACTTACCATTGTAGGAAAAGTTTTGTCCCATCTGAGAGAGATCAGGGGTGCAGTCAGTCATGTTCAAAGTGTGATTTGCTGGAAAATCCATCCTTTGAGAGGTGAAGAGGGACAGGAACTGGATCCTATCAGCAGTTCAGAGATGTCACCATGTCCTTGTTTCATGGGGAAGAAAGCAGGGAGGTGAAGTCCCTGGGAGATGCTGGGAAGCTGACATCTTCTGAGCTGGTCCTTTTGTAGAAAGCGAGAGCAGCTCTCTCTGCTGCTGCTGCCAGCTGCGTTGTAAAGCAGCCGTGTGGAAAACACACACAAACCCTTCAGACTTTGCCTGCTCTCTGCACCACCCTCAGGAGGAAGCCGACACTCCAAGAGCCTGAGGAGCAGAGCGCTGTTGTCAGTGCAGCCAAAATCTTTTGCATGCTGCGGGTGGGGAAGGGGGCATTTGTCTAGCTTGGAAAGCAAGAGCAGAATTTTGTTGGGGTTCCAAGCTGTAATCCTCATCTTGTAATGCTCTTTATTATCATCCTTGCCCTGGGAGCATAAAGGCTTGTACCAGAATAAGTCCAGCCCAGCACCAATTCCAGGTTTGGGAGGAGGGAGGCCTTGGGCAAAATGCTCTATGGGTGGTGAGGGGGTCTCCTGCACCTCCCCTTTGCACCCCATTTGCTGGAGTAGTCAACTCTGACTGGCAGCTGCTGAAAGTGTTATATAGGAAGCAGGTGATAGAAATGCTCGAAGCATCTTCCTGTGCAGGTGTGCTAAGAGCATGTCTCCGTGGAGGTAACCTGCTTGGACTTGTGGCAGTGAGTGAGCCAAGAAGGAAAGTGGGTGAGGTCACCTGTTTGCTCCCTTTCTCTTTCCATCATCCCTATTCCCACTCATTCTGACACCTCTATTCCTTTCAATACCCCTTTCCCTTACCCTCTTTAGCTTCCCCCCTTTCTGACACCCTCTTTCCTCTCCTCTTCAACACCCCTTCCCTTTCTCTCTTTCCCTCTTCTGACAACCCTATTTCCCCTCTTTCTGAAACTCTTTATCCACCTCTCTTTAAGACATACCTTTTTTCTCTCTCTAGCATCTCTATGTTCCCTTCCAACATCTCTCTTTCCCACCTACTTTCTTCTCTCTCCTTCACCCCACTTTCTCTCCCATTGCATGAAAAGGGACAGGTCACTCTTGGTAGAGGTCTGAAATGATAGCTCAATGAGCAATTTTGATATTAGTCAGAGACCTGCAAGCCATTAAACCAGGGGCTGCAGGTTGCCCACCCCTGAATCAGACAAAACCAGGGCTAGCCGGACCAAGAATAACACCAAGTATAAATCCACCTCCTCTGTTCAGTGTAGGACCCTGTACACAACGCACCCATATCATGCTTAGTTTGATCCCAAAGATTCAGGCTGCTGCATTGATCCTGAGCCCCAAATCCTTTCTAGCAGCTTTCACCCCCACCAGGAGCAGGTGTTTTATAAAGCTCTCGTGGATCTTAATTGCTCAGCCAGGATTAGGCCAACTCAAAATATTTAGCATCACAATAATGTTGCTGGGAATATTCATTTCTGCCCTGATACTGTGTGGATTGCGGCTATGCTCAGCCTAGCAGGGAATTTGGGGGAGTGGTGAATGCCATTAGCAAGTGCTAGTCAGTTCCATCACTGGCCTGGCCATGTCAACGTGATCCTCAGATTGGAGTGTCTTCTCTTTCATGGTGCAGCCATTTCTGCTTGCAAGGCCAGCTACAGTCAACTGAAGCTGAGATTCACGATGTGGATTCACAGTCTCTTCGTTCTAGATCTTGCACAGTTCCCCCAGAGTAGGACAGCTGGAACGTTGGGTCTGGTTCTGGAGTGTGAGTCACCATCTCCTCTCTTGCAGCCTCATCTATCTCGCAGGGTTATTCTAAGACTAACAGTACAATCTTATATGCATCGTCTCAGCAGCAAGTCCAAGCAAATTCAAAGAGGCTTTCCCTTAGATAAACATGCAGCAAGGAAGTGGCCCACTACCGCTGGAGCGCCGACTCTCCGGGAGGCCATTCTGCCTCACCACCCTGATGTCTCTGGGGACTTCTTGAAGTGAAGGTATGGTGGCCTTGATGAGCTCTGTTGTATGTGATCCACCTGCATTAGCTGGCTTTTGACCAACAGGTGCTTGCCCGCCTGTTGCCCCCACAGGCTTCTACAGGTTTTGTTCTTTTCCCCTGAAATCAAACACCCTCTCCTGTACATACCACAAGTAAGCACATCTGTAGGAAACAGAGTCCTTTAAAGTCATTCAGACACAGACTTAGGCAAGTGTGTATATTCCGGTGTGTGTGTGTGTGTGTGTGTGTGTGTTTTGCTGTCTTCTGCACCCCAGTACTGCCTCTGGTGAGCATCGCATGGCAGCGGCTTTAGTGCTGTTGGCTTGTTTCCCAATTCTGGCAAATTTGTCAGTTTGCTTTAAACATTTATAGGTTGCCCTTCAAGATTTTGTTTTTAAAATCCCTGTTTTGAATTCCTGTGTAACAATGAAACTGTTTTAAATTTCTGTTGTTTGTATCCCCAACAACTTGTGATTCAAGGAAGCTCATACATGCAGTGAACAAGCAAACAAAACTATTCCATCTCATTTTATGAACCTTCAGTGGTGTAAAACAGCAATTGATGACATTTCAGAAGCTGGCAGCACACACACCCTTTGATATATTGATGGGTTTAAAACAATTTAACAACAGCAGCTGTACAGAGCATTCAAGCTCAGAAATTCAGCTCAGCGTCTCAACTAATAGAGGTTCAAAATAAAATGGATTTCCCAAGACCCATTTAATAATACTCTGCCACAATGTACAGTTGTGGAAGCTGACTTATTTAAGTGCAATTCATCAACCCACGCCAAAAACAAGGAAAAATTATGCTTGGGTATTAAACAGAAATGCCTAAGTGTTCTATCTGCATACCAGCTGAAGGAAAACAAAGAGTCAGTGAATGAGTAAATGTATTAGCATTGACTCTGTGTCTTGTACTTCCTTGCCTTCAGTGCTTTAAAAAGAGATTTAAAATATTTTTAAAAGAGTAAGATTGTTCAGCACCACCATTTTCAGCAGAATCTTGCAGTGTGGAGAAGGAAGAACTTGATTTCTCAGCATTTAGGAAAATAATTTTCTTCCTGTGCATGTATTTCAGACATAATAGTAAACAAAGCAGAAGAGATGAGGTAAAACTGAATGTCTTTCTCCCACCCTTCTTCCCAACAGGTTGAAATACGCAGTCATTTCAACTCTGGTTAATTTTGTTCCTTGATCAAAGAGGGGAAAAGTAATTAGAAGTTATCGATAGTTTCATTACACCAGGGCTTCTCAGTCTGTTTCTCATGCAGTTTCCTCCTTCCCCTCCTCAACTATGGGTGCAAAGTCCCCTTCCTAATCATGCCTCATGTCCCCAACGTGAGGGCAGATGGAGGGTCCTATTTTTTCTTCTCAGCTTCAGTTGTGCAGGTGGCTGTTTCCTGATACAGTTATTGGCCATTTATGTGTCCTCCCTCCACAAGAGGAAACATGAATCTGCCTAAAACTGTATTTGGTGATTTAGACATATTGATGCCCATTTTGGAATATTTACTACAAATTCAACAAATACAAGGCATTGCCTCTTAGTGGAGAAGACCACAATGGGGTGATTTTTGGATCTGTTCAAGAGGCTACCCAAATGTGAATGGGAGTGGCTAATTCGTACTCTACCATCAGGTGGCAAAACTAGAGACCCAGAAGGGAGCACATGCCCATTGCGGTGTAGTGGTTAAGAGCCAGTGCGGTGTAGTGGTTAAGAGCATGGGACTGGGACTCAGAGAATCTGGGTTCTAGTCCCCGCTCAGCCATGGAGCCAACTGGGTGACTTTGGGCCAGTCACAGACTCTCAGCCCAACCTACCTCACAGGGTTGTTGTTGTGGGGCTAAGATGGAGGAGATGTAAGCTGCCTTGAGCCCTTTGTAGGAAAAAGGCAGGATATAAATCGATAAATAAATAAATAATAAATGGCCAACTTCCAAGGTAGGCATAGTTAGGCACCTGTCAAAGGCCCATACGAGCAAGCAGCCTGTGGCATCTCCTGCTCTTCACCACCAGCATCGTGCTCATTCACTGCCCCTTGCTTTGACCCAGACAACATTGGTGGTGGTGGTGGTGGTGGTGGTGGTGAGATGCCCCTGCTTGCTCCCTTGGCTCTCTGCCTGACAAGCGCGCAAGTGGTAGCCATGAGGAGAAAGAGCAGGGACTAGAGTTGGTGGCATTGGCCATGAGAGGGCAGACTCACTGCAGGAGGGTCCCATGCAAGAAGTTTTGTGCAAGGACCTGAATGCACCTTTCCAAAGATGTGTGGCACCTTAGAGGCTAACAGATGGCCTTGAGTTTTCATTGGCTGCTTTTATACCACAGTACAACCGTAAAGCCTTTAAATTGCCACAAGATGCTTTTGTGTGTGTTTGCTATAATAAACTTAGTGCAGCAGAACCAGCCTGGCGCCAGGCTGATCATTTGGCTAGGCGTAAACCACTCACCTGTGGTTTGAACAGGACCTCAGTATCTAAAGCAGCTTTCTCCAGATTGGTATCCTCCAGATGTTTTAGACAATTCCTATCACCATAGACCATTGGTCATGATAGCTAGGGCAGATGGGAGATGTGGTACAAAACCTAGAGAGAGCATCAAATTAGGGAAAGCTGGTCTAAATTATCTTTAGGTATCTTTCCAAAAATACCTAACAGAGACCAGGTATTCACAGCGGAGGCCCTTCTTTGACTTAGTCTGAGGCGTGAAAAGGTGGTGCAAGGAAGAAATACATTTTGGCAATGCTCCATTCCCTTCACTTGTGCAACACGTGTTGCCCAGATTATTACCTTTCTCTCACAATGCAGATCAGTTTTTTCCTCTTGAATTTTAGTATTGCTTTGACCTCATTTAAGAAGCTGATATTAATATTTTAGCCTGTCCTTTTATTGCATCTTGAATGCTTTTGTTGTGTGTTTTAGCTCTCTGCATGGTTGTATCACATTACAGTGCCCAGTATTATGCTTATTCTCTCTTCTGGTTTTGGTTTGATTGGATTTAGGTATTGTCTTATTGAGTTGATTGTATGAGGCTGCATGTCCTTCATTTAAAAAAAATGAATTGCAAGTTGCCCAGAGAAAGTATATCATGAGTCATCTCAAGAACGCAATTAATAAAATAGTACTTTTTAACAGAAGCCATGCTTCTGTTATAGCATTCTCTTTCCACAACAGTACTCTCGAGTCTGTGGACACAAATGCTGTCGGAGGCAGGCAAAAAACTTTTTGTTCCAGCAAGCCTTTATAGACTGAACCTGCCAGATTTGCATTGGAATACATATATTGTCTATATTTCCATTGTTTTAACCTTAGTATTTTATATATTTTAGCTGATTTAATTGTATATTTAAGTTTATACATTTTATTTATTTTTCAATTTATGTTCTACAACCAATAGTCCAAAAAGGGCTATCTAGAGCTCTCTGGTATAGTACTGTGTAAGTTTTTAATGCTGTAGTCAGCCTGAGGCCCAGTATTGGGAATTGGTGAACTACAAATACATATAATAATAATACTAATAAATATATAATAGTAGTAGTTATCAGGACAACTAGCCACTAGTGGCCTTATCCACCATAAATCTGTCCAATTTTCCTTTTAGAGTCATCTAAGATGGCAGCCACAACTACATCTTCTTGTAGCAAACTGCAGTTTACCTCTGTCCTGTGGGAAGAAATATTTATTTGTCTTGAATCTCCCACCAGTATTATGAGACAGGGATAAACACACGTTCAGTTGTCACATTGATGATCAATAGGGCAATTACAGGTTATTAACAGAAAATGGAAACCATGAGTGCCCCTGCTTCTTCCCAACAACCGTTGATTTAAATAACTTGTGAGTTGTCATGATATGCAATCCAGGTCATAGTGACCCTAAGAAACAAAGAAAGAGAAGCCAACTTGGATAACAAGTAGCTCTTTAGTGACAAAGTATGTCAGACAATGGCTTTACCAGTTAAGCAAGGAAAAAATATTAACAAAAGATTTCAAGGTGTGCAAACAAATACATACATTTCAAATACATACATTTGAAAACACACACATAAAATAAGGCACAGTACTTTACTACCAGGGGGTTCTGCAGAGCCCCTAAAACCCTTCTATCATGAGAAGGGTAAAAACACAACACTAGATGGATATTGTCTGTGAATAATTTAAAACATAGAACTGAAGCACTGGAGATATTCACAAGCATAAAGAGTCTCTCCCACCCACCCCTCTTGGCTTTCCACATATGCATTTAACATGGTGCAAACCACCTTCTCCATTACAATGGCTGTTGTAAGAAAGCTTAAGGCTTGAACGTATTTTTCCACATTCGAATAAGCAGTATTGCTAACACTATTGAATTTTAACTCCTGCCAGGAGTGTCCAGCTTTGAGTTTAACAAGCTATAAAACTAGTGGATATGAAAGCACAACATCTTTTATAAAAATATCCACTGTTTTAAATGGAAGATAAACCTGAAAGAATAGAATGAGGTCTTCTTCTATGTTTGCTGAGTTCCTCATATAACACCTTTAATGATGGACCAGTCATGATAATGAGAACCAAGAGAGAAAATTGATCCTCAGCTCCCATAAACAACACACCAAGCCGTGACCAGTCTGACAAGTAAACATGTCTAGAATGTAACAATTCCCTCCAAACTGTGCTTTTTAAAGTGCTGCTTGAGGAAGCATCCTAGGCACCAGTCCAATTTATTCACTCTTCTTATTAGTCGCATCCTGGTCTAAGGCAGGAGGGCTGCTTGGTATAAAACTGCTTCCATTAGCAATTTCTTTCTTTGACAGAACACTGTAGAGAGAGAAGATTTCTGCTTTCAGGTCTCACATAAATTCCAAGTCTCAGAGGTGAGCTTGCCCATTATTCAAAATTCTCAGAACATTCCTCATTACAGTTTATTTCCCTCTCTTCACATATCTTCTCAAAGCCCTTCAAAAGGGGGCCACACCACTTATTTTGGCATTGAGAGAGGGATGATAATACCATTTTAGCAGTATTATTTTTGAAGGTTTTTCTAGTGTGCTGTACATTCCTCTATATGCAGTAAATAGCTTTCGATTTCAAAAGCACCAGAACACTTGCTGAGATACTGTAATAATTACAATGATAATAGGATTCATATCCTTGCAGGCCAAGTGCAAAACATTCACTATAAAGAGTACATTTGAGCTAATGTTGCATTAGTCAGGCCAGGCAGTCTGGCATTAACACTTGGCCAAACCAAATGTTAACATGCTAACTGTATCGGTGACTGCAACTGGTTTTTAAGGTATAAGTAAATTAAGTCTTCTTTTGTCTTAACAAGATTCTAAATGGGAAAGATTCTGTATAGATTCAGCAGTAATAAGAGCAGACTAGAGGTGGCACTATAATGTAAGCCCTTCTAGGCCAGCTTTATGTTGACAGTAAGATTTCATGTCCAAGGAAGGGAGGAGGAGGACAGATCCAGACATGCTACCTTGCTTACCAAAGGCCCTTGACTACAGCCTCTACCTTTAGGTTTAACTGGCAATTTTGGGGATGGTCTCTTACAAGACACCACTCTCTCCATAGAATTGTTTTGGCTTCTTCTTGGCTACATACATGCACATAGTTATATGGAAAAACAAAGCAGTGTGTGGATATGACCACTTCCCCCTAATGCTTACTGCCAATATATTCCCTGTCCTTCAACATTCAGGCTTATTTTTTGTACTATATGCACAGGATCACTACCCTTGCCTCCATTCATGTGTTGCGGAATAGTATACATAGTCTTCCGTATTCTTTTATGTGGAAGTAGTATCTCCTGCCCAGTTGTTAAAACCCAGAGGTTGGTTGCTTAAACATATTAAAGAAATACTGAGTTGTCATAAAAATTGTTATGAGTAACTCAAACTGAGTTTTACCACCATACAGAAAGGCAGGCAGGGGTATTACTCAACACCCCAATATTTCTCAGCATGCAATTATACATAGGAATATTACAGATGAGACGTGTCTGCCACACTTCCTTATTTCAGAGATTTCACTCCCAGATACTTTAAAAAGGGGCTGAAATTTACAGAATGAAAAATCTAGCAACTCATACTAACAGTTTGGAAAAGGCATCTCAAAAGGCAAAAACAGGGTCACGATTTATCCTGGAAATGATTTACTCCTGGAACAGGAACCAGAAGAGAAATGGGGTGGATGGATTCCTGGTGGAGAGACACAGCTAGAGCATACACAAAAGTCAATTGTCTATGACTTACTATATTGAAGAATGATACCAGACTACTGGTCTATTTAGCCCAGTATAAATGGACCAGCATGATGGCCAAAGCTCTGTCCCAGGATTGCTTCCTGAGTTTGTGGAGGTAAGAATTGGGTATACAAATGAGAAAGAGAAAATTATAAGAGGGGTCCGTGGAGAGTTAGCTTAAACTTCCTGCACACATAATTTATTTAACCAAAAGACTCTGTAAAACTCTAGTTTCAGTGACATTCAACGCCCCAGTAAAATAAGAGTCGCTACTGAATATTGATCAGATTTATTCTGATCACGCGAGTTAGTACTTACTTTGGAGTGAGCCAGTAGTTGAGCAGAGTTGTGAGAGACAAGTAGCAGACGCTTACCACTGCAGACACGGCCAGGGACAGCATTCCCAGTCCACCAAGGACACACAGCAGGGTGACACCGCCCATCGAGATCACTAAACCTGCCAAGAGCAAGGAGCAGCAAGTTCTACGTGTCGTGCCGGGACAGCATGTAACCACCCCCTTTTTTGACTGGTGGAGGGGGCACTGGGGTGTTCCATGGGGCTCTGCTCCCAAAACTATTTCCCAGAATTCTGAGTGTTCGTGGGTGCCAGCAGGTGTTTTCCCCTTCGTCCTCAGCTTAATTACCATGCAGGGAGCAAATTTTGATGGGGATTACAGGTTAGAAAGAAAAACTAGACACTCAGTGTGCCTTCCAGGCCAGGGATCTTTCCTGGCGCTGTTGGGAAGGAATCTGGGCTTTTACATAAGCGTGTGCTGTACCACTGAGCTCTAAAGCCCTAACTCAGTGGGAGTTCCATCACCCAGTGCCATTTAAGGAATAAAACACTACTTACCTTCCATGATAATCACCCCAACACAGGCGATCACAGTTGTGGCGACAACAAAAAACAGAAAGAATGCAACAGGAATGGCAGACGCTGCAAGGAAGACCACTAGTGACAGGGTGAGAAAGGGGTGGTCATCTAAGTACCGGCCTACCCGGGAGTTCATAAAAGCAACAACCTGTAATATAAATAGAAAGGCAGGGAGGTTTGAAATATCCTTACTAAGATAATCAAACAGTCTCAGAAAGTAAAGTCGCTCCAGGAGGGAATCATGCCTCTGATATAGTCAATTCATGCAGACATTCTCAAGTATGAAGATCTGGCCAGTCTTTTGAAACTACTTATTATGAAACAGCTGCACATGTGGCAAGTTCAATCCTGCATGCGGCAGGAGACATGCTCTGGTAATGCGCAGGCTGAAGTAAAGATGGCTGTTAAAATGCAGATCAGGACTGCCAAAAATACAGAAGCTAAAAAGCAATATTGGAGATATAATTTGCAGGATTTCTGTGGAAGTGAAAACACTGAAGGAAGTTGTTCAGAGCTCAGTTATTCTAGAGGATGGGCAGCTGATTTGCCACTGTGTGAACAGAATGCTGGACTAGGTGGTCTGATCCAGTATGGCTTTTCTTAAGTTCTTACTCGTTCTCTAACTTGGAGATTATCTTGAAGTGCCAGATATCTGGCTGGCCAGCCTTCTATCAGAAAGAGGAGCTATGCTGTGTAGACTGGGAAGGGAAGATGTTGCGTCTTCCTGGTTCATCCAGGGGCAATTTGAAACTTGGTATTTTGCTTCTATTTGTGTGTGTGAGCCCATCCATAAACAGAAGGAGAAAAAGTCACAATAAAATCATGAAAACATTCATAACTCACATGTGAGTTGCTGTGAACAGTTTCCAGCACGGCCTGCCACCGTTTCTGGAGTTCCTGTATTTCTTTCGACATGATGCAAGTTTTGGCCCAAATTTGTCGTAAAATCAGTGCATTTTTAAACACCAAACCTTAAAAGAAATGTATCATTATTTTAATATTGCTTCTGATTAATGCATAATACACCTAAGAACTCAGAAAAAAAAGAAATATTTTGCTAATAGGTATGTGAACAAAAACATTAATGAAGGTCTCAGTACTGTAAGGGCACACTCCTATGTATATGAATGTTTAGACAAAAAAAGTCCTACAGCTCTCAGCATTCCCTAACCAGCATGATTCCATCAATTTGTGATCAACTGGAAGCTATGTTCTATTTGTAATCTGATTAAAGATAGCTTATTTGATTAAATACATGGGGTTTGAAAACTTTTTTTTTTTTGCATAAATGTGCAGGCGAGTATGTTCCCCTCCACACAATGGCTTCAATCTAGGGAAAAGATGAAGAGTATTTCTGTTTGGGCAAGGCAGTTCCACTGAATTCCGTTGATTTCTCTGTCCTGCTACAGCCTTACACATGGATCCCAGCATAACAGGTTACTCAACTAGATTCTGCAGTCCTAATACAAATATATGAAACATAAAATGCTGCCATTAGATAAACAAATTTAAAATAGGATATGTAGTATACACAAGCAAGGTGTTCAGGTCCTGAATCATTTTCTTAGGAAAGCTACTTTTCCAGTTTGATCAGACATAGAGTTTCCTTGCTGAAGTTTTTAGGAGACATTATCAACATGCCTCTTCAGTCAGAATTAAAAACAAATAAAAATCACAGAGATAAGCTTTGCAACCCCAGTGTCTCCCTCTGTCCCTCTCCCCCAGCCCTCTTGTTTTCTGTGCGCACCTGTTTTTTTCATCATTGCTTTTAAGTCTTTGCCTGATCCCCATAGGTGAAATTCCACTCTGGCAGGTAAATAGGCTAGTGAAGGAGGAATTAAAAGTACTGCTTCTCTCTTCTGTGCCCAATACAAAAACCTAGAGGAGGCGAGCTTTCTGTGCTATGCCCGGCACAGAAAAGGCATCGGACTATTGGAAGAGGGACAGAGCTTTTCATTCTGTCAGCTCCCAGCAGGTCAGTAAAATAAATATGTGTAATTGCAGTTGAATACCTTATGTGGCTTATTTACAGGGCTAGATTATAATCTTACAAGCAGGACTCAGTTGCTTTTTAACCTCTTTGTAGATCTACTTTAATAAAAAGAATATATTTAGTACAAAGGGTTAAGGTGCTAGGAAATCATTTCCTTCACTTTTATTATTCTGGCTATACCCCCCTCTCCCATAGTGTTGATATTAAAATATTTGTAAGTGCTTTACAAAAATGAAAATATATTATGGTATATATATTATTTTGTTTCATCATAAAACATTTATATAAAACATTAATAGAAGCATTAAGACCAATTAAAACCATTACAACACACAGTTAAAAACAGAAAGACTGGGCAGCACAGGGAAATTGTGGGTAAAGAACAGGGTCTAAAGCATGTTATGAAATGTTATAAACGTTATAAACTTTCTTGACTCAGCGCTTCCCTCTGCATGGGCTAGCCATGCCTGGAGCTTCTCCAAGCACTACAGCTGGTCAGAGACCTTTCCTATTTTTACACTCCAGTTTCAGCATATCCTGACAAGCTTAACAAACATATAAATCTCAGAACAATATTGGTGACTCATCTGCAAGAGACGCTGTCTACTGTCATGTTCTCTGGCCTTGACACCTCCTCTGACCCCAGGAAGAACTCATAAACTGGAGGAGCACTGTCTAGTGAATCATAATCGATCACGCTAGGATCTTCCAGATCAAGGTATGTGTATAGTTATACTCAACTTGTCAGACTCAAAGGGCTGGGGAAGTAGGATATGGCCCTTTAAGAGATATACAACTCCTCAGCAGGGCTGGGGTTAACATCAGGCCCATATCAGCCAGCCTTAATAAAGCCTCAGAAGGCCTCTACACACTACTGAGAGAACAACTCTTCTTGAGTTCCCGCCTGCTTTGTTGCACTTTACTTTGCCTGGCTCTCCTTGTAAGTATTTCTTTGGATTGGCTACTGAGCTGAACTAGATAAAACATTTGTTCCCACAGAGCAGCAGTTCCGTAAATATTTGTAAGTATTTATGGAAGCAGCTACCATTGATAAAGGCTTTAATGGGAAATGCTTCTGTTTAGTGCTAGTGTAAAGGAAAACAGGGACCACCTCCCCAAGTAGCCAGGTAGTTTGGCATGATGAAACTTGCAGACTAAAACATCTGGAGGCACCAGGTTGAAGAAAGTTGCTGCAAGGACAAACCTTTGATTTCTGATACTATCTCCTAGGAACTTCCACTCCAAAAATCCCATGCCAGGAGCATTAAACATGTGTACTACAAAGTGCATTTTAAAAAGTAATGGCCACACCAACAGATTCAGATGCCCACACAGAAAGGAATCCAGCAGATGTACCTAAGACATTAGAAAGATTACTGCTTTTTTGGTAAGTAAACATCAACCTGGTTTTGATTCTTAAATCGAAAAACATTTTCATGTGAAACTATCAGATGGGCTCTTCTGAAGTAAGAATAGCAGTTTCAGAATGTTGAAGAGTGGAGGAAGTACAAATCACATTCAGGAAAAATGGAAGCTCAGCCAAACCCTTGGTCTCCTTAGTCGAGTATTGTCAACGTTGACTGGCAAAAAGTCTCAAGGGTTTCATGCATGTCCCCCCCTCCCCCAAATCTGGAGATCTCAGGAAATCACACCTGAGACCTCCCATCAATCTCTATTATCATGGTTGCACAATGGAAAAAGAAAATTCTAGAGGAAAGCCCAATTTATACGAGCAACAGACCCAAACTGTATCTCTGCAGGATGCAGGTAAGAGTTCTATGATCTTCAACTTCTCCATGAAGAAGCATGTGTACATAGAAACATCATATTCCAGGAAGATTAGCCTGAATCCTAATTCTTGACAAGCTGGCTTTCTCCCTTTAAGGAGGGCTTTTGTTTTTGGTAGGGGCAGTTAACAGATGCCTCCAGCTGCAGCCTCAAGTGCAGCTTTCATCACTATGTCATTCTCCCACAAGCTGGGAGAAGCTTTCATCACTATGTCATTCAGCTGAATACATAAACTAGGTCAAAGTTAGCTACACCCCTTTCATGTATGCATATTTCCATCAGGGTGGGTGTATATATTTAGAGAAGACTGCTCTGCAGCCAAATCATGTGTAAGAGATTTTAAGCTACTTGATGAGTATAACAAGGGACTGTCCTCCTTTGGATTTGATAGCTGCACATAGTTCTTAAGTTTTGATTGTAAGTCACCTTGCGGATCTTAATTAGGCCAAAAGGTGACTTACATGTTTACAAGAACAGAAAATTAATAAAATTCTGGAACTACTCATATTTTAGAAGAGCACACCCATATGATGATTTGCTACTAAAATATTCCTTTGCAAGTGCACTTAGTTCCAAAAAGCACACTATTTCTAATCCTTATATACAGTCTTTCTGCAAATGTCTTAAGCTGGTCCTACCTGGGCAAGTTTTGATACATATTACTATAGATTATCTTTGGTATAGTGCTGGTACTACCAGTTGTTTCCAACTAGGGACCAAAACCTGAATCAGATTTTACACAGGACTGTGCATGAGTCTGCCATCCACCTGCTTGGTGGGAATTAACTGCAAAGATCGCATGCTTTTTGTGCGACCCTGTGGCATTTCTGCCTCTCCTGCCTTCGGGGGCTCACGAAAGGGAGGTCACCGCAGCCGAAGTGGGAGTGGGATGGCGTGGAGAGGCAACACCGTCCTATTGCTGCCTTCCCCTTCCCAAGACAGTGCCACCCAGAGGTGTGGGACAACACGTCCCATCCATCCAGAACCTGTGCACAGGATGCCAGCTTAGTAAGGGCCATTCCTGTCGACCTCTGGCGGCCACGCGCTCAGAAGCCCCCCAGAAGAGCGGGGCAGCGAACGCGTGGAGGGAAAGCGCGGGAGCCCGGGGCGCTTTCCCTGTTGAACGCCTGCCTGTCCCGCCTCCCGAGAGGCTCTGGAGAGCAGGGAGGGAGAGGAGGAGGAGGGCAGGGACGGAGCGTCCAGACAAGGCCGGTGCGCCGTGGCTTCCCGCCGCACACGCGTCTTGCTGACCGGGCCGCGGGAGCGTGCAGAGCGGGGCTCTCGGTCGGCTTCTGCCCGCCCGCCCGCGCGCGAAGGGCTGGCGGAGGTGGCGGCAACCCTCCCCGCTGCTCCCCGTGGCGGCTGCAGCCTTCCTCTCCCCCTCCTCCCGCAGGGCTTGTGGAGGCCTCCCGCGGGGCCGGCCGCCTGCCCGCCCGCCTCTGTCCGTCTCTCGCCCTACCTCAGCTCGACGCCGCAGCCGCCGCTTCTCGGCCGCGGTGCTGCTGGCCGCCGGTGCCCGCCTGGGCCTCGCCCCGCGTGGGAGGCAGAGCTGGGCTCGGCCGCCGGAGCCAGTCCCGCCTCTCCTCCTCTCCTCCCGCGCCTGGGCCGCGGCTCGGCTCGGCTCAGCGCCTTCCTTCTCCCCCACCGCCTCCGGGCTGGGCTGGGCCAGGCCGGCCGGGCGGGCTCCTCTGAGGCGCGCAAAAGCACCCCCGCGGCCGCCCCCCGACCGCCGGGGCGCCGCTGGGCCTCCGCTCCGCGTCCACTCATATTTCATGTCTGCCCTTCATTTCCACGTACAGCATTTGTAAACCGTGCCGTCGCTGAGACAGAAGGTAAAACGGGCGCAGAATAAAAGCAACACTTTAAAAGCAGGATGGTGTTAACATCCTGGCTGGCCGGCAGGGAGCAAGGATGTGTGCAGCAAGAAGGAAGCGGGCTTAGTAGAAACTTAACCGAAACAACAACAGAAACAATAAACTTAATAGAAGCAAAACAATGGCGTCATCTTGCAGGGCTTCTTCCTGGAAAGGCAGCTTAGAACGATTTTGAGTAATGAGAACAATAAATAGTGGTGTTACGGTTTAGGCCTTGAAACAATGCTTTTAATTTGCAATGTTTCCCTCTTCCATGTGTCTCTCCATTCATTGCAACCTGACAACAACTGTGAGAGAGAGGTTAGGCTGAGACTTAGTCCAGCTTCACCTAATGGCCTTCATCAACATACGATATTTCTCCTTTCTCCCACTCCCTTTTTCCACTCTGTTAAGGGTCATGTTTATGGTGAGTGCCTTTGTTGTTACCACATGTTAATATTACTGTTACCACTATCAAGGATAACAAACGCTCCCAGTGTGCTTCTCCACTGCATTTCTAGGCCATGCATTAGCTGAAACCCTCTGGGCAGTTCACAGACCAAAACTTCAAACTGAAATACAGTAAAACATAACAACTGTGAGTTTAAAACAGAACCCAAGATAAAAAGTGAGCAGTAGTGCAAAGAGCTAAAGATGCACTAAAAGCTTGTTTGTGGCAGGCAACCTTTCTGTGCAGGGCATTCTGCCACCAGCAGCTTACAAGTAGCTTTTAGCAAACAAAATAATTTAAACAGAATCCCAATAAAACAGTGGTTGGGTTCAGTCAACCTGATGACCCACACTTAAGGGCAGAGTATGGGTTGAACGTGGGTTACTGTTGAAGCCATGTTGAAACATGGGTTATCTTGGTTGGGTTCGGAGAACTCATGTTTCAACAATGTATGATTCAATAGCAATCCATACTCAAGGCCTGTGTGCATGTATTGTGTTGTTTTAATTGAAACCAGATAGCTGCATTTACTAGTGAAACATATTTCTAGTAGTCATTTGTCAGGTCTAACACCCCCAGGACAAGTGCAGCAATATTATATTCATTTATAGATTCAAAGAAGTTGGTGAAGATAACTGAAATTATGTAGGCTGATGAACACAAGACTTTTTTAAATTTTAGCCTGTGATTCATTTCACACCTAGTACTACCAGTTGTTCTTAGCTTTTTCTCCTTGACAGATATATTTTTTCTTGAGAAGGAAAAAGAAATGATGGGTTACCTTTCATAAAATTTTATATTGGAGGCAGAGTAATTGTAGAATAAAAGCCTTGTCAGGAAGCACTGAGAGAAGGAGAGAGAGAGAGAGAAAGAAAAAAATGGTTTTAAATTGAGAAGATATAATCTTTTATTCTAACATGAAAAACAGCAAAGAACAATGGACTGATTAAAGTTTTTCATTTGATTAAAAAAACAGTTGACTCAGTACTACAGCCCTACTATTTTCTGGATTTCTAGCCCAACCTCTCAGTTTTACAGATGTGCATAATGTTCTTTAAAACACTTTCCCAGTGTGACATTACAAAATAGAAACAATAATAAGTTATGCATAAAATAAAACTGTAAATGCTAAGCTAAATTGGCAGAACAGCATAATAAAAACCTCATTCTGGGAACATCAAGAGGGCTTCACATAGCATTCACATGACAAAAAAGTGGTTCCAGATCAGTTCTTTGGGGTGATTATTGTAAGGGTGGAATGCTGCTACCGAGAAGGACCATTCCCTGGTTTCTGACTTGCTGTACTTATGATGCCATGGGCAGCTGAAGGTGGTCGTCCATTCATAGAAAGTCTCTCAGGGAGATAGATGATTATTCAGGTAGCACCAACAGGTATTAACAATAGACACTAACAATTTGACATGAGCCTTGAACAGAAACAGGGTAATTGCTTAAGCACTGATTAGATAACTCATCAGCACTCAGTCTCAGCCAGTGCTTTTTTTGTAAGAAAAAAAGTGCTGGAACTCATGAAATTATTTACATTTTGCATGTGGTCCATCACTGCACACACACATGTCAGTTGTGTAACGAAACATAATGGTTGCCACCCACAGTACGCACTCAGTGCGTGACCACATGACCAATCACAAGCCAAGCAGTGCCAGCAGCGCGGACGAAGCACGCATGCATCAGATTCGACACACAAGCAGCCCGCATGCACCATTTTAATGATTTTGCCGCCGACCTGCTACGCTTGACAGGGCGATTCAAATCCACGTGGACCAAACATCAAATTTTCAAAAGTTACTTTTAAAACTTGGGCAATCTGTCGAAAAAAGGTGCCGGAACTCTGTTCCGGTGCGTTCTATGACAAAAAAAGCACTGGTCTCAGCTAATTATCCTTCAAGTGTATTTTGTACTAGATGCAGTTTCTAAACCATGACCAAAGGAAGTCCCACAGATAAAACATCACAATAGTCTAATCTAGAGGTTATATTGACACATGAATCAGTGGTAGTAGGATAATTCAGGAAGGACTGCATTGTTTCAAGTTTTTGCAGGTAGAGGCCTCAGGAATCTGAACTGAGAGAACTAGAACTAGGAATACTCTCAAATTGTATACTTGCTCCTGGAGGAAATGTATTTATTTATTTATTTATTAAAACATTTTTATGCCGCCCCATTCGCCGAAGCCTCGGGGCGGCTTACAACATTAAGTTAGAATACAAACATTAAATTATAATATTAAAATGTTTGTAAAGTGCAAACATTAAGTTAAAATACAAAAAATGTCAATATAAAATAAGTCGCCCTGGCCAGATAAAATCCAATAATATTAACAATTAAAATGACGCTTAAATAAAAAGGTCTTCGCCTGGCGCTGAAAAACAAATAACGACGGCGCCAGGCGGACCTCTCTGGGGAGCGCATTCCATAGATTAGGAAATGCATCCCATCCAGATGTGGCTGAGCAACCACCAATCTGAACAGCTAAATCAGCTTTTCCAGCTGATGATCTTCAACTGGTTTATTGGCCTTCTGCAATATGCACAGCTAATTCTCTCTTTCTTTCCTTGAAGAGTTAGATTTTTCTGCTACCCCTTGTTTTTGTCATTCATTTTTCAGCCCTACCCCAAGTTAATAATCCATCCTACCGTACCAAAATAGCTTTCGGTTGGTAGAGCAACAGTACTTTACGATTCCGGCCTGATGAGATCCAGCCTTGAAGAAGTTGCTGTTCCAGCCAACTGGGTGAATGGGGCAGGAAGGGGGTGTTGAGAAGGGAAGAAAGAGAGGACTCATTCTTATGTTGCCTAGTGACAATAATGCTGTCACCTTGGTTACAGGCTGACAAGTGGAGGAGAGTGTATCGTACATTGAAGTTCTTCTTGAGTGGTGAGCAGCACTCAGGCACAGAGACAGGTAACTAGGGGAGCAACAGGTAGAGGCAGACCCTTCCCCACTGTTTCTGACCCCTTGCTATGCACCCTGTAATAGTATTGAGAAGAGGCAGAGAAGGCTTGTGTTTGCTTTGCTTTGCTTTCCAACAGGAATCCTTGGGTTTGCTTTAGTTTCCACCCTTCTTTGCTAAAAGCATACTTGCCACCCTCCCACAAAATGGGGAAAATTAGATTTGGTAGTGGGGAAAGCCAGTTGAGAAGGTAGGGAAGCATCTGAGGGGGCAAAAGGCTGCAAGGAGAAAGGGAACTTGGAGAGAAAGCAAGCAAGGAAGGAAAAGAATGTTTTTATTACAAACAGAGAAAGGAGGAGACAGGTGGAAGTTTGGAAACAGGCACTCTATGAGAGAGAGGTGGCTGATACCTGCAGACTTTCCTTTCCTTCCAGTGCCAAATCAAAATGTGTCTTCTTGCTAATGCATTTCCATTTTCAAAAAGGTTATTTGTTTTGTTTGTTTGTGTGGTTGGTTGGCTTAGCGCGCAATTCTAGTTAATTTTAGACAGCAAACATCCATGCAGCTGCCAGCATCCATTTAACCAGCTATGCAGGTTAGTGCATGCTGAGAGTTTATTGATTCCATAGAAGAAGCCAGAGCCTTGAGCTTACAAGAGCTGGACGGGGTTGTCAAGGTCAGAGCATTAATCCAAAAGTTCACCATGAATGGAGACAACAGCATATGACAACTGCAGATGTGCAAGCATTGTTACGTGTCTTATCATCTTACTGCTACTGCATTTGCCTGTTTCTAATGTTATGTATATTGTTCCGGGGTCCCTAGTAGATGCTGGGTGGTATATAAATTTAATAAATAATTGTACTTATTCCAATTGGCTTTTCCTGAGTAAGTAGATAACAAGCATATACCACTCTCAACTTCAAAATTGCCTTAATGATCACTGTCAAGTTTTGATGGCAGTCTTTTTGAATATTCATTTTGTTTATGCCCTGCCTTGATTTTCTGTCAAGAAATGGCACACAAGGCAGCTGACAATAAAGCATAGGTTAAAAATAAATTCTTAATTAAAACATACTATAACAGCAAGCATATTAAAACACAACGTGTATGTATGTTTGTCTTCCATATCTTTATTGTTATAAATGTGTTGAATGAATAATGTAGTGCGAAGTCAAAATAAACATTTGACTGAGGAAGGACTGAACTGCAACTTGGTACTTTTGCCAAGAACAATTAGTTTGAGTTGTTGTGCAGATAGAAGGGGTGGACCTGAGGAGCTTTGGTAGAACAAAGATGGCAGAGGCATTGTTTTCCAGTTTGTAATCTTGGAGGGATGTTGGAAAATAGATCTGTAATAGCTACTTTTGCAAGATTTGGGAATGAATGTCAGTCCTGAAATTATTTTCCTCAATCACTGTGCTCCTTCCAGGTGTTTTAAACAAAGTGGTAGCAAACAATTTATTGTGAGAAGAAGACTGATCTAATTGGTACATTTGAAGCAACCCAGGAATAGCTGGTGCCACGGAAAAGTTGATGATGAATCCAAGACAGTCTGCCAAGATTGTGAGAGTAAGTATGTGCGACTGAACTATGTCTGGGCCTTGAGACAAAGACTGTATGCCAACTGGGATTGGAAAACCTTGCATGAAGGCCCTTCTTTTCTGGTTATGGGTTCTTAATTATCCTTGCCGCTAATTTTGTAGGTTGGAAACATTGTGATCTTAAATATGGTGAAACTTCCACCATTGTAAAGCAGGTTGTCTTTAATATGGCTCAAGTATGATAAGCTGGAAAGTATTAGTTCAGGGAATAGGCTTTTGGTGTTTATATTTTGGAAGGCTGAGCTGTTTCAATAGGATTAGTTTTTAATAGCTTTTCTCTCTTTGCACTAGCTTCATAAAGGTTTGACTAAAAAAGAAAGAAACACTGAAACGGGAAAAAGCATGGATCACGTAGCAGATGATGAGCCCCTGCTTAGCTGTTTTCTGTCACAGGAGCATAGAGTTGGAAGGAACTGAAGCTCACCTGCTGATGTTCTTCCCCATTATTGCTACCACCCGCTTCTTGAATTGGCAGCAAAAGCTACAGCTTCTCTTTCACATTGCCACCACATTGAACGCAGCTGGAGCGACTCTGGTTAGCAAGCCCCCTGCTAGGCTGTGGGCCCTCAGCGGGCGGCCAACGATGTTGACCTTTGGTGCAACCAGTCATTCAGGATGTGGTCTGAAAGTATCCGATACAGTCACCTCGCTTAAGTCAAAGTCTGTTCAGTACCTGGATGGGAAACCACCTGTAAAGTTGGGCACATTTTCATGAGATGTAAATGTACATCTTCATCATGATGAATTATAATCTCACCTTCTTCCCTGACTTGCTAGTTGGCAGGGTATTTTTTTCTCCCTGCCATAATATTAGAAGTAGGTAATACCGGGTAACAAAAGTAGATTTTCTCACGAATAGTAATAAGCATTCTTCAGGTTGAAAATGATATGGTAATAAACTGAAAGGGCTTCTCTTTCTGTGTGAAATTAGGTTTGCAGTTCAGGTATGGTATACAAATAGGATTCCCCAGGTTTTGATACCTGCCGTGTACAATAACCTGACACAGCAGTGTGATGTGGCTTCAAAAATGGCTAATGCCTGTGCTCAGACATGCCTTGTATATCTGCCTAATTTTGTAGGTGTTCTACAAATTTTATTTTACCCTGATTTCTTCCAGGCACAGAATGATTCTATCTATAACATGAGCCAGGTCAAACAAATTCCTGAGTTACCACCCTTGCCTCCTTTGGCTGCAGCAAAGCCCTCTGAACTGTACGAGGTATGTGTACACGTCTTCTGGGTTAAATGTTTTCTGCAAAGCGTGCAGTCCTATGCAAGTTTAGGGTTTTTGTTTTTTTAAATCTCACCAGGCCAGGGACTGCTGGGAGCTGTAGGATTTGTTTTTTCCTGCAACCTGGGTATGATTGCGTCTTCTGGTTTTGCTTATTGAATGCAAGTGGCACTCTGAAAAAGGCAGAATTGCAGATATATAATTTTAGATGGGATGCAGGTGGTGCAGTGATTTAAACTGCTGTGCTGCTGGGCTGGTTGATCGAAAGGTCGCCAGTTCGAATTTGCACAATGGGGTGAGTTCCCGTTGCTCCGTCCCAGCTCCTGCCAACCTTGCAGTTCGAAAGCATGCAAATGCAAGTAGATAAAAAGGTACCACTTCAGTGGGCAGGTAACAGCGTTCCTTGCACCCTGGTGTTTAGTCATGCTGGCCACATGACCACGGAGACCGTCTGTGGACAAACGCTGACTCCCTCGGCTAGGAGACGGAGATGAGCACCGCCCCCGAGAGTCAGGCATGACCGGACGTAACGTCAAGGGGAAACCTTTACCTTTACTTAATTTTAGATTCTGGACTTCATGGTCTTATTGGAGGGAGGTTTAGATGAAGTAGGTTTGCTTCAGTTGTAAGAGACATATTGAACAGTCCCGTCCCCCCACCATTCTCCCCGGCACTCTGTGCTTCGCAACTGCATCCACAATCACATGTCAGAAGAAACAAAAACAAGTAGCTTGTTTGCCAAACAAAAAGAATACTCTCAGCAATTACACAGGCTAAATCCACTTAAATCATGGCACAAATGGGACAACCCCAACAACTTGGAGTGTGTCTCTGCTGCTCTGATGGTAAATGTATCGACTTGGAAATAAGCACCAATTTGCTACACGATATTATGTCAAAATAATAAAGCGAGCATCTGTAGCCATGTACATGCCTGGCCATAACATTATTTTGAAGCTTAAAATGCTGCAGGAACCTGTTCTAGTTTTGTTGGATCCTGACCTGCGTGTGCATTAATGCACACCTGCTTCCCACCTGTGCTATTTGTACAGTCCTTTGGCAGTTCACTGGGCTTTGACCATGAGGTCACCACCGTGCCAGTCTGGTTTCTAGACATTGCAGCAGGATATTTTATGTTTACTTTTTTTTAAGAAGAATGGTTTCGCCACTGGTTATCTGTTTCTGAAATATCTGAAATAATGTAAGATGGAATTGAGCCCATCAAATTTCTTTTCCTTTGTCACTTCCCCGATGGCAGATTTGTTGTTAAATGTAAGAGAGAGCTAGCTTCCAAAACTATTCCCTAAGTGGCTCCTTGTCTAAACTATTCCCAAGGCAACCCTAAGAAGTGTTTAAATGACAAATGAACAATACGGTATCAGAATTTGGAGAGAACAGGAGAAGGAACTTACACAGAACATTTTTAGGAGCAGCCTTTGTCTTTTGAGTGAGACCAGAGCATGAGTTTAGTGTCTATTTCTTTACTGATAAGATCATTCCCATCAGTCATAGGCAAAAATCCATTGCTGAAAATGTAACTGTGGCTTATCTCAGCTCCTCCAAATCATCATTGTTTTACTCTCATCATTCACAATTCAGGATTATTGTGTAGCATTTAGGAAAAGGCCTCCTGGCTATGCAGTTCTTTGTGTGTGCCTGGAAAAAAAAATCCTTTACATCACTCTGTAGTTTCATGCACTCATTTTTTTCAAGTTCATATTATGGTTCAGTGGAGTGGATGAGTTTAATTGCTGTGTCTATGAGAATAAATTTGTTTTATGCTATTCTTAGTTACCATATTGTCAGTGGAAAAACTGCTTTGTTATATAATAGAAAATTTGAGACATCAGAGTAGGTAAATGTTGTAATGGACAATTCAGTGGTGGTCTCCAAGGGGCTTCTTGTCATGGTGGCCACCATTTGGAATATTCAGAGTGTGGTGAGGTGTCATAGCTTCTCTTTACACGAAACTCTAAAGCAAGCCCAGGGGTTCTGGGTGGCTTGTCCACTACCCCAGCAACCTTTCCTCATCACATTTGCAAGTAATGAGAAATTGCAGGTGCTTGGATTGGTGCCTGCAGGTGCTGTGTTCAACATGCACACCAGGTCCCAGTTTTTATTACCTCCAGGAAGTCAGCAGGTAGCACAGGTTAACGTCTTTGCTGCTATTCTTTTCCTCCCGTTTCAGTTAATCCAAAAGAGCAGCTATTACCCCACTTTGATGCAGAGAGCATCCTGGACGTTGGCGGCCCCCTTTAAAGAGCAGCGTTATTTCAGAAGCCCGAGCAATTCCATTGCCAACAACTACACGCTTACTGCGCGAGACCTGAAGATGAAAGATCTACAGAAGATAGTCTCACCCATACGGGCAAAGAAGACTCCCGCGTCTGCAAAACAGAAAGCTGAATCTCCACGTATCCCACATGCTTAGAAACAATGTTTCTCGTGTTAGCCCTAGAGTTAGCTGCCTGAGGCAAAGCACAAGATGGCAACCCCCCCATTCCATTCTCTGCACAGAAGCCGGTGGAATGGGCAGCTGAATCTCCCCCACCAGACCTGAAGGCAGTGGGAAATGCTGAAATGGCTCAGTTGTTGTTGTTGTTGTTGTTGCTTTTAGTCGCGAAGTTGTGTCCGACCCATCGCGACCCCATGGACAACCTTCCTCCAGGCCTCCCTGTCCTCCACCATCCCCCGGAGTCCACCTAAGCTCACGCCGACTGCTTCAGTGACTCCATCCAGCCACCTCATCCTCTGCCGCCCCCTTCTTCTTTTGCCGTCTATTGCTCCCTGAAATGGCTCAGAGACATATATAATTCTCTCCCCCAGGAGAGGGGAATGGCTGAGGATCTCAAGCGGTATGACTAAGCCTGCTAGTACTGCTCCCCACAGCATCTGCCACTGGATCTGATTCTGCCTTATGGTGGGGCCAGTCCAGCTTCATGTCAGTGACTTACAAGGCTGAGTGGTGTTTGCATCCCCATCCCCACCACCTGTGGGGTGGGTGGGGGATGACTCCAGGCTGGAGATGTTTCTCAGCAAGGTACTCTTTGCTGCAGGGCCTCCCATATTGATGACCCCTTGGTTTTAATGTGGTGTCAGCAGCAAAATCATTTAAATACCTTCAACATAGTACATTTCTGGGCCATTGTGAGCAATGTAATACCGTGGCTCAGTAGCAAGAGCCCTCCCTCTTCTTTCTTTTCCTTCTTGTTTTTGGCTGGCGCTTTTCCTTGATGGAGTCTCACAGTTCCTAAAGAATATACTCCTTCCGAGAAAAGGGCAAAACATTCACCAAGAAGTGTTGGCAGTGACTCTGACAGGTATTGCATAGTTATCAACTTTAAATTTATTTAACAGGTGTAATTTGGTTGGTTGTTCTTGTCCCACAAGGTGTGGGGCAGAAAGGGACCAAATCTTCCCTGCAGGAGCCCCCATGCGGTCCTCTGGTGGTAGTGACTGGTTAGTACAAGGCACCATTCCAGCCAGCCCCACAGCTCCTACTAAGAGAGGGCAAATTGCAGGTAGCTTAGCCTGGTCTACCGTAACTGGCAGTGGCACTCCAAAGTTTTCTCCCAGAGATTGTACCTTGTATGCTTGACATGTGAAACAGGTGCTCTGCTGCTGAGCTTTAGTCTTTGATCCCCAGATTCTGCAATTAAAAAAAAGCAAAGGCATTTATGAATACAAAAGATATACTGAAAAAATGCTTATCTTTTTGAATGAAACAAAGTCAAAACTGTCCTTTATTCTTGGCATTTGACAGCAGATGATCAGCTCTTTCATGGACTCACTGAATTGTTTAATATCGATGCTTTAGTGGCTATAGAGGACCAGAGCCTCAGGCTTTGAATTATAATCCGGCATTCTGGATGTCCCTAGGAAGCCAAGCCTCCTTCCTCAGATCTTATCCCCTTTCCGCTGACCAATTATTATTTCATGGTATTCTGCAGTTCCTTTTCCCCCAAAGGTTGAAATGGTTATTTTATGCTCCTAGTTATTGGCACTTGGAGCTTCAACCTAATTTCTTCTTCTGATTTCTGCCCTGCCCATAACTGAGGCCCACTGCAAAATGGATTTTGGTCCTTGGGTGGAAATACAGTACTGCTGTTTTGTGGGGTGGTTACATACTTGCTTTAGCTGCTATAAATGGTATATGTTTTAACTTTGTCAGTCTCCTTGAATCTCCCCTCTTAGAAATCATCACCATCACATTAATAGTAACAATAGATGCTGTTGTTCATCACTGGCTTAAAGAAACTTGCAACAAGCATAACAGTGAAGGAGCTACTAGGCTAAGCTGGCCCAAGTTAAAGAAGCTTGAGATTTGCTGAAGATTTGGAGATGCTCAAAGCATAACATGGACTGCAGTTGTTTAAAAGTACATTTCTGGTGTACTTTTCATTTCAGAGGTGGCTGGTGGTAACTAAACCGGTGGCTTTTCATTTCAGAGGTGCAGAAACATCCCAGGTATGCAGTCTGGAATCATTAGCAGCAGTCAAGCAAATCCCAAAATTAGAAGTTCCTTGTTATTCTGACAGTGAGCCTCTGACTCCAGAAGAACAGTTTATTGTAATGCATTATCATGAAGAGGAGATCAGCAAACAAGAAATGCTGCCCACAGATAATGATCTGGAGGTAGGTGAGCAATTGAAACAGAAAGGTACATGTTTCATAACAACCTTTATCCTCAGAGTGCATGCCTGCCTAGAAGAAGGAGGAGTACAAGTCTAAACAACAAAATAAATACAAAAAAGCCATATTTAAATTGGCAAATTAAGTTGGAAAATTGACTTTTGTTTTTCATTATTCCTTTACTTTCCTTTTTTTTTTTTTTGCTTTCCACTTGCTGATGCCCCATTTGAAAACCCATTTCATTCCTTTTTTGAATGTTGAACTCTCATGGCAGTCTGCTGAAAAGAGAGCAACTTCTTGGCATTTAACATTATGCCTGAATTCTGTGACAACAACCTTTGCAATTGACTAGAGAGACTTGGCATTGCAGCTGCTAAAAGCTGCAGAAACAATTCAGAAGAAATTTGCAATTAAAATAATGTCAAAACAAATTCAAGTGGTAGTTCCCAAGTGATCAGAAGTTAGGGTAAGCAGTGAGGTGGTTATGTTTGCTGAGGTCACCGAATAATTAAGGATGGTTAAAACAAAAAGAGATGATAACAAGCTTCAAGGGAGGGAAGGGCCTGAGCAGCTCCGCTGTGAAGAAAGGTCACAAGGTTTGGGCTTTTTGTGGAAGCATCTTGTGGAAAAGGTTGAGAGGTTTTCTCCCTTTCCCATACTACTAGAACCAAGGGTCAGTAAAACATTCAACACAAAAGGAGATCTTCTTTACAAAATGCATATTTGAGATATGGAGTTTGCTACTAAGGTAACTATCAACTTAGATGACTAAAACAGGACCCTAGTGTAGCCTTCTGTGCTGTGTCTTATGTTCCATTGATGATATTAATTCCATCTAATGATTTTGTGGGGGTTTGCAGCGCTACTGTTACTACATTCATAAGGGCATCCGGAAAGACATGCTGACACCACAGAAAGAAGAAGTGATGGACAGTATTTTAAACCATATCCCGAGTCATTTTCTCATCAACCCAAATTTGGAGGCATTGTTGAACAGCTTAAAAGAAGAGATTCAAAATGATTATCAGATTTGGCTCATGAAAGACATTGGTAAGAGAGAAGAATGAGATTTGATTGATGCCATGGTGCTTTGGAGTTGAGTGTCATTAGTTTAGGGTACTCACTTACGGAAGCTGAACATTTTACTACTCTGTTCTAGGACCCGCCCTATCTGAATGACCGTATGAAGGTCATTATATGAAGTGGCAAACTGCTCCCCATTTTCTTTTTTAGAAACAAAATATATTTAGAATTATCAGCAGAGTTCAGAGTAGATTAACAGATCAGGAAAGACAGCAGATTTTAAACGTTTAAAATGATTTGTAATGCACGTACTTATAAAAAACAGAAGATGGCAGTGACTGGTATAGGTGAACCTGTGATTGGGTTCTCTTGACCAGAGTGACTTATTCTCCCCTTAGCCCTTTTGCATTGGAGGGACTTGCACAGTTACATTTGGTCGGATGGTCTGCCATGTCAGGTGAATGTAGCAAGGATGGCTTGTTGCTCAAGTTATTTCCCCTGGCCAATTAAGTATATGCAAAGTGGGTGATTCCTTTTGGGATAAAACACAAGGGGCATATTTGTGTAAGGTAATATGCATGCGTGCGTTCTCTCTCTCTCTTGCGCGCGTGTGCACACACACACACATCATTTGAAAACAAGGATGTATGATTTTTAAAATTTCTAGCTATTGGATTTTCATCATGTATAAAAGCACAGAATTAATTAATTAACAATATGTAGCTGATTAGTTGATTAAGTGTGCACTCTCATTCTACTCAGAAGCAAGTCCTATGCGTTCAATGGAGCTGACACTCAGGATGCAAAATTGCTCTGTAAATTTTCTTTACTCATGGGTAGCTGATTGAGCATTAAAATGGAGTGTATTTGTAAAGTTTTCGAATGATAACATTCTAAGTAACGTACAGCCATATAGTCCTCCAGATTATATTTAATGACATATTTTATGCTATAGCTGCTTGCATCTTTTGGATTCCTCAAGTAGACTGTGTTGGGGTACAACTTTTTAGGATTTACATTCACGTGGATTTTTCCTATGCTAGATTTTGTAGATTATAGACATGCTACTGACATTTTAAAAGAAAGGGGGAAAGGGGCAATGCCTTTTTTAATTCTTTAAAACGTCACACAGTGCTGCTCTTATTATGCAGAGTTAAGCGCAGAGTCTGGGCCGCGGGCACAGAGCCCCCTAGTGGTTGTTTGCGAATGCAGCAACCGCCACTCCCTTGTCCACCCCTTCCAAATACTATGTTGAAATGGGTTGTTTTGTTTGTTTGTTTGTTTTGCCTTTGCCTTATTCTTCCCATGTGTTATATGACTTTACTCCAGTTGATTACATCTTGATGGATCCAGATGAAAGAAAGAGACTCTTTATACACAGCATCCCCCAGCCTTTCCCCCAGAGAGTGATCCGTGCACCTGTCCCGTGGCACAAGATGTACCAAGAAGTGAGAATCTGGAATGAACGGCACCTTTTCACGGTGAATCCCATGATGCTTGCTTTGCAACAGCTCTGGTTCGCAGAGTAAGTTGCCTTCTTTATAAATATTCTGTAATTCCTCCTGTATGGCAGAATCCGTGACATCAGCAGATTTTTAAGTGTGCTCATTGTGACAGTCCTGGTAGCTGGGCCTGGAAGCAGAATCCAGAAACTAGCCTGCGGTGTTGATCCACATCAACGAATCCATTCTAGCAGCCGGACTTGTACAAAACGAATAGGTCTTAATGGGCCAATGGCCCATTCAGGATCATATAATGCTAAACTGCTTTTCATTACAATGGGAAGCAATATATTGTTGCTAGAAAAGTCCATGTGTGAACCCATCCAGGTGCTGTGAGGGTTGGAACTAAAGTGTGTGTGGGGGGGATTCTGAGGGAATGGTTGATCTGATGCCGAAGTGCTCACCCTGTCCCTCTGAATGCTTGCTCTGCTGCGCTCTGGTTACAGTGCATTTTCGTGCCAAGCAAGCGCTGTGTAAATTACCCTGAGGGCCCAGTTCGGCCAAGACCACATCAGATTAGACCTGAGGATAATCAGGAAGAGACAGAACCATTTGTACAAAAGATGAAATGTAGCTTGTTAATCACAGAGTTAGACTAGGGGTGGTTTATCAATACACAGGAAAAGATAAGCTTACTCATGATCCTCACAGGACTTCCTAATACAAGTTTCCTAGACTGCTTTTGAGTATTTGAATTCTTGTCCTAACCTGGAAGCCAAAGCACATGCCCACAAGCTATGGATTTTACAGAGGTCCCTCTCCCCAAGCACTAAGTGAATTTTGTAAGCTCTTATTTAAAAAAAAAACACCCAAATTCTCTGTTGTCCCTAAGCACTGTTATGCCTGCATTTAATCTTTGTATCTGTAGCACTAACTCGAGCTCATCCCAGCTATGCATTTTACCCCCACAGGTTTTGCAAACTGAGGTTCGTTCGTACCAATGATATACTTGCTGGTGAGTTGCCGCTACTGCCCAATGAGTTTGAGGAACTGATCCGAAAACACTGTCAGGAAGCTCATGATATTCTTCAAAACAGGTCAAAATGCTTTAAGTGGATGTTAATTTCTGAAAACCCTCAGTGGGCCCAGCTTTCTTTCAACACAGCATTCCTAGGCAGACAATTCAGGTTGAGAATGTGAGGTAAACAGGGTAGAAAGGGAGCAGTTGGCAGGTGTCTCTGAAAAGTCAAGGTGAGCAAGCTGTATTTGTCAGGTAAGGACTGAGAACCAAAGCAACTTGGGCATGGGGGGAAACATGGTAGAACAAAGGAGGGAAGAAGAGTGAATTTCTACACCCAATGAGGTGGTGCCAGGCCAAACAGACGAACCAGTTATGCCACTTCAGGTGCTTCCATTCTTTGACCCACAAGTGTGAACCATCCTGAAGGTGGAATCAAGACACGGAAAAGGTTGTGGGGGCTGTTTTGCAGGTAGGGAGGAGAATGAAACTGACTGAAAGAGCGTCTGGCCCAACCCTGTGTGTTCATGGCAGGTATGAACTGAGGGACTTCATGAGTCACAATTTAGTCTGGCAGCTACTGCACCAGGGTGGATAGATTTCAGAGACTTGCATATTCCTTTGTTTTTCTACTGACCTTTTGAAATCTACCAACCAGAGCCTGGAGCAAAAGACTCACTCATGATTAAAGAATTCTGATTACAGGAATTTGAATAGCCAGAACTGCTCACACTTCTTCTGTAGAAAAGCCCTGCCCTGGCTTCTGAAGCATCCTTAATCTCAGCAATGCGATTTAGGTTGCATGTGAGGGTCATTGGTTCTGCTATCGTTCAGTGATGAGGAATCTGAAATCCTTAGTGATCAGTGGCCAATCATCCAAAGATATACCAAAAGGTTCCCATTTACCTTCTGTTCTGTTCTCCTTTGGTCTGTATTATACTTGGGTCTTATTGTGTTAGCCTAGATCACTAGCAGTGCCTGTCTAATCAGAAGTAAGCCCCATTGAATCTGCTCAGTACCTAGGGAAGTGGGTGTAGGATGGCATCCCCCATTTTCTTTTTGCTGTTACTTTGGATTTGTCTGTTTAGAGGGTTAGATTAGGATTTTATCCCGCCCACAGAACAGTCTGCATGGGAACAGAGCAGGTTGTTGTTTTTTTAAAGCTCACTTTTACGGTGATTAATTTGTTTTTGATCAGAGCAAATCCTGCATGAGTCCAGCTCACGTCAAAGTCTTTGCATCATGGATTGAAAGCAGCTAGCAATAAAGGACTGTGCATCCTTCTGCTTCTAGAGACTTTACTGTGTAATATTTATTTAAACTAATTTAAAACCTACACTATTTATCAAAAATAGGAACAGCAGAATTGGACAGGAATGTAGATACAGATATTAAGGGTTGTTAGTCCCCTCCGGATTTATCAGTGTTATTGTGCTGGTTGCGGTAGTCACTTATGAATCACCAAAAAGGAGAATATGAGAGGACACAGATTTGCATAACATTGCTAACGTGTATATATGGAAACATAAAAATAGAACACCAACAAGAATTTAATAGAAATGCAGTGTATCTCACCACAGTGTGTAAGACTATGACTGTGTGTCTTATGTGACTTGCTTAATCTCCTGTCCAGGTGTTACTGATGGGCAATTTCAGTGCCCAGCTCGTCCTTCTGATGGTTCTTTATCTGGACAGCCCTTCAGAGATGGGACAGTCAAAATAGAGGGCTGCCCTTCAAATTCTGTCCTTTGTAAAAGAGGACACATGGCTAGCCTGTACATATAAAAGCTGGCCTTTTTAAAGGACATTCTGGTGGGTAGAATTCTTCTGTGGTTACTGTTGGGAGACAGTATATGGATGGTCCAGACAATGTTTAGCCTGACAGTGCTGTCAATAATACATTATATTGAAAATGTTCTGCATGTGATATTTATTTGTGTTTGACTTGAAACACTTCTACTCTGTCTTTAAATTGCACATACCCAAGGCAGCTTACACTGCATTCTTTAAAACAAACTCTCTATAAAGTTAACGAGATAAAAACTGTTCACATATTACAGGTGGATTCCCACATGTGCAGACCTCTTTATTGCTCAGAAGGAAAACTGGCTTCATCTTGCTCCCCAAAATGACTTGGACTCTTCCCAGCAAATAGAAGAATATTTTGCTTCAATTGCCATCCTCATGTCGCTACAGCTGCGGGAGATGGTCATTAACTCATTAGAAGACCTAGTTTCTTTTTTTAAGATACACAAGGTATGTAGACTTTCAGAACGGTTAGTCTGTTGCAGTAAAAAAGAGTTTTGTGGCACAAAGAGGAATAGATTTGTTATGTAGAAGGTGCTTCCTGAATTACTGATGTGTGTGCCTATGGGTTGGGATGAGAGTAAGCAGAGAAATTTTAAACATGAGTTCAGAGGGAACAGAAATACAGAATTAGATGTCAATATTACAATCCCATTTTCCAGCTTGAGCTTATTAATGTACTTATCAAAATAGTAACAACATTCTTACCCTGCTTCCAATTCTATTCAAAGTGGTATAACAAAATGTCATCCTAAAATTTATCATTAGAAAACAAAGCACCAGCAAGTGGCAGAATAAGAGAGCTCAAGCTAAAAAAGGTAGCAACTAAAATAAGGGTAGGGCTGCATGTGGCCATTTTTAAAAGTTTTTAAAAATGATTTGAAAAAAGCTTTTAAAAGTTCTCTGGAAGCCAGCAGATCAGATTTGGCTTCTCCCACCCGTGCCCTCAGCAGTCCTCTGGGCTGGCAGGGAGAAAAAGAAGGGGTGTCAGAGAGAGAAAGAGAGGAGTGGCCCTGCCCATTTTTAGCTCTGGCTGCACCCATCACCGGCTTCAGCCCTGCCTGCTGCTGGCATTAGCTCCTGATAAATTACCCCTGAGAAAATGCAGCCCTCAACAGAAAAAATGGACCCCTTGCTTGAACTAAAATAGTTCAGCCCCCCGGAAACTTTCTTAAGACCTCACTGAACACATGGGAACCTTCTGTGAATAGGATCCTTTTCTCTGTATAGACTGCATACAGATAGATTTTTCTGATGGCTGTTCTCAGTGCTTGCTGATTTCTGTGGATGTAAGCCCAGGCTAGCCTCAAGGTGCTTGCACCAGCTGATAAAGCCCTACATGGATTAGGGCTTGGATAGCCAAAGAAGCCTCTTTTCCCATATCCCTACCCACACTCTAAGGTCATCTATGGAGGTCCTTCTCTAGGGACCACCTTTGAAAGAAATAAGGAAGGTGGCCATGAAGGGAAGGGCCTTCTCAGCTGTGGCACCCTGGCTATGGAATCAGCTCTCCAGGGTGGTGCATCTGGTGCTGACTCTGTATATTTTTTGGCACCAGGTCAACCGGCCCCCCACAGCATTTTAATTGTTAAACAATGTTTCAGATTTTATATTGGTTTTATCTGTATGGTCATTAGCATTCTATGATTGGTTTTATTCTTGTATTATGCATTGTTATTATTATTTTCATTGTTGTTGTTGTTGTCAACAAGCAAGTTCCATTCTAGCCCTGCTCAGTCATCCCAAATCTTACTTTCAGTAAAACCTGGGAGGGAGGACCAAGACTGAGCATGTTGCTTCTGCTCTCCTTGCATTCTGGGTAAACATTTGAAGCAGAAATCTCTTTCTGTCCATGGAGACTTCCTGTCCCATCATGTGGAGAGTCTTCACAGGAAGATGAGGCTTCCCACTGGAGACATCAGTCCTGGACACAAAGAGGTTGATGGAGATGCTTGGAGGAAGCTAGCGTGCTCATTGCTCCTTCTCCCTTGTTGGTGTGAAATTTAGAAGACCTGAAGAGGGTCTTCATGCTTTTCCTCCATGAATGACTGTCATTCTTCACAGGTCCCTTACTGTCCTTCACTAGCTGTGACGTTCTTTTCATCCTTCTTCTTCAGGATGGAAACGACTTTGGAGAAACTTATCATGAAATGCAGTTCTTTGTACCACAAATACTGGTCATCAAGCTAGATGTGAAAGATCCTTCAATTGTATTTGACCCAGACATGAAAGCTTGCTGGGATTTAATCTACCGCTGCTTCCTAGAGATCCTAAATAATGCTGAGGGACTTCCAAAGGTATGTACCAGTAAGAGGGTGAACTTCCTGTGCAGGCTTATTCAAAAGTTAGCCACATCTCTGGCCATAATGTTATCCATAGTTACCTGAGAGTTAGCCCAACTGAACATCATGTCTCATATTTCTGAGCAAACCTGCCCATTATTGTGTTTTCTGTTCTATAATTTACAATAGTTTATGGAATGAGACTTAGGGTATTGTAGCAATCAAATTTCTTTGGTGTTTTAGGGTTCTAATTTGTGTGCCAGATTGCACCTGAAATAGCTGTTTATTTTATTCACAACATTTAAAAGCTCACCTGTCATGTCTTATTTTGTCCTAAGTACCAATTTCAGTGTGTATTTGAATAGGAAATTTCTATGACTTCAAGGATACAGTTAATAAAGGCTTTAGTCAAATGTGTGCCTACTTTAGAGTAAACCCCATTCAACTGAGGAGGCTCGTTTCTTGGTAAACAGGTTTAGGATTTATCCATACACATTTCAGGAAGTACTTTTGGCACTGTTGACTGACATGACCAAAAATTAGAGCAAAGTGCTTTTCAAGTGTCACATATAATACATGACCCATAGAAATGTATGTATCCTATCTGTATCATCCTGCTTTTTCTGTGATATTTTCCCTGTCTTTAGGTACAAGTTAAGCTTTTCCCAGAATTAAAAGGGGATGACCTAATTCTTCGTACTGTCCAAGAAGATGAAGCTTTAGTTTCAGAATATGTGAATAAAGCTGCTGAAATATTTGATTGCAATTTAGTTGGTCCACAGAAGTAAGTATTTCCTGCTACTTTGTTGACCAGAGAGAGCAGAGGTAGACAGGAAGCAGAGAAAACACCAATTGGTAGGTCTCCGAGTGATTTGCAATAGACTTCCAAGGATTTCTGAATTCCAGGTTTCTAACAATAGCCACAACGAAAAACTCCCTCCCCTTAGATTAGGTTGTTGAAAATGATTGCTGAGGGGAAGCTAGAAGTAGATTGGGTGTGAAAGGACATGTGGGTTTGGATTTGGTATGGCTAAGAATTCCCTAACTCATTTCTAGAGCATGAGAGAGCAACTTTGGGGGCTCCAGGTACTCCTTGGAACCTCCCAGGGATTGTGTTTTAAATGTGGGCTGCTGAATTTTGGCAGAAGGAGCATCCAAATCAGCAAGAAATTGAGCTCTAAAGCAATTTCAGTTTAAATTGGCAACCTTCCATTGTTTTGCTGTTGCTGCCAGGGACAGGATTTGGTGCGGGGGGGGGGGGAGTAGTGGCCATGGGGGCCACACCTTGCGCACCTTTGTTCTAGTTCTTTCTTCGCACATTTCCTCCAACCTGATCCCCCCTTTTGCACCTTGCACCAACCAGCGAGATTCAGGATTGTAGGAAATAATAAAGGAGAACCCTCAAGACCTGAATCTTTTGTACCACTGTCATGAAACATTCCTTAGGGTTGCCTAGGGGAGTTGCTTAGCCTGGTAAGACTTGGTTATATTTAATAGGACGCATGTCAGGACCAGAGAAAGGGAAGGATTTGCTTAACTCCATGGTAAAGTATTTCAGATTGATACTTGGAATTGCTGTTGTAGACCTACAATGCTAGTGACCAAGCTATTTGCTTTATTTATTTGTTTACAATTCTGCTATAGTTTCTGGAAGTTCCAGTGCCTGGAATTTATTGGTGGCCAGTGGTAAAACTAGGGACCCGAGAGCTGCCAAATGACCACCCAGGCAAGGGGCCAGCGCTTCAGCCACCATAGGCATGCCAGGGCCTACTAGGACTGATGCTATTCATCACAGAATCCTTTCTTCTTTTAAAAAGCATTTTAGAGTTAAGGGACAGCTGGCTGGCACATATATATTTTTTCTAAGAAAATGTGTTTTCAGTTCAGGGCAGCAGAAGCAGAAATCTTTTTTCTTTCTGTAGTCATAACAGTGCTATGATTCAAGTACATTTAAAATATGAAACTATGCATGTTAGGAGCGTTTCTTTTTCTATCAGAGTTGGCATAATTTTTAATTTTGCTGTGTTCTAATATATCAGGAATGTAGAAACTCTGTAAAGCGTGGTAAATTGCTGTGTGTGTCACAACTAGAATAAAACGTAGGATCTAAAGGAACTATGAAACCATTAAGTCCAGCTGCACCACTACTTAGATTTCTGTGTCATTTTAAAAAACAGCAACCCCCTCCAACAGTTTTGTTTGTCATTTTCAATTATCCTGGGTTAGGTAATTTTTGTTTCTTTTATGACCCTTCTGCATTTAAGATACTTAAGCGTGTACAGGAAATACAGTGATTTGTTGAATAACAACGCAGCAAAAGGTGTGACAGAATTTTTAAGCCAAAGACATGACCTGGATGATTTTGTGGAGGTAACCATTTATTATATAACTATTTATTTCATTTTCATTAGTTTTTTTAAATTTTTATACCAGTCGATAGCAAAAAAGGCTCTCTAAGAAGTAAGACCAATGCTTGCAGAGGAAGGTACATGTATAAGCCAGGTTGATTTCTCCATCCTGCTGAGCCCTCCTTTGAATGGCATGTCTGCTGGGAGGGGTTGAATCAGTGATTGCAGGTTACCTGTAGAGAAAACTGGGCCTTTAGTGAAAGGCAGCACTTGTTAGAGGGTTTTTGTGCACCAGCAGAACAATGAAATCTCTCTGCAGGGATGAGGTGTGTGGGCTGGAGTCCTGAAAAGAATAACAGCAGGGTTCTCTAACAGAGCTATAGGTAGTTTAATTGGGGTGTGGCTTTCCTGAGGGGTTTCAGGTGAGTGCAGCACCAGGGTGTGGGCTCGGTCATTCACAAATCAGCAGGTGGTGCTGTAAGGGCCAAGTCTCTTCCATGACTCTTCATAGCAAAAAGGCATGAGACTTACTGGAAAAGAAGCAGGACAACTTTTGTTTCAGAGTAGGATGGTTGCATGTGAGAGACCTTGTAGCTCTACACAGTCTTCCTTATTTTCAGATGTTGGATCTAGGAACCTTAGATCTGTTGTAAGAAAGGGAAGTTTTTATGTTCAGATCAGAAATGCTCTTTAGGTTGGAGCACAGATATGCTTTGAAAGAATACTGCGATACAGCCTCATCAATCCGTGTGTGTACCTGTGTGTGTGCACTGCTTGTTTTTGGGATGTTGTCGGCACATCAAAAACTTCGCCAGCCTTGGATGTCACATGGTTCACATGGTTACTGTGAACATGGAGGTCCTAGGAGGTTGACTTTGGGGGTGGCGGGGAGGGTTTAAACATTTTTCTGGCAATGCAAAACTTAAAACAAAATCAGTTTCTTATACATTTACCCAATCAAAAAGGCTAATGCAAGATCCTAATGCAAGACAAAAATTGCATAATGAGTCCTGAATAATCAAGGGCTCCTGGCCTCATTTTCCTTTAATTCAAGTAAGTGACTTGCTAGTATTTTTATTGTATACAGCAGTCAATTTCTTTGGCAAATTGAATTTGCAAGAGCTTAAGAATTCACTACAAGCACTGAGAGGGCAGAAGATGGAACTGATAAAGTACACAAATATCTGGGTAAAACATGCTGCGATGCCCTGATTCTGTTCCCTCACTCTCCAGACCATTTCCTTTAAGTATCATTCAGGAATCAAATATAAACCTGATTTCTTTGAAATAGCCTAAAACAATTGCATCACTGTTGCTTTGTCGTTGGCATTGCTCCATGTATTATGGTGCTTTCATCCTGATGCAGAAGATTGATGGCTTGACAAAACTGAAGAAAGAAATTGCTTCCATGCACGTCACAGTTCCCCTGGGCATGTTCTGCCTGGACGCATCAAAACTGAATGAGGAGCTTTGCAATCGGACTCAACAGCTGAAAGACAGACTGATAGAGTTTGAAGTCAATGAAAACAGGGAAGTAAACCAGAGGTATGCTTAAGTACGGAGGATGTGGCTTTAACTGGGTTTTATTGACTCCCACTTACGTACCAATTCCAGTGTGACCCAGTGCATAAATCTGCGGAGGGACCGTCATTCTAAGGTAAAGCACTGCTTTGCAGTAGCTATTCATGTAGAAGTTCTGTACTTGAGATTCTGGAGAAAGGCTGCCTGTTAGAGTAAACACTACTTTCTGGGCCCAGTTTAAAAGACTGATCTTTTAATCTGTAAAGGTTACCTGGGAAATTGCCTTCTTTCTTATGTAGCTACCCAATCCTTAAAATGTCATTTGCCACTTATGCCTCTGCCAAGTCAATTGGAGCAAATGGCTGCAAAGGCCTGGAGAGCCTTTTTGGTGGTGGCACTCCAGTTATGGAATCGCTTCCCTAGAGAAGCTCATTCGGTCCTTTCAGTGTCACAGGGAGACCTTTGTCTTTTTCAAACTCAGGCCATTTACACAAATGTGTGTTTTAAATCTGTTTTGAAATTTTACTGTTTTAATGTAGTTTTTAGTTGGTGCTGATATTTGTTCTGTTCCTGCTAGCAGGAAGGTTTGCTTATGTGGGTCCTCAAGAAACAGGCCAGGCTATTTGAGGCCAAGAAATGGCAGTGGTGAGGCCGTTGAGTAGATGGCAGGGCAGGGCAGGGCAGGCAGGAAGGCCTGTCAGATGCTGGGAGTTGTGCATTGAGAGGGCGCAAGGTTGGGAAGGGCAGAGGGAATGCCGTGAGCAGGCAAGGCCCCTGGCAGCCCCTGGCAGCAGAGGGCTCACAGAATAGGCGGATCCCTGCAAGTGGCAGGCAGAGGGTGGCACGAACCTGCCACATGCCTCAGCTGAGCAGTACTTGCATTATGTAAAAGACATTATTATTATTATTATTATTATTATTATTATTATTATTAGAACACTTCTATGCCGCCCCTTGCCGAAGCCTCGGGGCGGCTTACAAACACAATAAAATACAATAAAATACAAAAATAACAATATAAAATTAAAATTAACAATATAACAACCCTAAAATATAAAATATAAAAGACATAAGAGAAAAGGATACAAAAATGATTTGCTTTATGTATCAAAGCGCTCTTTAAAAAAAACAAGCAAATAAAAATCAAATGTTCATATGGTCTGGTTCTTGCTCCTAGCCTTGCAGTGCTGGGAAAATCTCTTTTGAGCTGGGCTGGAGGATCTGCCAAACTCCTCTGGGACCACTGCCCAAAGAATCAGGCATAACCCCTTTGATAGCTTCCTCTGAGGGGCTGGAGCCAGAAAACATGATCTGCTTACAGCCTATTGGCATTCTGTAACGTTGCTCATACAATAGACTCTTGTTCATCCTTTCAACACCAGATGATTACATTTTGCTTCTCCAACACATTTGAATAGTTTTGAGCTCCAGCATCTGTGGTTATTTTTGCTACTTTTTTCTCTACTGGAATGGAAATGGTTTTAAGTGAATTTTGGGAGCGATATTTATAAGATAGCTGTATGGTTTTAATGCATATATTATATAGTATATGTTATATATGCCATATATTTGTACTCTGTCCTTCATACATCATGGAAGTGCTTCTTTTGGTTGTGTGAAGCAATATATACTGTAATGAATTTAATGAATTAATTAACAATTGGCTCCAGGCTTTTGTTGGAACATAACCCTGAGCTGAAGCTCTTAATGCATATTTCAAAGCTTGGATTTTTCTCTGCTTTGTGCAGAACTGTCCATGGTCCTGCTTCCCAGCCAGAACTTTCCGGGCAGCCTTCACCTTTATGCTCTGTTTCATGTATATCACTTTTCTGCTTGAAATGAAATTTAAAGAGTCTACACATTCTTAATAATTCCAAACTGGTTAGCCATGAGAATTCACTAATAAATATTTGCTGTTTTCTACTTGGATTAGGGTTAGGAAACCTTATACTCAGGTGCCAAATTGGGCCTTCCCAGGGTCTCAGTATGGCAATTTGGGGCTCTTGAAGTAGCCATGACCCTTTCTCAAATAATTTGCTGTTTTCCTGGCTTTTGCATAGGTTGTTTTCCACATTCTAAAATAAATGAAATGTCTTTCCTAAGACTTGGTTATTGGCAGGAAAAGTAATGAGCAAAAGTATGAAGATTTTTTTTTGTATTTTGGGCCTGCTCCCTGGCTTCTAGCCCCACCCACCATTGGAAAAGGACTACCATATTAGGAATGATTTGCAACAGAAATAATTTTCATTCATTGTGATGACTGTGTCATAATTACACACCCTTTCTGTTTCTTTCTTTCTTTTTTAGCATTTGTAACCAGTACAATGTAATTGCAGACAAAGTCAGTGAGGTGCCTTTGACCACCGAAGAGCTCGTTGAGCTCACGGCCTACTTGAAAAAAGCCAGTGAAGTGACTGTTTTTAAGCTGCGTCGTGAAATTAAGGAGGCTATCTACAGACTCGAATTTCTGATGGATTATGCTGACCTCCCTTGTACGTTTGGAGATTAAAAATATACCATTAGGCCTCAGGCTAAGCATCTGGGCATGAGGAATGTCCCCCTCTCCATAAGAAAAATTAAGTGGGGTGCGGTGGAGAGAAAAAAAACTGTGGCAGGCAATTTCAGACAATTCGCTATCTTGCTCCACTCAGGGTTAGAGCAAGAGGTGGTAGTTTGCTCTGTCTTTTAACATCTCCCTTGCATTGAAAGCAATGGGAGGAAAAATACCTGCAGCAGCCTGGACTTAGCATTCTTTGGGAGCCCAGCCTCTTTTGCAGAGGAGAGCACTGTATTTGTAGGGCTGCCAGAGGACTGCCTGTTATCTGAAGAGATCCTCTGTTTGAAGTGCTGTCCTGGTCAATTCCAGTTTAAAGATACTGAACTTTAAGGGCTGTTGCCCATCCAGAGAAAACACCTGTATATCAGGCTGAAGAGGCAGATCCATAGGTCATTGTCTTCAACAGCACGAGGAGACATCTTGACTTTCTATTGAAAATCTAATACGTATCTGTAAATTTTCATGTATACCTATAAATTAGGAAAAGCCAACATTAAATCACTTTTTTGGTGATTTGTCTCCTCTCCCTCCCTCTCTTGTTAATTCATAATTGGCCATCTTAATCAGCATGTACGTTGGCAGAATTGGTTCCAGGATAACTCATATCCTAGCGTTTGCAGTCTCCTCTGCTTCAGTCATCAGAACACTCCTTTCTGCCCTTCTTTAAGGTTGCTTCCCTAACCTTAGAGAGCAGTTGGCACAGCTTGTTCTGTGTTGGTTGCATGGAGGGGGAGGGATGGAGCGCTAGTCCTGAAGTCCAAGGCTGAGCACTGGTTCTGGCCTTGAATCTGGGGATCTTCTGGGCCCTAAGAGGCTAGCTATGGGCCAAAGAATTGCTCCTCAGTTGCACTGACTTGTTGGCATTTTCCTAGCCTGCAGAGATTTTTTTTCCAAATCAAAATTTTCAGAATACATATTTTATCCTAGATGATGATATAAAATTAAACAGTACTGTTCTTCACTGGCCTGATGAAATTGAGGTCATCTTTGAAACCAGCAGGACCCAGCTGATGAACAGAAGAGATCATGTGGAACTTGCTCTCATCAAGAGGTTCGTGACTGTTTTCTAGGAATGTTTGAGGATTTCATTTGATCTGCACGTTTACATGAATCAACCTGTTTTGTGCTTCTCGGCACACAGCACAGCTGTCCTTTGGTTTTCCTGCTTCTCTGAGTTGTGTGAGTTTTTTACTTGAAAAATATACAACAATGCGCATTTTAGGATTAAATGCATTTAAAACTGTGTATTGTATGAGAAAATGCACTCGACCCATTTATTTGGTAGGAAAATGCATTAAAATACTTTATTTTTAAGCCAAACAAAGCCTAAAGAAGTCACAGTTGGATGTGGAAACAGACAAAACAAATTTACGAATGAACGCCTGTGGAACCGGCATGAACTGAAATAGAATGAACAGCTGATTCCTAGTTAGGGCCAAGTTACCACAGAAATTAGAAGTCTCCCCTCATCTGGCGGGTGCCAGTTGATCTAGGGCCAGGCCCAATATTGTAACATAAGGATCCTGGATTGGGTCCAGATTTAGTCATACATGCAGAAGGTCCATTGAAATCAATGGGTTGTATGACTATGTTTAATTAGATCTAGTTAAGTCAATGATTATTTATTGATTTTATTTAGAAATTTTACATCACATTGATCTAAAACCGCTTTATTCTTGATTTCCTTTTCTTTCTTCATTGTTAATTGAGAAAGTCTTGTTAAGATGACAGTAAGCTTTGGTGCTTTGATTCAAACCAGGTGTTCCGAATTTGAGGCTGTGCTTGAAAGTTATAACAAAGAAGTTGAAAGCTTCCGAAAGAAAGACGTCATGACCATGGAAGAAATGAAGAATAATGTTGAAAAATTTAATGAGTTATCAAAGAATCTGGACTATGCCCTAGCTGAATATGAAGTTAGTCTGCATAGATTTGAATTTGCAGTCATTAGCTTTATTCCCGATATGGTGCTAACCTATACAAGTTTATGCGAAAATAAATAAAGGACAAGTAATAGGTGAACATGATAAAGGTGTATAAAATTATGCATGGTGTGGAGAAAGCAAATGGGAGGAATTTTTTTTTATTCATAATACAAGAGCCTGGGGCCATCCATAAGAGATTCCGGGCAGATAAACATGAAGGCTTTCTCCATATGGTGCATATCTATGGAATTTGTTACCAGAAGAAGAATTGATCGGGACCTGCTTGGGCAATTTTAAAGGAAGTTTAGATAAATTCATGGAGGGTAGGTCAGTCCATGGCTACTGGTCCTAAATGGCTGTACTTTAGTATGAGAGGCAGCATGCGATACCGATTGTTGGGGAAGATGACTGGGGTGGCGCTACTGCATTTAGATCAAGCTTTCCACGGGCATCTCGCTGGTCATTGTGGGAGTGAGAGATGGGCAAATGGGTGATATGTAGGGTCGCTACCATCCTCTGAACACTGTCTCACTCCTCATCTTGTACCCGATTCCCATTCATGTTTGCCATCACTGCTCGCTTTGTGTAAATGGGAAACTTGTGAATGACGGAGCTGCACGGATTTGCCTAATTTCTCTCCACAGACTAAAGCAGGGATGGTTTCCACAAATTTGCACAAATCAGACTGGGAACTCAGAACAAGATGAACAGAAGCATGTGTTTCACAATTTGGGAATATTTCCAGTGGACATGTACTTGTAGCTTTGAATGGGGCCCGTTTGCATGCCTTGTGAGCAAAATTAACACAAATCTACTTCATTATTAGTGGAAACAGAATACTGGACTAGATAGCTCTTTGGCCTGATCCAGCAGAGCACTTCTTATTTTGTTATGATATCTGATCCACAAAGGATCCTGATGGAAATATTTATGCATTCAGAAATGACCTAGGTATTTGATAGGAGATAGGCAAGTGTCGCTTTGTGACTGATATCTTACATGGTGGATTTATCTCAAGAGAACCATTTAAATTTTCCAACCATACCCTAGAGCACTGGCCCACATTGGGTGCTTTGCTTCTTGTGCGTTTTTAAATGGTGCCCTGCCAAGCCAGCCAGTCCCTGGACAGGGGATGAGTGGCAACAGGCATTTGGCAACATTATGTGCTGACACTTGCTCAAGGAGTGTCGTGAACCAGACCTGAAAATTGGCACCCAAGGCATAACTCCACCATATAATACTATCAACTTATTCTCCTGCTTGGATGTTCCTTAGCTGTCGCCTGTATATGTAACATTCGTCTTTTCTAGAATCCATTTTAGCTTTTTGGCCATGCTATGCCAGTGTCTTAAAACAAGAATATTGCATGTCTGTGTTACAGGCTATTAATAAAGAAGAGGAGCTGCTTGAACGAGAAAAAAGCCAGTTTCCTCTTCTGCAGACAATCATCACGCACAAACAGCCCTTTGAGCAGCTCTGGATGACTGCTTATAATTTTCATACAAAGTCTGAGGAATGGATGAACGGTGAGGGCCTGTACTGGGCAAGAATTTACTCAGAAATGAGTTTTATATTGTTTTATGAGGATACGTTCTGTGTTGATTTTGTGGGAAACAGTGGTTCAGCTAGGTCATTTTTGGGGGGAGCCACTGGGCCATCAGAACTTTTGCCCATGCTCCAGCCCTGGTTGCACCGCTGGGAGGGACAAGTAGAAATAGTGTCCAGGTTCTTCTCACGAAAAGCAGAGAGATCAAGTCTTGAATATCAATAATTTAACATGATTCATTTTCCTTAACCGATTTTGTACTGTGTCTGTCACAAACTCTCCTTAATGGATTCTGTGCTGTGTCTGTCACAAACATGAAAAAAAGTATCTTTTTCTGTTGTGATTGGTGCTACTTTTTCTTCCACATGAGCAGAGTAAGACATGAAGCCTCCTTATATGAAATGGGGGTGGTTTGGCCACTATATTATCCCCCAATGCATTAAGAGTCAAGCCTTCATACAGAACAGGGTTAAGATGCTTACTTAACAGCTCTGGCCAACCATTTCTTGTCTTTCTACAAGAATGGATCACTTTTCTCATATGAATGTGCAAAGATAATCTGAATACAACTTTCTGAAGTAGCTTGAAGTGCAAAACCTCTGTGCACGCAGGATTCTTCTATAGCTGCCCCTTGTGCTCTTTAAGGTGGGACTTTGGTATTTCATTTATTTTGATAGTGCACAGTAATTCTTCTTAGGAACACGGGCATGCTCAAAATGCTGATTGCTATTTCCAATTCTGCCTGCAGGGCCACTCATCCGTATGAATGCTGAAGAGATTAGTGAGGAGGTCTCTGCCATGTGGAGGACCATGTACAAGCTGACAAAGACTCTGGTGGATCAGCCAGGACCAAAGCGTTTAGCGGAGAACGTGAAGTTTAAGATCGACAAATTCAAGCAGCATCTGCCAGTCCTGTCTATTGCCTGTAATCGTGGGATGAAGGACAGGCACTGGGAACAGGTGCCATTGAATGAATGATGTCAGATCCAAAAAGCTCTTGCTCTTCCAAATGCACCCCGACCCCTTGGCTCTGGGGATCTGGCCCGGGTGCAACACCTCAAGCCTCTGCACCCAATCTAGCCTGTAGTCCCGGTTCAGCCCTCCTGCGTTTCAGAAATAGCCAAACTCCTTTCTCCTGTCCATTAATTCCTGTTTTCTTGGCTTTTGGGTGGATTTTGCTTCCATTCTAAATATCTTTTCCCAGGCTCAGTGACTAGCAGTAAGAGTAACTGGATTGGAGCCCTTGTTCCTGATATGGGTCTCATCAGTAATTCTCTTTCTAGCTGGTTCTCCCATAGCCACTGAATTGCTCAGTGTAAGAGCAACGTATGGTGTATGTTTAGTGTGCATAGTATACAAAAGGGCTTTTAAAATAACTAATGCATGTTTGGGGCGTTAAATGGCTTTTAAATGACTTTTTAAAATGCCTTCTTCCCAGAGGGATAGCTTATTTCCTGAAGCCTTTTAAAAGTGGGGAACAATTCTCCATTGCTATATCAGGAATTCCCATTTTTACAGAAAATCACTAAGTATATATGAATATTGGAGATTAAAAATGCACCATGAGCCACTTGGAGTTTATTTCCACATTTAGTAGGAAAAATGCATTGATATTTCTGTTAGTATTATTAGTAAGTATTACTATTAAAATAATACAATATATAATTTTGTTCAATTTTATATATATTTCCAATGGGAGGTCATTCATATCCTTATGCCAATTTATTCAAAATTGTCTTATAACTTTACATAGCCATTTTATTTACAATATTTTTAGTAAATTGAAAAGTGTAATACCTAATGCCATATTGTATTATACCAAAATAAAAGTAGACAAATTTTCTATGAAAGATAGATATTCCTTCCTTTCTCCAGAGTTTCTGTCATGTTTTTCAGAACTCTTTATGTACTTGTTACAATAATACTGTAAGTTAAATCAGTATAACTATCTTTACCTAAGCTCCTCTTTTTCCTGTTTTTCATGATCATATTTGTCTCTCCAACCCTTTATTTCTAGATCAGTGATATAGTTGGATATGAGATAAGACCCGATGAAACTACTTCTCTCATGAATATGTTAGAATATGGACTATCAAAATTTATTGAAAAGTAAGAAATAGACCCAAATGTTGATACCCAGACTGAGTATTTGTTGTTTGCTTTAAAATACTGACATTTAATTTCTACTTGATATTCCTTGAAAATGTTTAAAGCTTTATGACTTTTTAAAAAATTATTTTGAAGTAAGTAAGGAAACTCTGTACAGCTGGTCTGGGAATTTTCAGTCCAAACTATTTGTGTGAAATTATATTCTTCTCGCTTGATAATGATCTTGTCTCCATGACAATCCCACATTTTGACAGCAGTGCCCAAAACTGTATGAGCTGAATCAATTGTGCACGCAAGAGGACTGGAATAGGTCCTAGCTTTTCTCTGTTTCACAGAGAGTGGTGGGGGGGGGGGGCGTTAGACTCAGGTTAGCACTGCTCATTTCCAATTCTACTCTCTCTTTTACACACATCTTCAACCACTACGCTTTCACCCAGAGAAATGAATAAATCTTAATTATACCTGTGTCCATAGGCTCTTTCCACACATTGGGTCCCAGTGTATGTGCATAGAGCCAAATAATGCAATTCTGTGCATGTTTACTCAGAAGTAAGCCTCTCTGCATTCACCACATTCAGTGGGATGCGTTCCCCAGTACAGATTTCTCGTGTGGATGTGCTGAGCTCCTTCTCCCAGATTGGGGAGCTACCACAGAGAAAGCGGGGGGCCTTTCTTCCGCCTCAACATGTGTCAGGCCCCTCTCTCAATTAAAAGCAGTGAGCTAGCAGTGTTATTCAGGCAGCATCCTGGTGCTGACTGATGCCTTATTCCTGTCTTTCCCACCCTAATGCCGTCAAGAACCCCAGCCAGCACAGCCCACTAGGGTGATGAAAGTTGTAGTTCACACTTCCTAGAAGGCACCAGTTTGGGCAAGGAGGTCTTGCATAGCTCTGGCGCAGAGAGAGTTGTAGCTGCAGTCTAGTTCCTCTGGAGGAAACTTGCTTGGAAATGAAGAGAGTTGCACCCTGATGAGAATAAAATGCCTCCTGTGGCAGGACTGGCCTTGACTCACTGGGAGAACTAATGAGGCATTGATTGAACCTGTCTGTGGGGGGAGCCACTGAGGAAACTCCTGAGAATATCATAGAAAAGGGCAAACAAGATACCCCCCCTCCATACCCGTATTCTGCAAGTCACCCTCCCATTTTGTGAGATACCTATATTTACTTCCATGACACCATGTCAAATTGTTACATTTTGCTCTTTTCAGTTTTGCATAGGAAGAGAGCTGTACCAGCAACCTAACTGGGGTCTTCCCTTAAAAATTAATTAAAAATGATTAATTGGACAACTGAACCTTGTAGTGCAACGTTACCCCTTCTATGGCTTTACAATGAAGTGCTTTACCCTTGTTTTCTCATTTCCAATTCCATCTAGAATAGAGCCTATTGGAGCAGCAGCTAGCAAGGAGTATTCCTTAGAGAAGAACATGGAGAAAATGAAATCGGAATGGACCAATATCTGCTTCAACTTTGTAAAGTACAGGGACACTGTGAGTACCTTTTCTCCTTTTTGAATAACTTGGTGTTGGACAATGATTCTCATTCTTCTCCCAGTTATGTTGTTTCACTTAAGTCAGTGGGTCGCCACTTGCTTTGACATTGGTGTCTGTGAGTCAGGCCTGGAGCATGCAAACTTGTCTCGGTTATGCATGCTTGTGGGAACTTTTTCTGTCTAAACATATACAGGATTGCGATCGTCTAATTAATCCCTGAATTAGAAGGAAGGGCCTTACACAGTCCTCACTGGGTCATTTTAGTGCTTCTCTCCTGCTCTCCTGTATTTTCTACTTCTGCATACCTTGAAGTTCCAGCAACCTATCAGTTTGTAAGAGCAAACCACTTTTTATGCATGAATGCTGCCATTTGGGGGGATACCTAAGAGAATCAAGATAGCTGTATGTACATCCAGGACAAGAAAGAAAAGAGTGCCATCATGTGCATAGACGAATGGTGCCAACAAATGGGCCTTTTTTTGTCTCAACAAACTCTGGCTTGCTTTCAGGACACCAGCATTCTGTCCTCCATCGATGACATCCAGCTTTTGCTCGATGATCACATTATCAAGACTCAGACCATGTGTGGCTCTCCATTCATCAAACCAATAGAAACAGAATGTCGGGTAAGGAAAGCCAGGCTGTGCTTCCATGCAATGCTTTCTCTAGACAAGTTTTGCTGTGAAAAGTAGGACTGCCTAAACCATGGCTTAGATCAGTTGACCAATTCCAAAGACGCCTGTCTTTAGGTATGTTGCAGTGGATCAGGTAGCGAGGGTTTTCAATGCCTACTACAAAATGGTGTGGGAAAATTCAGGAGTTTGGGGGCTTCACTTGTCCTCCAGACCTCCCAAATGGGTGTCAACAACAGGCAAGGAAAATGCTGCCTAGGTCTATTAAGAAGCACCAAAAAGACTAAAATGGGTTCCTTTGTTGTAAGGTACTTTAGCTGGTATTAATGTCCCCAAAATATCATTCTTAACTTGATTGTGACAATCTCTCCCTTGGTGCTCTGGACACAATTTTATTGGCCAGAAAATAAAAAAGTGGGGGAGTTCCTCCTGAATTTCAGGGGGTAGCAGGGAGGGACCACATGCTGCCCTTCCCTGTCCTAATATTTTAACAATAGCAAGGGAAGTTTATTTATTTATTTATTTATTAAAACATTTCTATGCCGCCCCTTGCCAAGGCCTCGGGGCGGCTTACAACATCGAATACAAAATACATTAAAACAATGACAATTAAAATATATACAGTCAAATAAAATAAGCCGCCCTGGCCGAATAAAATTCAATAATATTAACATTTAAAATGCTGCATAAATAAAAAGGTCTTCGCCTGGCGCCGAAAAACAAATAACGACGGCGCCAGGCGGACCTCTCTGGGGAGCGCATTCCATAACTTAGGCGCCACCGCTGAGAAAGCCCTCCTCCGAGTAGCCACCCTCCTAATTTCCTTCACTGAGGGCTCCCGGAGGAGGGCCTCTCCTGCTGATCTCAAGGGGCGGCTGGGCATATATGGACGTAAGCGCTCCTTCAGGTAACCAGGACCCAAGCCGTTTAGGGCTTTATAGGTCATCACCAACACTTTGAATTGGGCCCGGACTTCAATGGGAAGCCAGTGAAGCTGACGGAGAACTGGAGTCATGTGAGCATAACGTCCAGTTGCAAGAAAGAATTGTGTGCAAAGTGTAGCTTGTACTGCTAGACTTGTCATCTGTGTTATCATTCTATGTGAAACAAGGATATTGATTGGTTGCCTTTAGATGTATCTTTGTGCATTCTCCTGGTGATTTTGAAATAAACTCTTCACAGAGGTGGGAAGAGAAGCTTGTCCTGATGCAGGAAATTTTAGACGGCTGGTTAAAATGTCAGGCAACATGGCTTTACCTGGAACCCATCTTCAGTTCTGAGGACATCATTGCTCAAATGCCGGAAGAGGGTAGGAAGTTTGGGATAGTTGACACTTACTGGAAGGATATCATGGCACAGGCGGTAAGTATTTGTATTTTATAGCCTCACCCTTTGCATTTCTCACCTGCCCCTTGCCGCTGGCATCTCCCATGGTGTGTCTTATCCGTGTGACATGGCAGTGTAGCAGCTGGCATGTGCTGCACCAAGTCTGGTAAAGCCCAGGTTCACATCCCTGTCCAGAGATCCGGTTTACTGGTTCACTGTTGCCCAGCCTAATCTGTCCCATGGGGTAGTTGTGGAGACAAAAGTGAGCCTTTTCAGATCCCCAGGGATGGAACTTTCTGTGTGTTGGACAGGAAGGAGTGGCTCTGCCACTTCAGGGCCAGGGAGTGTCCTCTCTGGAGGAGGCAGAGATTGGAGAGGGAGGGGGTGGTGGGAGGAAGCACGTTGGAGGAGGAGGCCCATCAGATGCATTCATCCTAGCTTCGTGTCTTCCATATGTTCTGGACAACAACTTCCATCACCCCTGGCTCTTGGCCATGCCCTCTGGGCCAGTTTGGAGTTGTAGGCAGAATGGTAGGAAAGGCCGCTCTACTTGGCCAGGCCATTCATTCATTCGTTGCTGTGCCGGCTCAGTCCTCACTGGGCCATGTTAGGGTTCCTCCCACCCTGAGGTTCCTTTCATTAAGCTGTGTGTGTTCTTTTGTGCTTGGTATTTTGCAAGCCTTGAAGTTTGCCCACTGCTGGTGGTAATACACTGCAGTTACATCCCTCCTTTCCCCCTCTTGTGTGAAACCCAGGGCATAGCTCCTTTTTATCCTCAAACAACAGCCCTGTGAGTAGGCTCAGAGTTACTTGGTGGGCTACTAGCTGAGTGTGTAGTAGATGCTACTGATGGTGCCAATTTGTGTGCAGAAGGAGCAACACTCAGTGAAGGAATTCAGTATTGATATCAATTGACTGTTCTGTGTATATCCAACATAGAAAACAGTTGTTTAGAAGTGATAATAGAATCCTACAAACATAATCTTGCATCTTCACATAACATAATAATCTGTCTGGCTGTTCTCCAGTAAAGATAAAGTTTGCATTTACTTTTTTAAATTAACCTTTCAAAATAGGTGAAAGACACCAGAGTCCTGGTTGCCACTGAACAACCAAAGATGTTGGACAGGCTGCAGGAAGCAAATATGCTTTTAGAAGACATCCAGAAGGGCTTAAATACTTACCTGGAAAAGAAGAGATTGTTTTTTCCGAGGTAGGTTTATGAACAAGTCCCAGTCTGGCGCAAATGAATATGTGCTAAGAAATTTGGTTTCTGGAACTACTTGACACAGAGAACTTGGTTTCTGGTACTTTCATTTGATCTCGCAAGGACTGACCCAGGTTTATATGAAAACCCAAGAAAAGCCCTGCTGAATCAAAACCAGGGCCTATCTAAGCCAGAACCATTTCCCCCCACAGTGACCAATCAGATGCCACAAGCTGGACATGAGGGCAACAGCCCTGACTGATCTTCCACAACTGGCACTCAGAGGCATCTTACCTTTGGTCTTGGAGGTGGTGACTGGCGACTGTGCCTAGTAGCCATTAGGGATGTATGAGAATTTCGGTGGGCGACACTTTTGAACCTACCCTGTTTGCTGCCCCAAATGGGACAGCTTATATTTGAGAAACAGTTCGATGTTGCTAAATTTCTAGTTACATTAGAAATATATGTATTTACAGCACACACTTTCAAAAGTACACACGTTCGTGCTTTAAACAGTGAGGGGGAAAGTGCACAGTTTTGAAAAAAAAGTATACTTTTTCTGTTCAAAAGGCAAGATTTTTTCCAGTCAACCAAACTGAAAGGCAGGTTGCAAATGAAAATGGAGGTTTTTTTACCCCCTCTTTATTTTTTTTTATAGACAGGAAAAAACCATAAATACAATACATCACAACAATAATAATATAACATAACAAAAACACAATAATTAAAAAAGTAAATGATAAAGTGGAAATGGGAGTGAGTTCTAAGAAACTCTGCAGAGAAGCTTTGGAGAACTCAGTTCCAGAATTTGGAGAACTGCAAGTATTGAAGGGATTACAAAATTCAGGGTTTCTAGCAGATACATTTCCTAGGATCTGTGACCAGAGATTCTTTTAACTGGAGAGGGTGGCGCCTGGTTGAACAGAGCTGCTTTGACACGTGTTCTCTACCACTGAAATATAGAGCCAGGGTCAGTTATGCAATGTACCCTGCACCCCTGTTCTGAGTTACCGACTGACGTGTATTGTTCAACCCTATTTTGAACAGATTCTTCTTCCTTTCTAATGACGAGTTGTTGGAGATTTTGTCTGAAACCAAAGATCCTCTCCGTGTGCAGCCACACTTGAAGAAGTGCTTTGAGGGAATTGCAAAACTCGATTTTACTGATAATCTGGAGATTATAGGCATGATCAGTTCCGAGAAAGAAATTGTTCCTTTTATTAAGAAAATCTTCCCAGCACATGCCAAAGTAATTTTTGCATATTATTATTATTATTATTAGTAGTAGTAGTAGTAGTAGTAGTTGCTGCTATATTGGACATAAAAGTTGTTTTGGGGAATGTGTTCTGACACATTAACTATAGAATCCAGTTTGTAGAGTAAGCTATGGAAAGCAATGACAGAAAAGCACATATTTATACTGTGTCTAAAAGAAAACCAACTGCAAACGCAGCATTTTAGTCAAAGATGTGCAACAGCATTTGTTGCCAACAAACAGATTGGTTGTGCTTCCACAATATAGAGATTTACCTGTGATCTTTGCTCGTGTACTTTTTACGGGCACCTGCATTGTCGCATATAGTCATGAAATTCTTCTCTTCCTGTTTTCCTTTCCTTTTCAGAAAATCTAACTTAAGGAAAATGCCACTATAGAACAATTATGCAGTCTCTCCAGGTGTAGAGGAGCCATAACAGAACTTTCCTATAGCTTCTCAGCCAATACAATTCTCTGTTGTGCCCTGCACAGGTCACACCAGACACTCCCTGCCTCTGTGGTCTGTACCTCCTCTATAGGAAAGGCTCACCTGCTTTAAGCTTTCCCTTTGCACCTGCATTGAATTTTCATCCATTTTTTCCATGGAAATTGGAAGTCTTTGCAGGGGAAATTAGGATGGGGTAGGAGTGTTTTATCACTTCCTACCCCACTGTGCCACGCTTTCTGTAGAGAAATCTCTCCCGCTCAAGATCTGCAGTGCCATTAAAACACCCGTATCTGGAAGCACTCAAACATCTTTTCACAGTTAAATTAAAAATGTACTAACAATAGCAATTGTTAAACAGCTGTTGTTATAAACAATAAAACTGTGTACTAACAATAGCAAAGCAACAGTACTGCACGCAATGTATTGTGTAGCTAGTCCCTTGGAATGAAGCCAATATTGGGCTTCTGCAACCTGGAGCCCTCCAGATGTGACAGATGACGACTCCAATCATCCTCAGCCATATGAAAGTTATGTAGCAATGCATCTGGAACGGGTTAGGTAGGGTAAGACTGGCCTATATGATTTCCCAAGTGTTTTTCCTATGAATGTTCTCTTTCAGCTGCGAATGTTCTCTTTCAGCCATTGTCCCAGTGATCCTTTATGTTCACATTTGTATTTTTAAGGGCATGGTTGAGAAATGGCTGTCACAAGTAGAAGAAATGATGTTGGGCAGCATTCGAAAAGTCATAGAGGACGGCATCGGAGGGTATGTTGAGGTAAGGAGCCATCTGCAAATGCTGTTGCACCTAAGACATTTCAGAGACTGGGAATGTTTTAATGGTCAGAATGTTGGACTGGGATTCAGGAGATCCGGGTTCTGCACCTCTCATGGTTTGCCACCACGGAGCATCACAAATAGCTTCTTTAAAGCTCAAAATAAAGCTGCAATTGGCAAGGTGCTCCAGGGACGTAGGAGACACAAGTCTCCCCTGAATACCAGAGGTTATTTGTTGGCTTCATATGGCAAATTTCCCTGGTTGATGTCAACACTAGTTGTTCTTTTAGTAGCAACTCTGTACTTACGGTGCAAAAGAGCGAAAAAGGCAGCCTTTTGGCTGTATTTGATATTTATTCATTTATTTGGGATTCTTGTATGCCGCCCCATTCGCATAAGCCTCTGGGCGGCTTCCAACAAATAAATAACAATACAATACATAAAAAACTGGAAACATACAGGCAATAATTTAAAACCAATAAATGAGTTAGCAATTAATTAAAATAATGTTTAAATAAAAAGATCTTGGCCTGGTGCTGAAAAACAAATAACGACGGTGCCAGGCGGACCTCTCTGGGGAGCGCATTCCATAAGTGGGGTGCCACCGCAGAGAAAGCCCTCCTCCGGGTACTTTGCCTCCTAATGTCTTTCACGGAGGGTTCCCGGAGGAGGGCCTCTGCCACTGATCTCAAGGGGCGGGAGGGCAGGCGCTCCTTTAGATAACCAGGTCCCAAGCTGTCCCAAGCCACCATGATAGACGATGAGCACTCGGGAACTCTTTGGATTTAGTGCGACCTACCGATTTACCGTCTGCAAATTCCCCAAATTTCTCTTCAAGACTGCAATACACAGAGATGTTTTTGAAAATGTTGCACCCTCCGTACCTTCAGATTAAGAGCTTTCCTTTTCAGTTTCAGAGCCTAGGTCTATAGCTGGAATCTGACATGGATATTTATTGTGTTTTTTAAAAGGTTCCCCGGAATAAGTGGGTGCTGCAGTGGCCTGGACAAATCGTTATCTGTGTATCATCAATCTTCTGGACAGAAGAAGTGGCACAAGCCATACAGGAAAAAACTTTACCTGTAAGACTTATTAATTAATAAATAATGTCGTAGTATATATTGCTCAAGGGCTGTATTAGACAGCAAATGGTATTTTGTGCACGTACTGATCAGCATCCCATGTTAATATGCAGATAACTTTTCAAAACAAATTGCAGTGCTGCTTTGCAAACTGGAGGTCCTTGATTACTTTGCCTTCCTACATTTTGAACGTCTTACGTATTTTATATTGGATGACTACATCAACTTCAGCCCTAGAATGCTTACATTCTAATAACGCATTGCATATATATTTGACTTGTATCCTGCTTCTCTCGTATAATGAAATTCAAGATGCCCTACATTGGCTTTTCTCTCATCCAGGCACTGATGATACTCAGACCTCTTTAATTCTAGCAAGGTTGCTGTATCATATGCCTTTCATCCATGTTTGGGACCCTGTCAGTTTTAGAGGGTTAAAATGAGAGCAGCTGTAGCACTTGGCAAAGATCCTGAATGGCAAACGAAGAAGACCTCCATTGGAATCTTGTGTCTACCATGAACTCACTAGACGGCCTATAAGGGCTGGGCTGCAGGCAGATGTTCTGACAATGTGCAGCTGGTTGGGACAAGCCTTGCTGTATAAATGGCACGTACTCCATAAACTGACTCAGTTCGTAAGTGCAGGGGAATCGCATGCATGCAGCTGAACCAATGTCATGTAGGAACAAATTATCCAGCTGCCGCATGCAGATCATACATGGTCCTTGCCCACGTAGGGCTATGCAAACAGAAATAGCAGAGGCAGAGATGGCTCATTAGGTGGGGGAGGATGAAATACTCTGTTGGGCTGGTTGTGGGTGGGGGGCAGTATTGTCTGAGTCATGGTTTTCAAGCTGCTGCTTTTGTTTTTGCTGCTGTTCCTTTGTTTTATTATGAGGAATGTGTTTAATCTGTTGTGAGACAGATATCTATGAGATACATAAGAGATATGTTTATTGATAACTTGCCTTGAATATGCTATATACCATGGAAAGGCAGGGTAAAGAGGCTGAAATAAATAAATGGCAAAAGGATGGACGACATAAATATACCAATTTCATTCTTTCCAGCTGTGTTTGAACTGCCGACATGCGAAAAATAAAGTGCCACACAACTGCGTGTCCCTTTGAAATAACAGCCTTGCCCATTGTGTTTCTGTTGCAGGCATTTCTGGATAAAAGCAACAAGCAGATTGCAGAGATAGTAGAACTGGTGAGAGGAAAGCTATCTGGCGGGGCCCGGCTGACCTTGGGGGCCCTCACAGTCATCGACGTACATGGTAAACCACAGGACTGAGGCGTGGGGGGATGTGAGAGACAAGCGGCATGAGTTCATTAAATAATATGCTCCTTAAACATCAGGGCAACAGGAAGACTCAAACCGGGCCTTTAATAGATCCCAGGATCCCAACTTGTCGCACATATCACATGGGACCTTCTCCCTTACTTCTGAGGCCTTTGACTGGGGCAGCATGGAGTCCTCAGAAGCTGAGGGCAGCCACACCTCCTCCTCCAGAAGTATGGGGGCTGTTCCCAGGGCTTTTTTGTGCCTGATGGCCCTGTGACAAGAGGGGCATCCATGAGTGCTTCCATGGCTCCATCCTCTTCTGGTCTGAGAGGGCTGTATCAGACATTTCTCCTGGGTGTGGCCAGTTGGAACCCTGGGCTGTGACAGACATACCACTATGTTGAAATGCCATAAAAGTGAAATTCAGCTCAATCGAACTCAACTTTCTGGTCATGTGGGAGAAAGTGAGAGGAAGCTGCTGTGTGTGAGCCTGACACTTTGTTCAGGCTCAGGAAAACTCATCCCCTTAGCGTTGGATCATGGTTTCTGTTTGCTGCAAGCTGAATTCAGCTCTGAGCTATTTTCTCATTAATCGTAGCAGGATTCGTCACTCTACGTGCTGTCTGAGTCTCACCCACAATACAATATTGTAAAATGTTTGAGGGTACATTGCCAAATGCACATGGCTGGTGTTGCAAAATCATTTGAACAAATAGAAGCCAAATATTTGACTTCAATAGTAAGATGTATTTGATGAAGTGTCTTTGTTCACACAGCACGTGATGTTGTTGCAAAATTGGCGGAAGACCACGTTTCTGATCTGAACGATTTCCAGTGGATTTCCCAGCTGAGATATTACTGGGAAGATGGAGATGTAATGGTCCGAATGATCACAACTGAAGCCAAATATGGCTATGAGTACCTAGGCAATTCTTTGCGTTTGGTGATAACTCCACTGACCGACCGATGCTATAGGTAAAGTTTCACTTTTGGCAGAATTCTGTCAGATCTATAGATCACGCAGAACCAAGGCACAGAAACTGTAGGGGATGGGCCAAAAGTTGCAGTGGGGGCCCAGGTGGGAGGCAGAAGGACATCATTTGATAAAACTCAAAGCAGCCCAACACTTATACACTCAGTCACCTATGTGTACATGCAGGACATACGACATAAAATTCAGTATATAGCAACCAAAGTCCATGCTGATACTCTTTTGTATCTGGCAGTGTGCTTGAATAGTGCAATGTATTATATATCTCTCCATGTCTTATCTTTCTGTATATCTCAGGGGTTCACAACTTCAAGGCCTTGCCCCCGATCTGGCCTACTTAAGTTCCTTAGCTAGTTACCCCTCCTTTCCTTCTAGCACCAATCACTGGTTGGTTAAGTCGCATTTGAGCAGCTTTTCCCCCCGTTCTGTCAAGATGAAATGCCTCAGCTAAGGCTTAGTTACTGGCAGAAAGCTTTACAATAAAATTTGCTGGTAGTTTCGGTATTTTGTTCCAACCCCTTTTGTTTTCAGCCTGGCTACCCCTAGACTGTGCCTGCCCCCCAACCGCCCCGCGCAGTTTCTCCGAAATGGTACTTTACTCTTGGTCTGAAAAAGGTTCAACATCTCTTTCCTATTTTAATGTACACCACGCTTGTTCTGCTCTCTTTATGTCTCAGGACACTAATGGGGGCTTTGAAATTAAATCTGGGAGGTGCTCCTGAAGGACCCGCAGGGACAGGCAAGACTGAGACAACCAAAGATCTGGCAAAAGCACTGGCCAAGCAGGTACTGCAACAATTTACTGATACTTCTCTTACTTCTAGAGACTGCAGTATAAAAATAGCTTTCAGTGAACATCTTTGGTTGTGCATCAGAAGTTCGTAAACAACGGAAGAAAGAGCACAGGTCTAGGAATTCATGAACAGTGCTTTGGACCTCAGGACCATGCTTGAACGATGTAGAAAGTCAAGTTGCATTACCTGCCAAAAGCAACCCCCTCACCCCGGCCCCCGATCCTGGCCTTGCTTATTAGTACATGGATACTGAGGGGATTGATACAAAATCAACCTTAGACCCCGGAGATCAAAGAAGCACATCCATTTCTTCAAACTATTTCCCCTGGGGGGAAAACATTTCTTAAAGGCAAAATAAACTGTCCTGAGACATCTAAGTGTGAGATGATATAGAAAAGTTTTAAACAAACAAACAAAAATACTCTTCATAATGATTGAGTTAGACTCTTCAGATGGCAAAATGAATGCCATTCTGGGATGTTCTTAATGGTGCCAGAGTCCTGATGTAAACCATGGTTTAGTGTGACAGGAATGTGCTTCCTTCCATTTCTCTTTACTGTGTGCATGTACGAGGAAGAGATCCAAATTTGGGGGAACATCTTAACTCAAGGAATTTCCAGACCTGGGGCAGGGGAGGGTGCCTTGCTCTTACTATTTTGTTAAAAATGAACGAATGGAGATCAGACTGCACCACGGTGGTACAAGATGGTAAGGCGCTGACATCTGGTGGTGGGATGAGCATTATTTTGTCAGCTGAGACATAATTGTTTTGGTGTGTCCTCTCGCACCAAACTACGGGTTATGTGTTAACATGTGCTACTGAAGACAGACAGACTTTCTTTAGTTCAAAAATCCATAACAGTGTTCATACATTTGAAATCCTGGAGGGGAGCAAGGCTGTGTGGGGGTGACTTAGGGAAAGGAAATGGCTTCCTGCTGCAGGTGGGAAAAAGGGAAAGCGTGTCCCGCTGCCTCTCATATTTTCTAAAGCAGTTCTTCACGAGGGTGGCTGGATTACAGCAGGGCTAGTGCCCTCCGGATCACAGAATCATAGAACAGTAGAGTTGGAAGAGGCTGGTAAGGCCGCTGGGGCCAACCACCTGCTGTTGCAGGACTCCAGGTTGACGTTTTCCTGGCTGCCCAACTGCCTCTTGAAAGCCTCCAGCGTGGGGAAGCCCACAAGCTCCCCCTGCTGTACTGCTCTAGCAGTCATGAAGTTCTGGCGTCCTGTTACTTGAGCTCTTTATTCTTTGCCGTGCAATCTGGGATGATCTAAGAGGCATTCTGGTCCTCTGTGAGACAACCTGCCAAGTGCTCAAAGAGTGCTTTCATATCTCCTCTCAGTCTTTTCTTTCTTAAGGCCAGTGGTTCAGTCTTTCCTTATAGGGTTTAGTCTCCAAACCCTTGATCACCTTTGTTGCCCTCCTCTGAACCTTTTCTAGTTTGTCTGCATCTTTCATCAGCTATTACACCCCAGACACAGTACTCCAAGAGGCCCAGCTTGTGCTGAATAGAGAGGATAGTGTCCTTGAGCCAAGTATCCCCCATCTTGTAACTACGCATTTGCTTTCTTTTCCTAGGTGCAAAACTTGGCAGTTGTCCCTTTTAAATTTAATCCTGTTGCATTCAGCCCAGTTCTCCAATCGATCAAGGTCACTTTGAATTGGTGAATTCCAGGGTATTAAGCTCTCTCACCCAGTTCTGTGTCAACTGCAAATCTAATAATCATTCCCTGCACTTCCTCATCCAAATCATTAATAAAATTGTTGAAGAGCACTGGACCCAGGAGAGTACACTTCTTACCTCTCCCCAGTTTGAGAAGGTGCCATTTTGGAGCACTCACTGAGTCTGGTTCTGTAGCCAACTATGGACCACCAGATAGTTTTTTGGTTTAGACCACTTTTAGCTAGTTTGCTAATCAGGATATCATGGGGCACTTTATCAAAAGCTTTGCCGAATTCAAGACACATTATGTTCACAGTGTGCCCACAGTTCATCGGGGCGGGGGGGATCTAATAAAAAATGAAATCAGATTAGTCTGGCAGCATCCATTAATCAATGAAGCGAACAGAGCTTCTCCTGTCAAATTTCTGCTTATCACACAACTGTGAAAGGTACAGGAGTCACACCGGGAAATAAAAGCAAAATGTTGGAAATAATCTTGTCAGCAATGACTTTGTCTTATCTTTGAACAAGATCTGCTTCCATTTGTTTCAGTGTGTGGTCTTCAATTGCTCTGACGGTCTTGATTACAAAGCCATGGGAAAATTCTTTAAAGGTCTTGCCCAGGCTGGAGCTTGGGCCTGCTTTGATGAGTTCAACAGGATTGAGGTAATTTTATATTAATAGAAATGGCTGCAATAGCCAAAAACCTGTAATATAATATCCCAAGAATGTGGCATGTAAATGACAGAGGAGTCTCTCACAGGTGACCCCCTTTGAGTTCAAAGGAATAACTCCCAGGTAGGTGTGCAATCAGTTTAGTAGATGGCTCAGATTTTAATATAGTTACGGGATTGATTGCTCCTCACATGTATGATTTTGTAAAGATCGGGTGTTCTTCTGGGACTCAGGAAATCTGGGTTCTAGTTCCCACTCAGCCATGGAACCAACTGGGTGACTTGGAGCCAATCACAGATTCTCAGCCCAACCTACCTCACAGGGTTGTTGTTGTTGTTGAGGGTGTAGAACTGAGAGCAGCAGGAGAAGAATGGTGTAAGCGGCTTTCAGTTCTTTAAAAAAATGAAAAAGGCAGGCTGTAAATCAAATAAGTGATAACATTGAGCTTAACATTATAAATATATGTGCATTTTTAATCTATGGTCAGACTAATTTTTAAACGTGTAAATACCATCCATGAAGTTGATGAGGTCAGTTCAGTCATGACACTAAACCAGAGCCTGGGAAATGTTCATGCTGTGGTCTGTGCTACCATGGCCAGGACCTGTCAGGTTCCAGCAGTGGGTGGGACCAAAAACTCAAAAGAGGCAGGACATTCACAGCTGCATCACCCCCATCCATCCAAGCAGGCAAATGGGGAGACGCTCTCTGGTTGTGGATGTACCTCTCCCGCTGCTTTCCTCCTTTCCTTTCAGCTTTTCTGCCTCTCTCATTCTCATTCCCCAGAGAGGCTTAGTGATCTTGCTTCTTGTCTCTTGTTCTGCTTGCAGAAAAATCTCTGGAATTGGATGAAGAGGGGAGCTTTGTGTGTGTGTGAGAGAGCGAGCGAGCGAGCGCTAGCTTTTCTTGCAGCCTCTGTCACCAACCCATGAGATCTCTTCTGCCAGGGTGATGCTGCTGGAAGTTCTAGAAAAGTGTAGTTGAAGGGATGTTGCTCTGGTTTGGGAATGGTGCTAGGGACAAGCACAATTGGTGGATATTGGCAGTTCCAATTCTGTGGGGTTGTGCATCTGCCCCACATTACAGTCTGACCTTTTAAGGAACTATTTGTGCTATTGAACCCTAGCACTAGAATGGGTTCCGCACCATATTTCAGGCTGAAGCCCAGAGTGGATACACCACCCCACTGACATTGGAACCACCAGCCACTGCTTGCGTATGAGATTTAGGACTACATTTGAATGAGGTGCCCTATTCTTGCACTAAACCATGGTTTGTATTAATCATAGTTGAGAACCTAAACCATGATCTGGGCTTCTAAAAGTGGAAGAGCGTACTGATGTTTCACACTGATTTTCGTTCCTGTCCATTTCCTAGTTGTCTTTGTAAGTGCACTGCTTACAACAACTACAACGGCCTCTCTGGCAGCAGCACGATTGCTGGAATTACTCAGTTGCTCATTAAAACAGTCCTGTTTTTCCCTTGCAGTGTTCTAACAAACATAATGGGATAACTTGACAAGCATTATGCACTGATACATTTTCAGTTGTATAGAACGTTCAACGTAGTTGATATACTTAAACATATGTGATTCTGTCTGGTCTGCACTGATGATACAAACACACATAGACCCCTTGCTTTGCGTCAAGAATATCCCAAGAACAATCTCTGGAATCTGGGATGGGAAAAACCCATGTCCAAAAATGTGAAGATCCACCTCCAGCTAGGGCTGACAATAATATGGGACCAGTTGTTTGACTTGCCAGAAGGGTGTTTCCTATATTACTAAAAATGTGGACTGCACCTTTTAATCATTGGTTCATCATAGTGTTTCAAAATATCATTTCAAATTATCCAATGACAGCCTCCAGCATGGGTATACCAAACCCTAGTGAGGACACATTTTACATCTGATGCTTTATTTTATTGATTTTTTCTGTTAGGTTGAAGTGCTGTCTGTCGTGGCACAGCAGATCCTTAGTATTCAGCAGGCCATTATCCGGAAGCTCAAAACATTCCTCTTTGAAGGCACGGAGATTTCCCTTAATCCAACCTGTGCTGTATTCATTACTATGAATCCTGGGTATGCTGGGCGTGCGGAGCTTCCTGATAACTTGAAGGTAAATGAGGTTCTCATTTGGTGACACCGAGTCTGGGCAGTGATGAGCACGAATAGGCAGCTGGGTATATGGATCAGTACTGGGGACAAAGCATCTGATAACAGGCTTCCAAAAAGAACCCGAGAGTCAGATTTCAGAACCTGGGACAGCACCAGGAATCACAGTGATTGCTCCACCTAAGTGCCTAGCTTCCCAGAACGATATGGCGACATTTTTATTCTCTCAGGTTTCAAAAATTTGTGATCTGAAAATCTGACTTTTTCCTACACTGATAGCATATTGTGTACTTTAAGTTAATGATGCGCTTTAGCATTTCCTTTTTGCGAATTGCCTGGAGAGCAATGCTCTTAGAAGAAATAAATGGGTTTTCAGGTATTTAGGAAAGTATTAATTTCAGTGTCTTCATTTGTTTGGTGAGATGGATATAATATTATGAAATTAATATGATTCTGCATGCATGTCTACCTGATTGATTCATTTACTCTTTGTGTTGAGCTACTTTGAACATAATTTCATGGCAAATATCAGGATGTTTAGGTAGGGCTGGCTAGAACTTTAAAGCCTGGGGAGCTGCTGCCAGCCCATGTAAATAATAGTAAGCTAGATGAGCCAATGGTCTGACATGAGAGGAAGCAGCTCCTTGTTCCCTCCTGTGCAGACAGTGTCAGTATTGTAACATGGGGTGGGTAACACACGACCTGCAAGCAACTTCCTGACCCTCTCCTTTCTCACAACCTCTTGCAGTACTTGCTAAACTTGCAAGAGCATGATTTTCTGTCCGAACGAGGCATGTGCTCCCCACATGTCTCCTTTGAAAGCAGGAACACGGACCCTGGTATTTTGGACTTGCGCTCTTACCTTCAGCTACTCCCACCACCAGAATGCATCCTCCCAGAGCTGCTCTGGGGTGAATATGTATTTTTCCGATTGACATAAGTTCAAAGAAAAAAGAAAGCTTATCTTCTCCCAACCGCATTCTGAAGTGTAAAAATCCCTGCAGGACTGTACCGCACGTTTATTCTGAACATCAGAATGGGTTCCTAGATTTTTTTGGCCAGACAGGTCCTGGCTAGCCTAAGTGTGATTCTTTAGCTACTTATTCTGATGCCATGGCCTCACAGGTACTATAACTCCACTGCAGCTTGCCCAGTAAACAAATTTCTCATTGATCTTTGCATTAAGAACTTGCTGTCCTCCCCTCCACCTCCTGTGCTTCTTTAGGCTTTATTCCGTACAGTCGCCATGATGGTCCCAGATTATGCTTTGATTGGTGAAATTTCTCTTTATTCCATGGGATTTCTTGATTCCAGAAGGTAAGTTAGTCAGAGCTGTTTTGTTTTACTAGCTAGGGCCACTTTTACATTTAAAAGCTCAGTTTCATGTAGTATATGTGAAACTCCCACCCTGGAACAATGTGTGAGCAACAAAAGACCTTTAAGAATCTTGCTATATACGGAAAAGGCTTTATTTAGCCATTCAGAGCTGAATCCGATCACTAAGGAAAATGAATTTTTACCACCTGGACTTCCCATTCTAAGGGTGGGATCCTATGCATGTTTAGACAGAAAATGTCTTACAGCTTCCAGCATGTCCCATCAAACTGGCTGGGATTTGTGAGACTTTTGTCAAAAGAGGAAAAGTACTGCATTCTAGCAGAGTTTTTGCTATATATCGGTGGCCTTTGATATTTGCTAATGTATAATTGACTCTGAAGTTCCGTTATTGTGCCATATTGCTGCAGCTGTACTGAATTTTCTTCTATGAAAATTCATGGGTGAATCACGTTCTCCAAAAGATGCCTCAGAACCTCACTTTTTTTCCTCACTGCTTGGCTCCAGATTACCTCGTATCATGGCGGCTCCAGTCCCCTCCCTTTCCTGCCTCCTGGAAAACCCCCCCTTAGCCCATCTCCAAAATCAGGATTACAGCCTTGGAGAAACAGCTGGTATAGTACTGGCTGTGGGCAAGCAGGATTGGGGCAGGGATCCCCAGCTCCAAGACCAGAGCTTGCTCATTCATTCATTCATTCATTCATTCATTCATTCATTCATTCCTGCTTCCCGCTTCCCCCACAGACATTGCAGCTCTGCTCAATGTAACATCACTTCTTTCTGCTAAGCAATTGATGGCGGGGGGTGGGGGGAGATTTCATCCATCATAGGTGAATGACACGCTAGCTCTATATTTTTTCAGATAGAAAATAAACGTTCAGTTATTAATGCACTATTACTAGTTGTAGCCATAGGCCAAAGCAAGAATGAGTCCCAGTCGCTATTACCTTAGCCATGACTCATCTGCAGATAAGAAGAAAAAATCTATTTCATTTCATATATTTTGGGCTATCCCTGCATTGTTTATAAACTGACTCAGTCATATTCATTTTAAATATTTCACCATTTATAAAGACAGATATTTTATCCTTTTAAGCCAGTGTTTGATGCCCATGAATGGTAACCAATTCTAATCTTTCACAGTTTGGCCCAGAAAATTGTTGCTACCTACCGTCTCTGCTCTGAGCAGTTATCCTCACAACATCACTATGACTATGGGATGCGTGCAGTGAAATCGGTCCTGACGGCAGCAGGAAACCTGAAATTAAAGTACCCAGATGAAAATGAAAGCGTGCTGTTGCTTAGGGCTCTGCTGGATGTTAACTTAGCTAAATTCTTAGCACAAGATGTCCCTCTGTTTCAGGTAAGATAATGGATGGTCTTTTAGATGCTGATAACACTACATGCTCCTGTGTTAATTCAGACAAGCAATCATTGAGGAGACAGTCATGATAAACTAAAAAAGCATTTCTGCATTCATTCACACAATGGCTTGAAAAAAATGTGAACGACTTTACTCCTAGAAGCCTTCCTCTTAAAGAATATTCTCCCCTTTCTTTTCACAGGGGATCATATCTGATTTGTTTCCTGGAGTGGTTCTTCCGCAACCGGATTATGAGCGCTTCATCATGGCACTGAATGACAATATCAAAAAAATGAATCTGCAGCCAGTTCCCTGGTTTATTGGGAAAATTATCCAGGTTTCTTTGTTTTTAACATTTACACATAGGAAAAGTATTCAGCAGAACCTTCTTATTCACACAGATAAAGCTGAGACCTGAAACAAAATATCGCAGTATATGCTCACTCCTTAATCCTGTCCAGCCAGCCAATTCAAGTAGACCCTTCCATTCTCTTTCCCCCCCGTCAATTTCAGTTATTCTGTTTCTACTGGCACTTAGAATTCTATGAGTCTTGATGGTCCCTGGGTGCATTCAGTCTTCGTTTAGGAGGGATTTTAAGATGGGAGGGATTCTCCTGCATTGTATCAAGAACATGGGAGACATATCCCTTGCCCTTTTTTCTGAGACAGTGATAGAAGTTACAAGAGCGAAAACTGAAGTGAGATTCTCTAATAGCAATCCCCCGAGGCTCACGCTCACAGCACGCACGACACTAGCTGTGTAACTAGAGTTACAAACACACACATTCTAGTGAGTCATCCCTTGTGCTGGACGTCTGGCTCGCTGCTTTCTTTGTACCTCAGGCAGGTTTTCCATCTGTTACGCTTCCCAGTAAAGCAGAATAAGCACATGTATTTGCTTGCAGAGAAGCCCATATATACTCCTTGCAGTCCGAGGGGCTTGAGGGGGCTGATGGCTATTCATGGAGCCCAAATGGACCTCTGAGAAATAAGAGGGAGTTATTTTTAAGAGAAGGAGACACGGGCCCAAAACAGTCCAGTGAGAAGCCTCAGTGTTCCTTGGAGGAGAGGAGATAGGAAACCAGGGTGGGAGGAGGAGAGAATGGGGTTTCTTGAATGGAAGCATGGTCGGCTTCTTAAATGGAAGAAATCCACAGGGCAACATTTTGCTGCAACTTCCACGTCTACTTTTTTTTTTTGCTTAATGCTGCACTATTCGTATTTACATAGCTTCTGTGAAATGGGACCAGTTGTCGCTCAAAATGCATTTTGGGCTTGTTCAAGTATTGCGTACACCCTTCTGTTGGATTCTTGCTAAATTTGGTTCATGTTGAAATGCAGTTGTGCAACATGTTTGTTAGAGCATTCACATCCTTGATGCAGATTTACGAAATGATGATGGTTCGACACGGCTATATGATTGTTGGGGACCCAATGGGAGGCAAAACCAGTGCCTATAAAGTGCTCGCTGCAGGACTTGGGGATTTGAGCCAAGGTAGGTGAGAAATTAATTCTGTCCAATATTCCCCAAAGTGCCAGTTTCTTCTTTCCTCTCATCTAGAAAGATAAAACTTACACCTGGGTTGTTCAAATGGAGAAATGTAGCTAATAAGAGCTATACATGAGAATAAATGGCTAATTTTGCTGTTCCCATGCTATACCTACCACATAAGAGAATTTGAATCACTGGGGAACACAAAACAGCAGTGACAAAGCTTCCATGAATACAGCCATCCCTGCCTGAATGCAAACAGTGAATGAATAGACAATAGAGTCACCTGGACATTTTGTTAAGCTGACCTTCTATTTTTTTTGCCTGGTGTTCTGTAAAATCCTAGACAATTCCTTTGGAGCTTTCAGAAGAGATTTTCTCATTTTACTATCTGCTCATGCTAATTTCTTATTCACTTATTGCATCTATGATTTATGCCTCCATTCATGGGGGCTCAAGCCCAGTTACAGGAAAGCTAAAAGGCAAAAATCACAAAGAGCTCAAATGAGGAAGACAAAATATAGACATTTGAATAAACAAGGAATCAAGAAATGGCATAACGCAATGTCATTTTAACCCATAGTATAAAGCCCAATAGTGAGGAAGCTAACTTCTTTTTCCTCAAGAGAGAGTTGCACAGTTGGGGTGCTGCTGCAGAAAAGGCCCTGTCTTGAGTTTCAGGCATCCTTACCTCCTCCTCTTCTACTTTCTTTGCTTCTCGCCTCTCTGTCCTTATTTATTTATTACATTTGTACGCTGCCTTTCTTTTTGCAAAGCACCAAAGATGAATTTTTCCATCCCCATTTTATCTCTGAAAGCTTATGCCAGAATAAATGTGTTAGTCTTTAAGGTGCCACAAGACTCTTGATCATTTTTGCTCCAACGGAGTAATGTGACTACCCCTGTGAAAATTAAAAAGGAAAAAGTTGATTGTTGGGAGGTCAGAATAGAAGTAATTAAAAACAAACAAGACAGCAGTTCTAAATCTCGTTGAAAGCCACTTTGAAGCATCAGCACTGAACCTCTTTTGGCCCAAGGACTGAATTCAGTTTGAAAGATTGTCTCAGTGGCTGCATTTCCTTGGTGGGGCCAACAGGCAAACGAGTAGGGGCCAAAATGGTAGCATGTTTTAGCTTAACAATCTTTGTGTTGATAACTGATCTTTAGAAGAGGTATTCCATCCTTGAAGAACAGGGGAAAACTGCACAACAGCCAGGAAATAACAAAGCCATTAGTGATTGGAGAGAAGGAGCTGGGGGAAAGGGGGAAAGGGCATGCCTGTCTGGGGAAACCTGAGACCTAGGCTGGAACTCCCAAAGGGCCAGATTGGCCCATGGGCCTGAGGTTCAACATGCCTGCTTCAAAGGGACAGGCTCAAGAAATAGGCAACGTAGAAAGCCTCCAGTCCATCGTCAAAGTATCCAAGAGGATGCTGCCTGCATGATCCATTGGCTCCCAAACCCTGGATCCAGCCTATTTCCTCTGCAGCCATCAAACAGAATCCATACCGGAGGGAGGGAAGGGGGCGCGGAATTGAAATAGAGCATCAAGGTTTCTGTTTAGAATCAAACCACCCTGGCTTTATAGCCAGATCAGACCACCATGTTTCCATGTCACTGGGCCAACTATTGCTGGGTGAATCAGGAATGACACCAACTCTGTGAGTTTTGACAAAAGGAATAACAGGAGAAAATAGAATGCAATTCATGTACAGCATTTAATTTGGTTGTGAGAAAATAGCTTCTGGTTAGCAAGGCTTCAAGGACTGGTATATTCTTCTGATATAGCCTTCTGACTCATGAGAGACACTGTCTTTTTCTTAGACAGTTCAACGGGGGAATCTGCTGTTGAATACAGAATCATCAATCCCAAAGCGATCACCATGGGGCAGCTATATGGATGCTTTGACCCCGTGAGCCACGAGTGGACGGATGGTGTCCTTGCAACCACCTTCAGGGAGCAAGCTTGCTCTACAACAGAGGACAGGAAGTGGATCATCTTCGATGGGCCAGTGGATGCTGTGTGGATCGAAAACATGAACACAGTGCTAGATGATAACAAGAAGGTAACTCACTTTTCTATCCTATTTGAGCCCATAAGGTTATACCTTTTATTGCATTTGGGAAATATATCAGCAAAGTTATTTTGCAATCACAAATCAAATAAGAGAGCATTATTTGCTTTGAGATAGAATGCTTATTAACTTTTCTCCATCAAAGAAGGGTTCAATATAAAATGGTAACACTGTCTGTTGAAAATACAAAATGGAAATACAAAAACTGCATAATGAATAACATACAAAAGAATAAGCAAAGTAGAATTCAGACAAGAAACTAAATACTGCAGGTAATTTTTAATATCAAATTTATATTTGACAGATGAAAAATTGGTCATTTCAGGATGGCAGATAAACAATGGCGTTTTGTCACAGGAGCAAGCTGCAGTTTGCCTTGGGCTGGTGTGTTTTCCCACTTGCTTTCCTCCTCCATTATGGTTTTGAGGTGTTTGGAAGCTTTCATTTCTACTTATGATTAGTTACACAACCTGCTGTGTTGTCCAGACACAAAATGGTCACTAAAAGAGACCACAGGTTGAAGATGGTTTCTTTGAAACTAACCATATTAATATGCACCACATTTTGCCATGTTATCTGAAGCTGCATTTAGTTAAAAGCAGGAGCAAAAATGGATGCCAAGGCCTCTGGATTTTTCCTTACAGATGTGCTAGAGGAGGAAAAGGGATGGGGGAGCATACAAGCCCAAAACTTACTATGGGTTTTTCTTATCCCAATAAAATGTAGCTTATTGTGAACATATGAACCTGGCCATTCTCATTTCTTCTTAAACATGTAAACATCAGAACAAGCAAATACAGGAAGACTGTTCAATATTGCCCTGTTAGGGTATATATTTTCCTTTGACTGTGGAATGGAAGTTTCGGAGATATGAAAGATGTTTCCTAGCATTAAAACTCCACACTGTTTCTATCAGCAAAAAAATAGCAGAAATGTAGCTTTACTGCATGCAAGTCTTTGGCTGTGGACTTCCACTATAATTTTGTCGCTGCACAGTTAAATGAGATACATAGTGCTGAACTATGGACGAGCAAAACGATCTGCCGCAGTCCCTACCGCATTCATGATGAATCGTGCTTATGTGCTGTTTTCATTTTAGCTGTGCTTAATGAGTGGTGAAATCATTCAGATGAGTGCACAAATGAGCTTAATCTTTGAGCCGGAAGATCTGGAGCAGGCTTCCCCAGCAACTGTCAGCAGGTAATTTTTGCCTATGGAGCAAGTAACAGCTGTGTGTGAGAAACAGAGCAGGGCAGGGTAGATCAAGGCCAAGAGGAAAAGGTTGAACTAACCACTAGGCTTCCCCAACGTAGTGCCCTCCGGATGTGTGGAAGTACATGCTGGGCGGGGATTCTGGGAGTTGCCGAACAACAGTTTTAGAGGGCAGCAGGTTGGGGAAAGGCTGGATTAAGCGCTCTGATTGGCTTCTTTCAAGCAGAGAGTAAAAGTCAGTCGCAAATCGTCTGCTTCTCACCCCCACCCTCTGATGCTGCTCACCCAGTTCACCTACGTTTTATGCACATGCCCCATCTGAGCCTCCTGCTGACATCAGAACATAAGACCAACCAGGCCGGATCAGACCAAAGTGCTCTGCCATCCTGCAGCCTGTTCCCACAGCACACCTGTCCAGCGTCTGCAGGAAGACCATAAGCAGGTCATGAGCACACGGAGTGCCTCAGACATTGCTCTGAGCAGCAGTGGCTGCACGGAAGAAAATTGCAGCTGTAAACACCTCGGGGGCATTTCCCGAAGGAACATCTGCCTGACTGTGTTGTATCGTGCCTCAAAATCTCGCACCTCTTTAGGTTGTATGCATACTGTTGCTTTTTGGGCATGGTTGTCTGTGCAAGCTTTACTGTTTTGTACTGATCCTGCTAGATTTGCTCCTGTTCAGTGATGGAGCATTTTCCTTTCATGCAAGCATGTACGAAAGCCCTGGGGTCAGTCCTCAGCGTTGCCAGGAAAGGGCAAGGTAAGACTCCCGCCTGAAACCCACAAAAGTTCCTGCCAGTCATTGGTGGCCATACCTAGTTAGCCAGACCAGGGTCTAACTAAATATGAGGTCAGCCTCACATGGGCTACACTCAGCGTCTGGATTTCAGATTACTGGGGCTTTGACTGAGAGCATGGACTGCCCCCTGCACATTCTTGCCAGAACAGCCTTCTCCCAATTGTGCCCCCCCCCCCATTGGAGGGGATTTGCATTTCAACCCCCTCCATTCCCAGCCAGGAATCCTAGGACTTGTAATTGAAACCCTCTGGAGGCACTAGACTAGTGGAAGCTGAGCCACAGGCATCGTTTAAAAATGGGAGATTCCCAGAAGCTGTTGGTCTCTCTGCCAAACACATAGATTTAACTGTCATTCTAGCTAGGTCCACCCGCACTTTGAAATCCACACTTTTCCAGAGGGAGTTTCCTTTAAAATGCTCTAGGCCTGCAAACAATAATGAACTTAAACGGCATCAGGAAGTACCTGGATCATCCTTGCCTCTATTTCTGATGTTTCTGTTGTGGGTGCCGTTGGTTATGTCACCTATGCACAGGAGGAGGTTTAGAGGAAAAGCATAAATTGTGCAGAAATACGAAACAAATTGCCCACCAAAGCAATGCAGTGAAGACTGAATTTGCTCGATGATATGAAAGGCTGACTGGCTTTTGGAGGGAAGTAGAAAATGGGTCACCATCCATGTGGCACCATCAGTCCCTACCATGGCAGATCCCAGAGAAGCTACCATGGTCATTTATTACAGCTGAGTTAAATACAAAGAAGAGTCTTGCAGTACCTTAATAATTAACCTCTTTACTGTGTTACAGGCATCTGTGATCTGGAACTTACTTTGTCAGATGTATGGAATGAGGGTTAGGTTTCTGTCACAATAAACAAAGTGCCACAAGACTCCTTAAAAAAATCATAGTGATTGTCCACTGTAGTCAGAAGGCTTAGTCACCTTGCATAAAGTGTCTCTTTTGCATCACTGAGCAAACCTGTTCAACTAAACTGTTATTCTTTCCAGGTGTGGCATGATTTACATGGAACCTCATCAGTTAGGTTGGAAGCCTCTGAAGGATTCTTATATAAACACATTGCCTTCCAACTTGCAAGATGTACACATAGAATTGGTGCGCAAGCCTCGCTTTAGTTTTTGTTTTGCATTTTTAATATGTTGTGAAAGCAAACGGGGCGGGAGGTGGAACCACATTTGCGTCCTTTGGGTATGCACAAAATAATCTAGTGTAAGGGGTGAGCTTGCTGTGGGTTTGCACTCAGCCCTTCGTTTCCTTCCTAAGCAATTGCTGATCCCCTCGTCACAAGGGGTCTCATGCAGGAGAACAACTGCAGAATACAAACTGGGATTTTCACTAATCCAGTTCATGTTTCTACTAGAGGAAGAGAAAAAGAGGAGGTTCCCCTTTTTCTTGCAGGTCCCTTGCAGGTTCTTGCCATACTGTTCAGGCACCCCCCCCCACCCACTCTGGAGGAGATTTAGGAGAGCGCAGGGGGCTACAGGGGAAAGGGTGATTTCTGAAAAATTGCTCCCATTCTTTTCTATTAGTGGAGGCATTAACTGAATCAAAAGGCACAGCTGCATTTAACCTGGGAATTCCAGTGGAAATCAAAGCATTCAAAAGGCAGAAGTGGCATGCTAAATATGCCAGCCAATGAGAGAATTAAAAGGTCCTTAATAATTGCCTTAAGAGAAGCTGGAAGAAAAGACTCTGGCAAAATCTCAGCAGTCAAGGATTCCATTGTCTTGACAGCAACACTGAGAAGGCCCTGTTTGTTATACCCTGACCTACTCCAAGAAACGAGTAGGTGCAAACTGTGACAATTCTGGGCACCACGATTTAAGAAAGATGCAGAAAAATTAGAAAAGGTCCAGAGGAAGACGAAAAATGATCCAGAGTTTGGAGACACTGCCGTATGAGGAGAGACTGAGAGAACTGGGCATATTCAACCTTTAGAAAAGAAGACTGAGGGGGGACGTGATATCCCTGTAGAAGTACCTCAACAGCTGTCACAAAGAGGAAGGCTGTGATCCTTTCTCGCTGATACCAGAGTAAAAGACATGGAATAATCAATTCAAGTTGCGACAATCCAGGTTCAGGCTAGATATCGGGAATAGTTTGCTCGCTTGTAAGAGCAATACGCCAGTGGAACCAGTTGTCTGGAGAGGTCATGGGCTCTCCCACACTTTGTTGTTGTTAGCCGTGAAGTCGCGTCCAACCCATCGCGACCCCATGGACAATACTCCTCCAGGCCTTCGTGCCCTCCACCATCCCCCGGAGTCCACCTAAGCTCACACCAAATGCTTCCGTGACTCCATCCAGCCACCTCATCCTCTGCCATCCCCTTCTTCTTTTGCCGTCAATTGTTCCCAGCATTAGGCTCTTCTCCAGGAAGTCCTTCCTTCTCATTAGGTGGCCAAAGTATTTGAGTAGTTTCATCTTCATAGACATTCAAAAAGAAACTGAACAGCCAGTTGGGATGGTGTAACATGGTGTCCTGCAACAGCAGGGGTTTGGACCTGATGGTCTTCTTGGCCCCTTCCAACTCTACTGTTCTATTATTCCATGAAGTTTAATATAGATCAATAGCTTTAGTTAATGCTTGATAGCTGAGTAGGATTTTTTATTTTTTTGAAAGCTAGGCTTCCGCAGTTCTGGTCTGCCATTTTATTCACAATAACTATGCAAAGTTGCTGACTATTCACAACATCAGGAATTGACAACAATGTGATCATGCTAGCTTTGCCATCTAATTTATCACTTGTAGTCGCTGTTGGCCAGCTATTCCTCATGTATAGAAATGTGACTTCTACCTTATCCTTTCAACTTGCAGATTGATGACTTATTTATGTGGCTAATTCAGCCTTGCTTGGAATTTATTCGGCATCACTGCAAAGTCATACTTCAGACTTCTCCCATCCATCTTATGCATACCATGATGACACTGTTCAGTTCTTTGCTTGGTAAGGATCCTATGAGCTTCGTCTCCTTACTGCTTTTGAAGGTGTCGTAAGATTGCAGAACTGTTTTTGTTACTGCTTAATCTCATTTTCTTTGCTGGAAAGGTAAGGCTGTGCCAAGCTGTTTCCAGTTTAAAGAAAATAAAAAAAATAAACACAGTGGTATGCATAAGCAATAAAACCAATGGAAAATTTGCAAGTGTTTGTAAACTAGAGTTGGATTTCTTTCGCAGATTTCTTTGCTGCAGTTTGGGTTCGGTCCGCCTGTAAACTTGCCCCTATTTTTGTATGGTCTGAATAAAATAAGAATAATCACCAACATCTTCAACTGTTTTTTTAAATTCTGGGAGGGAAACTCACCAAATTTCTAAACATTTGATTCATTTTAAGTGAAATATTTTAATGTAAAGATTTTTAATAAATTACCATATTGGATGATTTAATAGTGCAACCTTTCTACAAATTTACTCAGCTGTATTGGCTGGAAGAGAATATCATGGCTTTGTACCATGGTACAAAGGTAAAACATTCAAATTGAAAGCTTCATTAAAGCCCAGGCTGCTTTTATCCAGTTGATCTGATAAAATAAAGGATGTAGATTGTGTTCACTCCTTTGCTTACTTTCAAGCAAATGGGTATGGGCTTGTAACCCAAAACTTAAAAAAAATAATAATAAAGCAGCAGTCATCTTATATCCTCTTTCCCTGGCGTAGGTTCCATTGGACTCAATGTGACTTACTTCTGAGTAGACATGTACAAGGCTGTGCTGTAAATTGGTGAACTAATTAACTGCACCCATCTTTTTAGATGATCAGAAAGATTGTCCCAGTGAATCACACAGCTGATTCAATTTATGATAGCATTTTCAGTGTTTATATTAAGAATTATACTGAGTGCCTTCATGGGCAAGGCATTCCCCATCCATATTATTTTTATCTTTGCAATTGTCTCCTCTCTAGAACTGTATACTTGCCTTTGTATGGTGAGTCTGGATGATGCAATTCCCAAAGTATCGCAGAGCTGTGGTCCTGTGAGGACAAGGCAAGCCAGAGAAACCAGGGAAACCCTCTGCTTTCTATTGAGACTGTTGACTTGCATTTCCCCTTTATCTTTACTTTTTAATGTGTTAATTGTTCATTTTTAGATGAAATAAAGCATACTGGGGAAGAAGAAGGAGCGGAGACCATGTCCAGCCAACAGATCACCCTGTGGCTGCAAGGCCTCTTCCTTTTCTCACTAGTCTGGACCATCGGGAGCACTGTTAATGCAGAGGGAAGGCGGAAATTCGACCATTTTTACCGAAACATTCTGATGGGGATGGACGATGACCACCCACGGCCCAAAAGCGTGAAGCTGACCAAAAACAATCTGTTTCCAGAAAGAGGTACACATCCATTCATGTACCTTTATGTGACCTTCTTAAAAAAGCAAAAACAAAACAATTCACATCTATACACTGAAAAGCATCCTGAGTTCAATTTGGGCACCAGCCATCGTGTCCCTGGTTCCAGAAGCTAGGAATGAGGCTGGACATACATATTAATAAGGAATACTTTCTCTGAATGCCCTCCTGATGTATCCAAAGTGGTACCTCCCATGCCCAAGAGGGAGTTATTGTCATGAATGGGAGTTGGGAGAGAGGATGGAGCAGAGAGGAGCAGCAGCAGCCCTGCTTGTTGCGACATCATGTTCCTGCTCCCATGGGCCTGACTGAATCTTGGTTGGTTCAGAATGGTATGCAGGTTTTCAAGCTGCTCTGTTCGACAGCATCAGGAGAAGCGTGGCCAAATCTTGATAATCTAAAGTAAATTACAAAGCCAGTGTTGTTGCCTTGAAACGAGCTTTCCTGATGACCTTTTACTTCCCCCACCTCTCTCCAAAATCAGGGAGTGTGTATGACTTTTATTTTCATAAGCAAGCTGGCGGACAATGGAACATGTGGACAGAGTATATTACAAAGGAAGAACAGACCATCACGGCTGGTGCAAAGGTAAAACATTCAGATTCAAAGCATAATTAAGGCTCAGACTGCTTTTATCCGGTCCATCTGATAAATAAGGAATGTCGATCATTACAGTGCCCATTCATTGTGCAGTATTGATGGGAGTGCAAGAATAAAGAATGTTTTCAAGCTCTTCAGGGGGAATAATGACTATCACAAAGCACGATATTAAAATGATGGACTGTATATGGGCTATGAAATAATTCCATGGTGAAGGAGGACTCAGATTTGGTTCCTGGCTGAAACCTTGGAGAGATGCTACTCGCTGGAATAGACCAGCTTTCCCCAACATGGTATTTTCCAGATGTTATGAAGCACAATTGTCATTCTGGCTGATTGGAATTGTAGTTCAAAACATCTGAAGGGCACCAGTTTAGGAAAGGCTGAAACAGTCAGTGTGAGGTGGGATGGGTGTAGGACGGGTGCAGGCTGTTTGCATGTCCTCAACATCTCCAGTTAAGAAAGGGATCAGGGCTTTGGGGTAGTGATTACCTGTGGCTGCTTTTAATGATTTAAAAAATGTGCTTAACTAGACTGTTTCAGTGGGTGGTTTTTATCCATATGTCCCTTTAGAAACACATTTTAAAAGCCACATTAAAACCCCAGACAAATACATATATATCCAACACTTTACCTCTTGCAAGGAACCCTAGACAGTTTACTTGGTAGCAATCCTTTCCATTTTATCCTCAGAGTAACCCTATAGTATAGGTAGTCTAAGGGTTGGTGGCTGGCCAAAGTTACCCATTGAGTTTCATAGGCAAGCGGGATTAGAACCCAGGTCTCTTGAGTTCCAGGCCAACACTCTAACCAGTCCATCACACTGTTATCTGTTCCCATCCTGGTGGCCTTTGGATGTTGGACTGTAAGTCTCCAGGTTCTTGACTATTAACCATGTTGGCTGTGGCTGATGGGACTGAAGCCAAAAAGCTAGAGAGCACCAGATTGGAGAAGGGATGTGCGCTCGCACTCTGTCTCTCTGTCGCTCTGTCTCTGTCTGTCTGTGTTCTTAATGCATTTTTGTTAGTTTCAAAATAACAGTACAGGATATTTTCTTTGGCACTTGTGCTGCAGCCTAAGCATTTCTTTACAACAGGTCTCAGAACTCATCATTCCCACAATGGAAACAGCCAGGCAGACTTTCTTCCTAAAAACCTATGTGGAACATGAGGTCCCAATGCTAATAGTGGGACCCACTGGCACAGGGAAATCTGCAATTACCAACAATTTTCTGATTCAGCTTCCAAAGGCAAAATACACCCCCAACTTCATCAATTTCTCTGCCAGAACCTCAGCAAATCAAACCCAGGATATTATTATGTCGAAACTGGACAGGAGAAGGAAAGGCCTTTTTGGACCTGCTGTAGGGAAAACAGCCATTGTGTTTGTGGGTAAGACGCCTTATGTATTTTCATGACTGAGTGCAAATTTGTGTGTTCTTTATCATCAGATAATGGTGAAAGTGCAGATCATGGCTCTGAAGCATGTGGTGTGATCTGCCCTTCACAAAACAATCTTTCGCTAGGCCCCAAACTAAAGAGAAATTGCAGTGTGCTATTTTCTTGCAAAAAAATCAGTCTCCAGATGTACTGTTTGGCTGAAACAGCGTCTCTGGGAGCCAATGCTGTGTGTGCTTGTGTTGATGCCTGTGTTGATGATTGGAGAATGGCACAAGTAAGAAAGGATAAAACCACCCTAAGGACTTGGTCTTGTGGATTGGTGTGTGCTCTATCATTCTCTCTCTCTCTCTCTCTGCGCGCGCGCACGCGCGTGTGTGTGTGAGAGAGAGAGACAGAGAGAGAGAGATTACAGCTGTAAGATTCCTATTTGGGCAGAATAATCAGAAGGACCATTTCACTCAATTTCTCCAGAGAGAGGAGAAATTCTCCAACTGTTTAGCAGGGATGGAGCTCACCAATAGCTGACACAACCTGTTTCTTCCCCTAGGGTTTTTGTTTATCTGTTTATATCTTCTGCAAAAAAGCAGCACTAGTGTTGGCAAACTGGCCGCCATTTTGTATCCTCCCCAGCGCCCCAGACCTAGCATTCTTCCAGGGCACTGGGGTGGAGGGGTGTGATGGTGACTATCTTTTTTTTTTTTTTTAATGGTAGAGAATATTTGGAGAGAATTGGGCTTTCTTTTTCTAAGGGATGATATAGCCACATTTTCAAAGAGCAAGGCACGCATGCTGCCTGCAGCTCCTCAGCTGAGCCAAGTCTGTATTTTTGTCATGTGTGAAAGAAAGAAGTCCTCAGATTACTCATAGTACAGTTTTCAAGTACTTTTATCACTCCCAAAGTGAGTGTGCCCCCTTTAAATCTTTTAGTGGTGTTTCATCACCATGACTCCACCCACAAACGTGGAAATTTGGAGAGATTGGACATTCAGACCAGTGTTATGGAAAACTGCTGCAGATGAATTTTCTTATGTAGTTTTAGAATGCATCAAATAATTATTCAGAGCTTCTGATTTAGTTAATATCCTGGGCTGCTGGAGAACTTTAATTTTCTTTACTTCTCTTTTCCTTCTCCTTGCCCTTGCATTCTTGGGAGAAGAATAGGGATACTTTTTGCCTTAAGAAAACTGTTGCTGTTCTTCCTAGATGATTTAAATATGCCAGCTAAGGAGGTATATGGAGCCCAGCCTCCTATAGAACTCCTTAGACAATGGATTGATCATGGTCACTGGTATGACAAGAAAGACACTTCGAGGCTCGATATTGTGGACGTACTGTTTGTTTCAGCAATGGGACCTCCAGGTGGTGGAAGGAATGATATTACAGGTAAAATGTTTGCTTAAGCACAGCAGGATATCAGCTCTCCCTCTAACGGTGAACTCACTGACAGTAACCAGAGCAGAGCCACCGGAAAACAAGAAAGCAAGATCAGCATGCTCTAGGGAACTCTGCCTATTGCAGAAGTACAAAATAATTTTATACCCCGAAATAGCCTCATGAGAAATGATCGTACTCATTAGTCACGAAATGCTGAGCAGCATTTGCAGAAAAAAATGGAAACTGTGTGGGTGGGAATGGACTGCCTTGTTTATAGGATGTTAGAAAGGGGTGTAACTGGAGAAAGAGCCCCCATGTTAGGAGGCAAGGATATGCTGCCATATCCTCTCTTTTGTAGCACCACTTGTTCCTTAGAGGCACCTCCAAGTTTGGCAGCGAAATGGGAGCATTCAAAAGTAAGGGAATGGTTTCTCAATCCTTGAGCATTCTCTCAGTATGCAGAAGTACGTGTGTTTGTAAACTAAAATTAAAAGGAAAAAAGTAACCTCCAGAATTGTTTGTAAACTAAAAAGGAAAAAAAGTAGTCTCTAGGATTGTTTGTAAATTAAAAGGGAAAAAAGTAACCTCCAGGTTGGCTCGACAAGCACCTGCAAGTTTTCAAAGAAAAGAATGCTGGGAGGAAGTGAAACAGAAGGTACAAGAGATAATGCTGAAGGAGGGAACAGTGAATTCCCTTAATGTTGGGCAACATCTTTGGTACCAATTTGGAAAGGGACTTGGGGCGCATTCCACCAGTGGGCAGAGCTGTGTGCACTGAGGTGTACCAGTGACGATGGGGTTCACCGCCGTTCGTACCAATTTGGGCATTTTCCCACCAAGCACAGAAAGCACAACTCAGTTTCCCACGCAGGTCTATGCAGAAGTCAGTCACAGCGCAACAACTCACTGGCCTGTAGAGCGCCAGCCGCCTCTTGGTAGACATGCATACAGCTGAGTTGTCCGTTGATTAAAAGAATTAAAAGAGCTCATTGAGGAAGGAAAGGGAGCTGCTCTGAGACTGACTGCTCCACCTTCCTTCATGTCTTGCAGGGCGTTTCACCCGGCACTTGAACATTACCTCCATCAGCGCATTTGACGATGAAACACTGACCAAGATTTTCACTGCCATTGTTGATTGGCACTTCAGTAAAGGGTTTGACCCTTCATTTTTGAGGTGATTACCCCCTTTCAAAGGAGCACCCTCCCTACCCCCGTTCTTCAAGAAAGCACACTTTCTCCAGTTTGTTCTAGCTAGGATGGCCATTTGTACCCCAGTCCTCTGCTTGAAGGCACCCTCTGTTTCAAGACCTGCCCAGGCCGTGTCCGTGTCTGATTTAAAGAGAGACAGATGGCAAAAGAAGGAGGGGACGGCAGAGGATGAGGTGGCTGGACGGAGTCACTGAGGCAGTCGGCGTGAGCTTAGGTGGACTCTGAGGATGGTGGAGGACAGGGAGCCTGGAGGAGTGTTGTCCATGAGGTCACATTGTGGCTGCCCATCAAAGTGAGCTCCTCGAATTGCCTCTACAGGCCACCTGGTTGCCACCTTTCCCCACTGCGGGTGGGATGCATTTTATTTATATGTAAATTATAGGCATCCTTTCTAAATCTGTACCTGTATTTATGCATACATGAGACTATCCGCATGTGTGACCTTCTCTTCAAGCAGAGGTCTGGTCCTGAGAGGAGGCTAAGGTTTGGTAAGCAGGAGGAAGAGTTGGACCATGATGACCGAAGGAGGCTTAGTGGGAGGAATTTGCAGGAGGGATTCAAGCAAGTGACTTGGAGGGAGAGAAAGCAGGCGCAGAGCCCCAGCCTGCCAGTCATAACTGGAGAAAGGATCAAGGGTACATGTGTGTGGGGTAAGAACTGCGGCTTTTCTTTAACATTGCTATTTCTTTCCAAAGGCTTGGCAAAATGTTGGTCCACGCTACCATGAATATTTACAAGCTGGCTGTGGAAAACTTCCTCCCAACTCCTTCGAAATCGCACTATGTCTTTAACCTGCGCGATTTCTCCCGGGTGATCCGAGGCGTGTTGCTGTGTCCACATACTCACCTGCAGGTGTGCTTCCCTTTATTTATTTATTTATTTATTTATTTATTTATTTATTTATTTATTTATTTATTATTTCGATGTATATCCTGCCTTTTCCTACAAAGGGCTCAAGGCAGCTTACATCATTCTCCTCCTCCATCTTCTCCCCACAACAATAACCCTGTGAGGTAGGTTGGACTGAGAGTCTGTGACTGGCCTAGAGTCACCCTGTTGGCTCCATGGCTGAGCAGGGACTTGAACCTGGATCGCCTGAGTCCCAGTCCCCCGCTCTTAACCACTGCACCACACTGGCTCTTTCCCTTTTAATTGCAGTGGCAGGTGTGGCATTGTCACAGTTGTCACTCACCATTCATGTTGCACATTGGGTTTTCCCAAGCAAGTCTTGGGCACTGCCTCCGTGGTGTGATTCTTACAGCGGACTTCTAAGGTAGGACAGGATGTCTTTGTTATGACAGCCAACTGAGTTTGAGACAGAAGTGAACCTGGAGATTCTCTAATTCATAATCTAATTCTAATCAGATTAGGATTAGGATTTGGTATTTGTGAAGCTTTTTGCAATTGTCTTAAAATCAGGCACAGGTTGATTTTTCTTCTTCGGTTCTTCCTTTCTTTGGCAGGATGGAGAGAAATTGATCCGGCTTTGGATTCATGAAGTTTATCGTGTCTTCTATGACCGCTTAATAGATGCTGAGGACCGGGAGGTGTTTTTTAACATGGTGAAAGAAACAACTTCTGACTGCTTCAAGCAGAGTGTTGACAAGGTAAGCTGGCCTACAGGCAGATGGCGCTGCTGAATTCAGGAAAGCAACAACCAGTATTTGTTATACTGGTGTTTTATATTTTAACTGATGTTTTGTAAGCCGCCCCGAGGCTTCAGCGAATGGGGCGGCATAGAAATTTATAAATAAATAAATAAATAAATATCAAATCAAATCAAATCAAAGTTTCTCCTCTAGTCCCCTAGTTGGCTGGCTGTCACCATTTTTCTTTGCCCAGAATAACCCTCAGGATTGTGATACTACACCACAACTGATCCGTGGCATCAGAACTATTAATAATAAACAAACCAATAAATGACATAGATAGGCAGCTCAATATAAGTATCAATATTCTCTTCCTGCTTCGGGGTGACAACTTCTACCTTTTAGAAAAGGGGGAAGCTATCGAAGGCAGGAAACCATGACATCATTGGTGTTTGGAGGGGACAGTTTGGGCCAAGGGAGGGGAACATGGTCCCCCACCCCACAGATTAGGACCCTAGGATGGTCAGATTTAGCCCCCAGGGGGAGGTCCCACATATCCACTTTTGTCATTTGTCATCTTGAAGGTAATAAGCAGCACCTTGAACTGTGGCATTTTTCTGTCTGTTTCACAGGTACTAAGTCATTTATCACCCACTGGAAAGATCAGTGACAACAACATCCGGAGCCTCTTCTTTGGGGACTTCTTCAAACCGTCCAGTGATACAAAAATCTATGATGAAATTACAGACTTAGGGAAGCTGACATCCGTCATGGAATATTATCTGGAGGAATTCAACAACATCAGCAAGGCACCGATGTCTCTGGTCATGTTTAAATTCGCCATTGAGCACATCTCAAGAATATGCCGAGTACTGAAGCAGGATAATGGGCACTTGTTGCTGGTGGGCATTGGTGGGAGTGGCCGGCAGAGTGCGACCAAACTGGCCACTTTCATGAATGCCTACGAGCTCTTCATGATTGAAATCACAAAGTTCTACTCAACCCATGAATGGAGGGAGGACATAAAGAAAGTCATGTTGCAGTCGGGAGTGGCCAACAAAAGCACCTCCTTCTTATTTTGTGATAACCAGATAAAGGATGAATCCTACGTAGAAGATATTAACATGCTCCTGAACACGGGCGATGTGCCTAACATCTTTGCAGCAGACGAGAAGGCCGAGATTGTTGAAAAAATGCAGAGTGCAGCACGGACTGAAGGCAGGAGGATTGAAGCCACCCCGCTGGCTATGTACAACTATTTCATTGAGCGTGTGAGGAAAAATCTGCATATAGTTTTGGGTATGGATAAACCATGTTCCTTTATCACTCTGATTTCTTTTTGCTTTGTGGACTTCTCTAACTTGGCATATAACCTGAAGTCCCCGATTCTACCTAATCTTGGAAGCTAAGCAGGGCCAGGCCTTGTTGAAAACTGGATGGGTGACTCTCCCTCCCAGAGAGTTCTGGCTATTATTAACATTTCTACAGAATAATAATAGAAATAGAAATAGAGATGATGGTGATGATGATGTTGATATATACCTGTAGAAATGATAGGACTTGCAGTATAATATATTTGGAAGGTGCCAGGTTGGGAAAGACTTTACTTGATTGCTCACTGAATCTTTTTGGGAAATAATAAACATATAATTTTAGATGCAAGTAACCCTTTCGGGGAAATAATTATCATTATCATTTTTAGCAATGAGCCCCATCGGAGATGCATTCCGAAATCGCTTGCGAATGTTCCCTTCACTGATAAATTGCTGCACTATTGACTGGTTCCAAAGATGGCCCCAGGATGCCTTGGAAATGGTGGCAAACAAATTCTTAGAGGATGTGAAGTTGGAAGAGGAAATCAGAAAAGCGTATGTCACGAGATCTCTCTAGAGTTACTGTTCTCTTTTTCTGTCTCATATTATTTGGTGCCTTTGGCCACAATCTTATGCATATTTTAAAGCTTCCAGAGTAGCAGGGCTTTCTTCTGTCTAAATAAGAACAGGATTCCACCCTTAGTCATTAATAAGCTCTTTCCCCATTTTTCAGAATAAAACCCCTCACTAAAAGAACCATGTCTTTTGAAATGCAAAATGAATAATAAACCATTCAAAGCAATAAACCATATTTAGTATATAAATGGTTTAAAGAGCAAACAGGGTGGGAGCGGCAGATTGAATATTGTCATATGCTAAAATGAACCAAATGCAAACGGGAATAAATGTGAGAGAGGTAGTGTGGTATAGTGGTTAAGAGCATGGGGCTGGGACTCAGGCGATCTGGGTTCGAGTCCCCGCTCAGCCATGGAGCCAACTGGGTGACTTTGGGCCAGTCACAGACTCTCGGCCCAACCTGCCTCACAGGGTTGTGGTTGTGGGGATAAGATGGAGGAGGAGAATGATGTAAGCTGCCTTGAGCCCTTTGTAGGAAAAAGGCAGGATATGAATGAATGAATGAATGAATGAATGAATCAATAAATAAAAATAAAGGCCAGTGACAAGGGGCCATGTGCACTTGCTGTGGAGAGCATTCCAAAGACATGGGGCCATGCTGTTGCAAGTACTTGCCAATCTGACAGCTCTCACTGGCAGACCAGAGAGGCGGCTCTGGAGACCGATCTTCAGTCCGGGCAAACATAGATATGTGTGCAGGCAGTCCTTTAGCTGACCTGATTCCAAACTGCTTTGGGTTTTAAATGCCAACAGCATGTTCAACTGGGCCCAGAAACAAATAGGCAGCCAGGGTTGCTGGCACAGAATAGAAGTCATATCGTGACCCGAAGGACGTATTTTGTATTCACTGTAGTTGTTTCTGGACAAGTGGAATTTTGGAATTTTCTGGAATTCTGGCATGTTCGAGGGCAACCTCACATAAAGCTCATTAAATGTAACCAGAGCGTGTGTCACTGACGCAAGGTCAGCTTTCTCTTGACAAGGCTGTAGCTGGAAAACCAGCCAAAGATGGTCAAAAGACCCGGTGAGCATGTGTCATCATGTCACCTCTGTACAAATCAAGAGGGTGAACCTCTTACAGCCTGAGGACCAAATTCCATTTCAGAGAAGCTCTCAGAAGCGGCATTTTGTGGGTGAGGCGAATGGCAAAGGGAACAGAGAAAAAAATACCCCCCACCACAAGCCCGCCTTAGCATAAAAGCTCTTACTGCTCTTAGGAAAAGCACTGTAGCCTTTTAAAAGGAACCCCAATCCTGGCATAAACAGATTAGCTGTTAACTGAAAAGCTGAGTTAGGTCAGGTCAGTGGGGCTGCTGTAGTTAAGCTTCAGCTCAGGAGCATGGGAAGCTTCTTCCACTGGTCCATCTTTCCTAGTATTGACTGTTCTGAGCACAGGAGTTTTCAGGGTCCCAGCTCTGAGCTCTTTCAGCCTTTCGGTGCTGGGGCTCCAGAGGCCAAGCCTGTGCTGCCCCCTTTACCCCCACATGGCACAGAAGGAACTGCACCAGCTGCCTCTCTTGGATCACGGCTGGGCCTTGGAGAGGACAGAAAAGGGCATGGTAGGATGTGGGGATGGGAGGAGGCTGGTGCTACGGGTTTTGCCAATTCTTATTGATGCCCCAGTCTCAGCTCTTTATTGGGGTGGCCAGAAATGGCTATCTAGATAAAACACAGGGCACAAACGCTGGCAGAGATTTCTCTCCAGGTGCTCAGTCAGAGGTCTATCCTGGTCCCTGTGATCCTAAATAACTGAAGGGGCCAAGCCTGGGATTGTCAATGTTGACTGGCTGCAGCTCTTCCGGATTTCAAGCAGGAATTCTTCCTGCCTCACCTAGAGATGCCAGGGATCAATCTGGAATTCCTGCATGCGCGGCATGTGCCCTAGTCATTTGATTATATTTCTCTCCTAATAACACACACTCTTTGTTTTCACGGCAGGGTTGTATTTATGTGCAAATATTTCCAAGAAAGTGTGCGAGAACTCTCAGTCAGCTATTACAATATTCTTAGAAGACACAATTATGTAACACCAACATCTTACCTGGAATTGATTCTGACCTTTAAGGCGCTGCTAAATAGCAAAAGGCACGAGGTCGACGTGATGAGGAATCGCTATCTCGTGGGTCTTCAGAAGCTTGATTTTGCAGCTTCGCAAGTAAGTCTGGGTCGGAAGCAGTGTACGTGCCATTGCAGCTCCCAGCTTTCCTGGAGAGCACGTGGTGATGGGAGAGGCCCTTGCCAGGGAGTGAGAACGCTGCCCTGGTGTGGGCGTGCTGAATGCCAACCACATGGCAGGCTGAGGAGCCTGTTGATGGGCTTCACTGGGGGCCTGCAGGGGAAACTAGCCCTTCCTTCTTCACCAAAAGCCTGCAAGTTCTGGGCCGTAGCTCATGCCTTGCTATGGACTGTGGTTAGTTGCTGATTAATGGGGCGAAGAAGAAATTATACCTGCTCGTGGTCTGGCACCACGGAGCAGAGTTTTCACCTCCCCAATTGCAAGAGTATTCACATAGTGATACAGTGAGTTTGGCTTGGCAAGCATGACCACAGGGTTGGCTATAAAGCTTTTTAATTCTCAGGAGCAGAACGCACTGGCCTGAATCCATTGGTAAGGGGGATGGGATCAGGCTCGCGTTTCCTCCTCAGGAGGAGTGCTTTTAAAGGACTTCACAGAAGGTGACAGTAAGACTCCGCTCAGTCTGGGGCTGCAGTCAGTCCACAACCCGGGAGGGGGGGCGGAAGTAGGCTTACTGCGCGGTGATTGTGCCCGTGTCTCCCCCACCAAGGCCTGTGGCACGCAAGGACAGGGGCTAGCCAGCAGCCCAGCAGTCTGATTCCGGGTCCCATGCCCTGTGCTCCCACCGGCTCCGCCCCAAACTGGAACCAGTACAGTAGTGGCCAGTTGTTTAACCCATCCAAAGCTACATCCAGTTGTCTTCCCCTATCCCACCCTGCTCCAAAATGGCTGGATGTATGGTGCCACACACAAATGCTTGTAATTGTTTTCAATGGCTGTGCTCTTAGATAATGATCAGACATGATGCCTGGCTTATCCTGGCTTACTATGAACAGGCAGGCTGCTGAAGCACGTTTGTTTGTTCTTGCTTTGCGCCTTCCTTCAAACAAGCAGGTAGACTAAACCAGGAAGATTATTCTGACGTCTGAACCTGCAAACCAGGGTAATAAATAGCAAGAAACCCTGATGCTTGTTAATTTACAAATATTTCCTTGTTTGGACTAAGCAGTGCAAGATTCCACAGTAAACTATTCCTTCCTGGTTTGTTTTTTCTGCTACTGCTGCTTGTTCAGAGAAAGCCAAGAATCCTGGCTTATGGTTACATACAAAAATCCACGGTCAGCTTTGTATGGGAGAAGGCAGCCTTTCGTGCAGGGCTTTCCTGGTCATAACCAGTGCTGAATTCTGCCCAGAAGGAGACCTGCAGCCATTGAAACTGTTTCAACAAGGGAGTCGTGTGGTCCCATGTAAACTGCAAAATAGCTTAACAGTATTTTACTAGTTCATATGTTCAGAGCCATTAAAATTAGGGTGCTTTTGAGAAATGATGCCTCCTCTTCCTTTGCTTGTAAACAGCCTTCTCCTCTGGAAGGCCTCCTGTGTGGCCATAGTGTACGATCCAAGATAGTGTCCTAGCTGCATCCTCAGTTCTTTATACTTAAAGAAGGATGCTGTTGTACAGAGTTAAAAGAGTCAATGCAGCCTTCCCCAGACTGGCAATCTCTGGATGTTTCGGACCACAGCTTTGGTCATCCCCAGCCAGCAAATCACCTGTCATGCTAGTTGGGGATAATGGGGTTTGTAAGTCCAGCCCATCTGCAAGATACTGGGTGGGGGAACATTGATTTGCAATGAATCATGCAGTGAAAGTGTGTAAAGGCAACTTACAAAATATCTGGTCTGTTTTCCAGCTCACATCTGTCTACTCCCCCCCACACCCTGTTTGCAATAAATCCTTCTTTGAACACCATCCTGCTTAAATCACATTCTCTTTCTGCTTTAGCTTGTGAAACAAGTAATTGCCCTCCACCGTCATGTGGTTTCAGGCTTATTCAGTTTCTTCCCTGGTGTCCTCTTTAGGTTGCAGTAATGCAAAAGGAGCTGACAGCTCTTCAGCCTGAATTAATTCAAACCTCTGCAGAAACTGAGAAAATGATGATCCACATTGAATCAGAAACAGTTGAGGTAGATGCCAAGAAGGAGCTGGTGGCTGCCGACGAGAAAGAGGCCAACGAAGCTGCTGCTGTTGCGCAGGGTATTAAGGTAATTTCACTGTGCGTTGTGGTGTCGGCCCTCCCATTGCCACTCATATTTTCAGCAACGCAATTTAATGAATGAGAAACCTGGACCAAGTACACAGCCATGTATTGTTTCCGCTCTATTTGGAATCTCCAGACCAAACCAGATTGACACGCATCCTATATTGGTTTCCCTAGAAGCAATATATTGGAGTGAGTGGGACTTACAGTAAGTTACATGTATAGGATTTTGGAGTAAACAGGCACTGACTCCTGCTGGCTTAGGTGTTTTTAGAAATTTAACAGCAGTTTGTGGGTGTGGGTGTGATCCGCTCTGGGATCACACACGGCAGGAAAGGAGTTCAGCTGATCCAGATGCCCCTTCTCCCTGCAGCAGTGGCTTGTGCTTTAGGGGAAACTAGCATTAGCCCCAATGGGGCTTTACTCCAAGGACAAATAGCAGCTGCAGAGGGAAAGAGAGGCAATCCAGATTAGGTCTGTGGCAGGGGCAAATCCCACCTCTCCTCTGCCATGACTCTGATTCAGAGTCACCCCCAGGAGAGAATGTTTGTTTTGCAAGCGAATAACAAATTTGCAACAGCCGCTCACGTGTTTATTGCCAGGCCTTGTTTTGGCTTTCCCCCGGGGATATTAAAGCAGTCCAGGAAATATGCTTTATACTAGTAGCAGAATGGACAAAAATCCTCTTTCTCTGCCAACATGTCGGTGGGGAAGATGCAAGAAATGCAGCAGGTGTTGATAGTCCAGCCATGGGGACTGTGAGGCTTCAGCTGGAGAACGACTTCATTGCTCTGTAGTCTCCAGATCCTTTGTCACAGGCTCTGATCAGGCCTAAAATCAGGGCTTACCTGCGAGTCTAGCCCTTCTAAAGCCTTCGCCTCTGGTCTTTTTGACCTGGCTGGCCCCAGGTGGGAGTCACGGAGATTTCCTTTGATGTGATTACAGGAAGAATGCGAGGGAGACCTGGCAGAGGCCATGCCTGCGCTAGAGGCTGCCCTTGCGGCTCTGGATACCCTGAATCCTTCGGATATCTCCCTTGTCAAATCCATGCAGAATCCCCCAGGGCCCGTCAAGCTTGTGATGGAGAGCATTTGTGTCATGAAAGGCATAAAACCGGAAAGAAAGCCTGATCCAAGTGGAAGTGGTAAAAAGAATGAAATCAGATTATGAGAATATCTATGCATGTAGCGTAATGAGGGGGGGGGTTGCATGGGTCACGTGCCCCTTCATTGATATCAAGTTGTCGTGTTCATTTGCTTTATCTGCCTTGACTTCAGAATTACTTAAAAATAATTTCAGGGAGTGATCAAGAATGCTTACAATCATCCAGATCCTTTGATTAGAAAATATGATCCTTGCCACTGATTTCAACATCTGGAATGTATCTCATCAGAATATCTATCTATCTATCTATCTATCTATCTATCTATCTATCTATCTATCTATCAAAACCCTTACAACGTCCTTTTTCAATCTTTGCCACATTTCAGAACTAGCCTGCAAATCTCATTTTTCATCTTAGGGGAATCCTAGAATAGTTTTATAAACATTAAAGTGCAGTTCCAGTCTACAGCCCTGGGGACCCTGATTTCATGTCCTCCTCCTTTTTTCATCCCAAACCCTAAAGGGAGTAAAATGAATGCAAATTTATCTAGTCTGGCATCCTGTTCCTCTTGGAGGCCAGTGAGAGGCTTTGAGAATGCCCCTCTATAGGACAGGAAGCCAGACATTTTCCACGGATGTCTCCCTCCCTCCACGGGCCGTTATTCAGTGCTTTCATAGCTCTTGAAGTGGTGGCTCATTTCAGCTATCGCAGATAATACCTGTGGATAGACTCCTCTTTCAGATACAGTTAGGGCAGAATGCCATGCATGGCAAGATGGGGAAAAATGTTCAACAACTTCCAGCATAGCCTGGGAGACTGGGAGTTGTAGGACTTGCTTTCTCTGCCTAAACATTTATTTAATGTTTAGCAGCTGCTTTAACAAAAAAAAAAAAAAAAAAGGAATTCAAGGCAGCTAGCATGCACAGGACTGTGTTCTTCATTACTTAAATGTAAACAAGAGTAATATTCTCTCTCTTTCCTCAGTAATTACCATTTATTTATTTATTTGTTTATTTATCAATTTATATCCTGCCTTTTTCCTACAAAGGGCTCAAGGCAGCTTACATCATTCTCCTCCTCCATCGTATCCCCACAACAACATCCCTGTGAGGCAGGTTGGGCCGAGAGTCTGTGACTGGCCCAAAGTCACCCAGTTGGCTCCATGACCGAGCGGGGACTAGAACCCGGATCGTCTGAGTCTCAGTCCCATGCTCTTAACCACTACACCACACTGGTGCGCCTGACCATAAGACGCACCTAGTTTTTAGAGGAGGAAAACAAGAAAAAAATATTCTGAATCAAATGGGCACATCATCACAGGCACATTCCCCATCACTTCCCCATGCGCTGCACATCTGACAGACTTACTGCACACACATATTCGCTCTATAAGACGCACAGACATTTCCCCTTACTTTTGAGGGGGGAAAAAGTGCATCTTATAGAGCAAAAAATACGGTAATTTCTTCTCTCTCTTTTCCCAGTAATTAATTTCACAACACTAAGTTCATATGTTTTCACAAGTAATATAAGTTTTTGGCTGCATATAGATAGGCATTATCCATTTTAATTTTATGGATGATCTTAAATGACTATAAAGTTAATGATTTAGTAAAAGATGTTATACTACAATAATTAATGTGTTTGTGCGTGCGTCTGTTAGTCTTCTTCAACCTAACAGCCTCCAGATATGGTGGACTGAAACTCCCATCACCTCCAGCTAGCATGACGGCTGGGAGCAGTAGGAGTTGTCACAGAAGATACCTGAAAGGCACCAGTTTGGGGAAAGCTGCTATAGAATATACACTGTTATTTTTATAAGATCTCTTCTGAATAAGAACTGTATTTTCAGATCTTTTTAAATACATACTTATTCTTGTGAAATATAGGTAAAATGATAGAAGATTACTGGGGTAGTTCCAAAAAGCTTCTTGGAGACCTGAAATTCCTCGAGGGCTTGAAAACGTATGATAAAGATAATATTCCACAAGCTGTAATGAAGAGAATAAGAGAGAAGTTCATCAATCATCCAGACTTCCAACCAGCTGTCATAAAGAATGTGTCATCTGCCTGCGAAGGCTTGTGCAAGTGGGTGAGGGCGATGGAAGTGTATGACCGGGTCGCCAAGGTCGTAGCTCCAAAACGAGAAAGACTCCGGGAGGCAGAAGGCTTGCTCGATATACAAATGCAGAAGCTCAATACAAAGCGTGCCGAACTCAAGAATGTGATGGATCGCCTCCAAGCGTTGAACGATGAATTTGAAAACATGAATAACCGGAAGAAAGAACTTGAGAACAATATTGAAGTATGCTCCCAAAAGCTAATACGGGCCGAAAAACTGATCAGTGGCTTGGGAGGAGAAAAAGACAGGTGGACAGAGGCAGCCCGCTTGCTAGAAATCCGATACATAGACCTTACGGGAGATGTTTTGCTCTCTTCGGGCACTGTAGCTTATCTGGGAGCCTTTACTGTGGATTACCGCCAAGAATGTCAGGAGAAATGGCTTTCTCTGTGCAAGGAGCAGAAGATTCCCTGCTCCAATGATTTCAGCCTAAGTAATACTTTAGGGGATCCAGTCAAGATCCGTGCCTGGCAGATTGCAGGGCTGCCAATCGATTCCTTCTCTATTGATAATGGCATCATTGTTTCCAACTCCAGACGATGGGCTTTGATGATTGATCCGCAAGGACAAGCCAACAAATGGGTCAAAAACATGGAAAAGGGCAATAAGCTTTCTGTCATCAAGTTGTCTGATACTAACTATGTAAGGACGCTGGAAAATGCCATCCAGTTTGGAACCCCAGTTTTGCTTGAAAATATCGGTGAGGAACTAGATGCTTTCTTGGAGCCAGTGTTGCTGAAGACCACTTTCAAACAGCAAGGTGTGGAGTACATGAGGCTAGGAGAAAACATTATTGAGTATTCACAAGATTTCAGGCTTTACATCACAACTCGCTTAAGGAATCCTCATTATCTCCCTGAAGTGGCTGTGAAAGTTTGCCTACTCAATTTCATGATTACGCCTCTTGGACTTCAGGACCAGCTTCTGGGGATTGTAGCTGCAAAGGAAAAACCCGAACTGGAAGAGAAAAAGAACAAGCTGATTGTTGAAAGCGCAGCTAACAAGAAACAGCTGAAGGAGATAGAAGATAAAATCCTTGAAGTTCTTTCCAAATCAGAAGGAAATATCTTGGAAGATGAAACAGCTATCAAAATTCTTTCTTCCTCCAAAGAACTGTCCGAAGAAATCTCTGAAAAGCAGGAAATTGCCAGTATCACTGAAATGGAAATTGATGCTACTCGAATGGGATACAAACCTGTGGCAGTCCATTCAGCCACCGTCTTCTTCTGCATTTCTGATTTGGCAAACATCGAACCAATGTATCAATATTCCTTAATATGGTTCATTAACCTTTATGTCCAGTCACTTGCTAATAGCAGAAAAAGTGATGTTCTGGAGGAGAGAATTTCACATATAATTGACCATTTCACAGTAAGCATCTATAATAATGTGTGCAGGTCCTTGTTTGAGAAGGACAAGCTTCTTTTCTCCCTCCTCCTGACAATAGGGATAATGAAAGGGAGAGATGAGATAGATGACGAAGTTTGGCGTTTCTTACTGACAGGAGGAGTTGCTCTTGACAATCCGTATCCCAACCCTGCACCAGAGTGGTTGACTGACAAATCATGGGCTGAGATCGTGCGTGCATCAGGTCTGAAAAACTTGTGTGGGTTGATGGATCATGTTGAATCCAATGTCCTAGAATGGAAAGCCATTTATGATTCTGCAAAACCTCATGAAGAAGAGTTCCCAGATGAATGGAATCTGGCCACAGGTCTCGATCGCATGGTCATTCTTCGATGTCTCCGACCAGATAAAATCGTTCCAGCGACCCAAGTGTTCATCACAGAAAATATGGGAAGGACCTATATTGAACCCCCAACATTTGATCTTGCAGGAAGTTACAGTGATTCTAATTGCTGTGCACCTCTGATCTTCGTATTATCTCCAGGTGCTGATCCCATGGCAGGTGAGTGTATTCGATAACAAAATCCAACAGGATGAAGTCTGTTCATGAAAAGAATATGCTGGCACCTTCAGCGGAACGGAGTGATATTTGCAAATGGCATGTTTCCATTCCACTGAACAGCAGCCTAGTTGCTGATCCAGAGGAAGAGCAGCTAGTTAGATCCAAAGGACCAGCAATGCAACTCGCAGAGCAGGGATGTTAAACATCAGGCCTACCTGAGATACCAGGCTGACTTTCTGGGGTTCCCCACGGGCCATGCCATATTCAACCGCAGATGGCTGGATTGTTTCCTAGCTTTTGTACCTCTTCCCCTTCTAAAAAGTTGGAATGTCTCTTCTAACTACAATTACAGGCAGTAAGGGCTTGAAGCTAAAACTAGTTCGCATATTTGGCCCCTTGCATTTGCCTTCAGCCCTGCCCACTAATGGGACGTGAGCCCCAGGCGCTCCCTCAAAACAGAATTTAGCTTCTGGACTGAATCAGGTTCAACAGTCCTTGCTTCAGGGTCCTGGACCCATCAACCAGTCCCAAACTCCCACCCCTCAAGAATGCTCTGCTTAATTTATTTTTAAATTAAATTAGTTTCAGTCTGGTTTGAACGGGATAGAACAGAATAGTCTCTTGGCTTTTTAAAAAAACCACAGTATCCATTTCTTGCAAGTATCTGTGTTGAAATATTTGATACCAGGGCTGCTGAAGTTTGCTGATGATCTTGGCATGGAAAGCATTCAGACTATTTCACTCGGGCAAGGACAAGGTCCAATTGCAGCCAAAATGATTAATCAGGCAATTGTGGATGGAACATGGGTTGTCCTGCAGAACTGCCACCTTGCAACCAGCTGGATGCCGGCATTAGAAAAAATCTGTGAAGAAGTCATTGTACCTGAGAACACCCATGTCAAATTCAGGTGAGGAATCATAACCCTTACCTTTAATTCAACGTGGCTGGGGTAGGAATCTGGTCACCTCAGCTCTAGTGATGGCAATCCTTTAATCGAAAAAGGCTAAATGGAAAGTTCTTTTAAAAGTCTTTGGGATCGAAAGTGGCAGCGGGGGTGTGAGGAGGATGGAAATTGTGTCAAAACTACCTGCCAATTCACCTTTTCTATCTGTGACACCATCTGTTATCTAATGATCTGGGTCATTTGCATTAATCAAATTGCATTGCATTATTTGTCCCTTGTGATCTCTGGCTGAATTTTGTTTAAGGTAAAAAATATGCCTAGAAACAATGGTTACTGTTGCAGTGAGCAGTGTCTTTTTGCAACAGATTGAGCTGTTTATTTGTTGTTATAAACCCTGAAACTTTCTTCTGGATTTACTAAATTCAGTTTTGGCTGAGGAATCCAATATTTTCCTTAAATTGTGGTCCCCCAGCCGGCCATACAGAAAGATAAGGCTGACATCTGACATCTAAACACACTTAGTAGGGAGTGAGTGCAGTGGGACAAACCAGACTTACTTCCTTCTGTTAGTTTCCTAAATGAAAGGAATTATTTCATAACAGAGTTGCATTCAAATCATGTGGTTAAAAACTAGAATCTGAAATAATACGACACACTGATCTATTTATTCTTTACCTGTCTTAGTTGCCTATCAACCCATATTTATAAGCAATGTACAACTATTAAGTCAACAGGAAATAAAATAAAACACAAAATGGAATAACAAATTGAGTAATACAACAAACAAATCCATTAAAAGGATTGGAATAATTCTTCAGGGGTAAAATACAGTTCTTATTTATTTATCTATTTATTTATTATTTAGTAAGCTTCTATGCTGCCCCATTCACCGAAGCCTCGGGGCGGCTCACAATAAATAAATAATCACAATATAAAAACAATATAATTTGAGTCGACCTGGCCAAAGAATAAAATAAATAATATTAACAATAATAATAATATTTTCTAATGTATAACCTTAGCAAGAACTACAATAGAGTGCAGAACTGGTTATTCCTTGGTCATGTCAAGGAGAAAGGATGTAGTTTTGTCTGTGCCCTACCCTGCTAACTTTCTGTGTGCAGGGTTTTACTGAGTTTTTTTAACAGGGTAGCATTAATCCACTGGAACCCTCACTTTCCATTTGATGCAGTCCATTTAAGACACAGGCTGAACACCTCAGGGAGAACTGGGCCTCTGACGGCTTCGTTACCAAGTTGCACACAAGGCTTTACAACAGCTTTGTATAAACAGCTCACCTGGTGGTTGTGGGCGACCATGAACTCTACCTGCAGGAGAGGGAGGAAGCTGGTGCAGGACCGAGGGATCATTCCATTCCTCAGGCAATTCACAGAGTTTCCAAACTGGCTGCAAAGGAGGAAGGGAAGTGCAACTCTTATCTCTGTCCCTCCTTGACCAGCATGTTTCGTAGAAGGCTTTTAACCAGTCTGGTTGGGGGCTAGTATATTGTATTTCCGCATTGGCTGTAGAAGAACACATTTCTTCTCCCCTGCAGCAAGCATGGATATGCAGGCTATTCGCTGTTTACCAGCCTCTCACTTTTTTTTTTTTTATTGCTGGCTAGTAACTCTGAGGGGTGGTGCAGTGGTTTAAACCGCTGTGCTGCTGGGCTGGTAGATTGAAAGGTCGCTGGTTCGAATCTGCACAACAGGGTGAGTTCCCGTTGCTCCGTCCCAGCTCCTGCCGACCTTGCAGTTCGAAAGCATGCAAATGCAAGTAGATAAAAAGGTACCACTTCACTGGGAAGATAACAGCGTTCTGTGTACTTTGGTATTTAGTCACGCCGGCCACATGACCACAGAGACTGTCTGCGGGCAAACGCTGGCTCCCTCAGCCAGGAAACGGAGATGAGCACCACCCCCGAGAGTCAGGCATGACTGGACTTAATGTCAAGGGGCAACCTTTACCTTTTTTAATAACTCTGATGGATTATTTACAAGGCAGCTTTAGCATTATTCATATGTGGAAATAAATCCGACCCAAAGGTAAGACCTACACTGTCACTTTTATTTTTGCTTTTGCTTTATCAGACTGTGGCTAACCAGTTATCCGTCAGAGAAGTTTCCTGTGAGCATTCTCCAGAATGGAATAAAAATGACCAATGAGCCACCTAAAGGAGTGAGAGCAAACCTCCTTCGATCGTACCTCAACGACCCAATTTCTGACCCTGTGTTCTTTAACAGTTGTGAAAAGAAAGAAATTTGGCAGAAGCTGCTGTTTGGCCTTTGCTTTTTTCATGCTCTTGTACAAGAAAGAAGAAACTTTGGCCCTTTGGGTAAGATTGGGATAACTGTTTCCCAAAGCCTTGTGTTTTGTAAAGCAGCATAGCAGCCACCACACCTTTAAGCCAACTGCAACTCAGTAGAGACAATAGTACTATTTATTGAACCAGCTTCTGCTGATGAAAGTGTGCCAGCCTTCAAGTTTCAAAGAGCTCTTTTTCAACATTGCTGGCAAATGTATAAAGCAGAACTTGAGCAGCGAGCAACTTTCCCATTCTCATTGATGAAAGTTGTCTGCAGACCCTCAGCTCCCATCATGCCTAACCAATTCCATTTATTTATGCATTTAAAACATTTATGTACTGCCTTTCCTCCAGAGAACTTATTTTAAGCTTCTCTGCTCTATCTCCAGTGCTCCTGCATGCCTGATATTTTCCCCTTAATGTGCTGATGATGGCACTCATGTATATGACTTTCTTCGCCAGCTTCTTCTTATCATCTTGGCTTTAAGGGCTAAACCAGAAGTGACATTATCTAATCTGAGTTGGGAGAATGTTGCCTAGTTTTGTGATTCTTCCCTGAAACTGGGTGCTCTTTCAGGAACAAACCTTACAACAGGAAGACTGGGTTTTAATTTAAAATGGGCAGGGGGTATGTGCTAGGGCAGTGGCGGCGAACCTATGGCCCACGTGCCACAGCGGCCACGCAGAGCCCTCTCTGTCGGCACGTGAGCCAAGTCGCCCCAGCAGCGCAGCATCGGATAGCAGCGCACAGAGGGGCCATGCGCATGCTTGGAAAGGAGTAGTGGCGCCAGGCAATGACGTCACTCATTAGCTGCAACTCATCCAAGCTTTCACATGGCCAGTCAGTGCACTGCCAAGATATCTATATATTTGCTTGGACTGGCTGTGAATTGTTTTTTCTAAACTAAAACCTCAGTTTTCAGGTTTTATTTCAGTGTTGGCACTTTGCGATAAAGAAGTGGGTTTTGGGTTGCAGTTGGGGCACTCGGCTTCTAAAAGGTTCTCCATCACTGAGCTAGGGGAAACCACGGAGGAGGGGAAGCTTGCTCGCCACCACTGCAGTGCTGACAGGTGACTACTTTGAAAACGTGAACAAAGTGGTCGGCGGGGGAAGAAGGCCGAACTGATGTTGCTACTCCAGGAATCGCCGAACTGGTTCACACTGCTCCCCACCCCCCATGATAGCCCCAGTTCACCATGTGGAAGGCAGGGTGCTGAACTTCTGTGTTGTTTCAGCCCTACATGTTGTGCTTGCTTTCAAACGACTCCATGCTCTTGCTCCTCAAAATCTGCCTTGTCTTCTTTCTCTACATGCCCCTTCCAGGATGCCTCACTCTGCAGGTACCAATCTCTTCCTTAAATTTAAGACAACCTTCTTTATTTCCTCCTGTTGTTTATTTTCTGCAGCTTGCCATGTCATCCAAAAACGGATAAACTGTGGCTAATCTTAAGTATGGGTAATGGAAACAAGCAAACTTCCAGCCATAGAGTATGAAGCTAGCTTATTTTCACTAACCATTTTTTAAGATCAACCACAGTTTAGAGTCTGGACAAGACAATAAACGGAAGCCACTGGGTGCTCCTTCCCCCCTGTTGGTCACTGCTGTGAGAACACTTTTCCACTCAATGCCTGACTTTCTTCCTTCATTGCTCATGATAAGCCTCTCCTTAAAACAGCCTTTTTCACTCTGACTTGACTCTCCTTTGCATTTAACCCTCCTTTGCTCTTCCTTTTCGCCCTGAGATGTCTGGCATTTGATTAGAAAACTTTACGCACAGGAGCAATGCTTGTTCTGTTTGCGATTAAATTGGAAACATACCACAATAGCATTTTTATCACACCCTTCCTCCAAGGAGCTGGACACTGTGTACCTGGTTCCTGACAACAACATTGAGAGCAGTTTGGCGGGGGGGGGGGGGGGGGAGGGCGCAAATTGGCGCTTGGTCACCCACCAAGTGACAGAGATGAGTGGGGGTTTGGACTGGGCTCCCCTAGGTTCAAGTCCTGCATTCTGCCCACCACACCACACTCCCGCAGGATTTGGAATAGTGTGACGTGAGTTAACCTGGCCCGACAACAGCTTATGTCCCTGATCACGGCACAGCCGCTGCAGCAAAGGTGGTGTCGGCATCCGGTTCCTGCAGCTCAGTTGCATGTTGGTACTAAGCAGATATACAGATGCACACCCCCTTCTGCAATTAAGCCAGGGCTTGCTTTTATCGATAATTTCCTCTCATGTGTCACTCACTAGACCATTTTCCCCACCAAAGTCACCCTGACTAACAGATGGGAGCGTTTTATATGTGATGGTGAACTTGAACCTGCCATTCAGACCTCCTGGGTGGCCACATAGGCAGCTGCTGTTCAAATTAACGAAAAGCTCTTCTGCCCATCAGGATGCAGCTGTTCAGTTCAGAGCTCAGCAATTCTAAAATGACAGCCAGGGGGCCACATAAGTTATATCTCACATTTGCAGCTTGCGTTACCGTCAGACATGAAATATATTCTTGCATTGGAAGAGACGATAATGGAAGATAAATATCTGCCATTTGGCTACAATATTCAGGCAAATGCCCGGACTTTGTTACGGTACCATCTTAGTTGGCTAAGCCCATTAGCTTTGAATGACGTTTTATTGCTTGCCATTGACATTATTTTCAGTTTACTGTACTGCTGCTTTGCTTTTTTATCTGACTTGAACAGGCTGGAACATTCCGTATGAATTCAATGAATCTGATCTTAGAATCAGTATGCGGCAGATCCAAATGTTTCTGAATGAATATGAAGAAATCCCATTTGAAGCCCTAACGTATCTTACAGGTATGGGCACCATGGCTATATTCAGACATATTTTTAAACCATGACTTCACAATATGGGGATGAGCTTTCCTTTGGGCTTGTGCATGGCCACTTCCCCTCTCTTTTAGCGAGGCTGTTACAAAATCAGAAATTTAGACTTCCATTTAAAACGAACTGCAGTGTAGTTTGTGGCCTGACCACTGAAATGTGGTTCATCTCAATCCAGATTAGAGGAAATGAATGAATTTCATAAGCTGTGGAAACTGGCTTGCTTCCACCACCCATAGTTAAGATTACCCACAGTTTGTCTGGTTTTGGACGAAGCAACAAGCTGTAGTAAATAAAAAAGGAAGCAAAAGCTTCCAAACTCCTCCACATGGTCAGAGGAGGCTTGTACGAGTCAGAGACTGGGCTCATGGTTTAGCATAATGTCCAAAAAGCTCACTGGTCTGTAGCATGGAGGAACTCAAACTTCCTCACAAAAAGCCTTTCTCTGTGTGTGAACATCTGTTCAAGTTTTTCCAACCACAACTGAGACCAACAATTCACTTGGTAGCTTTCTCTCTCGTTACCTGCTGAGCAGCTCAAAACAAGATGGAGGTGAGTAGGGCTGAAACTCCACTGCAACCTTCCCGCCCCCTCTTTTGGGAGTGAAGGGAAGTTCTAGGGCCGGGGTGGGCAATTCATTTTCCTATGGGGCCCCATGAGAAACTTTGACAGTTGGTAAGGGCCAGACCAATACTCTTACAGCTCTGCTCAATATATATCTCTATAAAAACAGTAAATGAAACATTACAATGATACAATGAAAATGTGGAGCACAGCACAACGCTATTTAATGAATATTCACAAAAACATTAACATTACATGAAAAGGAATAAATTCAATTTAGCAGATCCGTCAAAATAAAAGCAGTGCAGTTGTATTGCTTGCATCTATATTATGACGATATATATTTGCATTGACTTTTAATTTGCCAGTGACCTCATGTGGGCCAGTCAGGGTCAGCCATCGGGCCGGATGTGGCCCATGGGCCGTACAACGCCCAGGTCTGTTCTAGGGGCTTTAGTCTTCACTGATCTGCTGAGTCAGTCAGTCATCCTTGACCACCTAGTAAGCAGAGCCTTACTTTTGTTCCATCTTACAGGAAATTGGCCCCGGCCTCTGCTTTAAAAAAATATAATATCGTAGTTCTAACATGCTTCTTATATTTCTAGGGGAATGTAACTATGGCGGGAGAGTAACAGATGACAAGGACAGGCGTCTCCTCCTCTCGCTTCTTTCCATTGTGTATTGCAAAGATATAGAAGTACAAGAATTCTATAAGCTGTCCCCTGGGGGAGAATATTATATACCACCCTATGGAACATATCAGGTAAGAAAGGGAATGGTCAGGATAAATGGTGAAGATCACAGTCTGTGCTTTTTTGGGATGGTGTAAACCACACCTTCATACCACAAGTCAATCTCTGACCACAGGCTTATACTCTAAGAAAAACAGCACAAAAGGAAAGGGGGATGGGGAAGGAAGAGGAAAAAAGCCAGCTTGGCCAAGAATTCTTAATGTGGAATGATCGTCCTTCTCAGGATGAACTGGAAAGAATTGCAGAGAAGAGGAACCCAATGGAAAGGCCTTGCTTCCCATCACTCTCTGCTGCAGCCTGACGGAACCCCTTTGTGCGTCTTAACACCCAGTTCTGTTGCCCCTCCTTTCTCTACAGTCTTACATAGATTACTTGAGAAGTCTGCCAATTTCGACCCACCCCGAAGTATTTGGACTCCATGACAACGCGGATATTACTAAGGATAACCAAGAGACCAACCTGCTTTTCAACGGTGTTTTGTTGACTCTGCCTCGCCAGGCAGGGGGAGGAGGCAAGTCGCCACAGGTAACGAAAACAATGCAGTGGTCACAGCTGGAGGTCATAGTAGCCCCGATAGACAGAATGTTGGCTGGGAACTATTGTTACATCTCTGGCTGCTTTGCAAGTGGTTAATCTAAGCTTGCTGACTTTGATAGCAAGAGAATAAAGTTAAAAAAAAAAACACCCCTCTACCGTGGCTGGCCTTATACTGATTTTGATTGGTTATCCTTGACCAGATCTTTAATGCAACTTAGCTTGCCAGTGTGGGAAATTTGCTTTAAGACTGAATTCTGAGTCAGTGTGTTAAAGGGGCATCAACAAATTTAAAAAGCCTATTTGATGAAGAACCATAGGTGAAGAGGCATGTTTAGGAAAGAGCTAAAAAGAAGTGTTATTTTATTTCCTGATTCCAGGAAACAGTTGAAGAATTGGCACAGGACATCCTCTCCAAGCTGCCGCCAGATTTTGACCTAGAAACTGTGATGGAAAAGTATCCTGTACTTTATGAAGAGTCCATGAATACAGTGCTTAGACAAGAACTTATCAGGTTCAATAGGTGGGGTTCTAGACTGGTTTTTTTTAATGCTACAGCATTAATATTAACTGGAAAATGAAGTGGCAGCCACAGGTCTTAAGCTCTCGATGTGTTACATGTTTAGTCTAATGCAGAGCTAGTGTTTAACTGCGCCTCCCATCCTTCCAGCTAGCACAGAGTCATGAGAGTCACAGTTCAACATGTCAGGTTTGGGAAGACTGTTATAATTATGAGATCAATCAGATGATAGTCTAATGAATGCCTTATTGCAAAAATGGCTGCATTTAGACGAGCTTCTCTTGGCTTGATACACCTTTTTTGCCTGCACAAACAGCCTTTCCTTCCTGTTCCGGCATTCCTCAAATGAAATGTTCGAGTTTCTAATATTTGGCAGTGGTGAGGGGAAGGAGGAACATGCCCAGGGAAGGTGACCCATCTTCCTTGAACACCCCACCCCCCAACATGTGGAACCTAGGCAGAATTGATACCAGGAAGCCTGGCGACTCCAAGTCAGTAGGGGCCTGATCCATTGCAGCTTTAAAAGAGCTGTCCGTGGTGTTGGACTCCATCCCCCAAATAGGTTCACCACCATGGACTTCATGGACTGTGCCTATAAAGTTCAGAATAAAAGCTGAAATGGATAAGGAGCTGCACTGACATATTAGTTCCCACTCTGCCCTGCCAGGAACCCTGGTAACAGAACTCTCAGGACTGTCTCCTTTTTCTCTAGGCTTACAGAAGTCGTGCGAAGCAGCCTCATCAACTTAAGGAAAGCCATCAAAGGCCTCGTACTGATGTCTTCAGAGCTCGATGATGTTTTCAACAGCATGTTGGTGGGGAAAGTGCCGAACATGTGGGCAGCCAAGTCCTACCCATCGCTGAAGCCACTGGGGAGTTACATCTCGGACCTACTCATGCGGCTGGTCTTCTTCCAGGTATGCTTCGGGCATTGAATAATCTTTTGCAGCAGTTTCATATAGATGGTAAAGCACTTGGGGGATGAGACAGAAGCCTGGGGGCCACTGCAGGCCAACGGCCATGGAACTGGACACTGATCCCCCAACACCACCTTCTGGCAGAGCCCAAGACAGTGCCCCAAGCCCAAGCCCTGCCCAGTGGGCCCAAAGGCCCGTCCATTGGCAGTTGGAGCATTTCGATCACTGCCATATCGCATCCTGTAGACAAGGAAAGGCAATTTTTTTTTGGACATACATTTGCAAATTGGGCTTAATCAGCCATTGCTGCTGCTGCTTTGTTGTATGAATATTTATTATTGGTGTATTTTCACTATCATTTTTTCTGCTTGTTTTTGTACACCAGTATTGTAGAAAATTCAAATATATAAACATTAAATGACAATGACAGATCAGTGCTCCAGACTAAATTGTGTGCAAACCAAAGATATTTATGTCAAATTTCAATTAACTATGGGATTTTATGATTGGTGAGAACAAGATTTCAAATGCTTTACTGTTAAGTATAATCAAGTCCATTCCAATGGATTCTTCATGATACAAACCTTGAATATGTATATATTTTGAAACAATTACACTCTATTCCTGGGTTTTGCATCTTTAAGCCTTATGTAATTTACAAACCTTGGATTTATTGATATTTTCTGCCAGCCAAATTATGGCACCAGATTGTAATGTTTATACATTTGAATATTGTGCTTTATAGATTGACATTCATTTAACAGCAAAGCTAAGTAATTTGGAATTCCATCATCTCAGGTTCTTTGCCTTTACAACTTTACAGGTAAATATGTGTAGGTTTTTAAAAATTCCATGTAACATGTATATTTGTTTGCCCATTTACCAGGAGTGGATCAAGCATGGACCACCAAACGTATTTTGGATATCGGGTTTTTACTTTACACAGTCTTTCTTGACTGGTGTTTCACAGAACTATGCCAGAAAATACACCATCCCAATAGATCATATTGGATTTGAATTTGAGGTAGAGTATGTGAACTAATTTCATTTCATGCTTAAGTGTTTCTGCCACATAATGTGAGGGCTGTAGGTACCGTAGAGAAAATCACTGCTTTTCCTACATAGGGTATAAAATGTTAGTAAACTGCTACAAGACAGAGGTGTAGAACACACTATTCAGCAACACAAATAGAGGGTGAAGCTTGAAGATAGTTGAAGTGGTAGCCAAAAATGTGGGAAAAGAAAGCCTGTGACTGCCGAGGTCAGCTTTGCTGAGGAAGTAAATTTAGAGGAATGATTCGCTGGTGGAGAGGATGTGTGATTGATGGACAGAGTCAGTGAGGCTGTCCTTGACACGAAAAACAGAGTAGAAGAAAGAAGTAGAGGGAAGCTAGCGGTTGCAGGGATGCCTGGAAGGGCCTCAGAAGAAAATAAAGGGAGATACAAGAGAAGCCATCAACTTACGGACATATGTGGGGAGAGCCCCAAATCAAAGGGGAACGACAGCCCAGTTCTGGAGCATAAGTTCTGCATGCAAAAGGCTCCATATTTGCTTCTCCACTTGAAAGGATCAGGTTACAAATGATGGGAAGGGACCTTTCTCTGCTTGTGCCTTGGGGAACCACCAGTGCTCAGAGTGGACCGTACTGGACTAGATGGACGCAAGTGGGATACATAAACAGCCTCCAGCATTAGGGAAAATTCACCAACGTATAACTTTAGCCGTAGGATTATTTTTTTAGGAACACTTGACTGGAGCAGAGGCAGCGAGAAGAAGTTGCAAGTGGCCTAGACACAAGAAGAGTGGGCTAGTCTTTTCTGATAGGTTCCCAAATTTATCTTCACTCATTTGTCATCAGCACACCTATGATAGCAAGGATGGGGTGTTTGCTCGGTACCCGGAAACAATAAGGCCATCTGTACTGTAAAACTTTGTTGTTGCTAAAGAGGTACCTATCCTTTTCTTTCCCCAAAACATAGATTTCTGAAGCTGCATTCTCTAGAGCCCATTCAGAGCTTTCAAAGGCCAGAAACAGTAGAGGCTGTTTTTCTACTTAATTGATCCCTTAGTGTTGGGAGGTAATAGTAAAATATTAAATAATGGATGGCATATATTAGTGCTGAACTGAAAAAACAAAACAGAAACCACACCCCAGAAACTCAGGGATCGACCATAGTCCTATTTCAAAATCAGCCTTTGGGGAATTGTAGAGAAATGGGTTCAAAATAATAAGTCCAGAGAGCATTACAAACTAAAATATAATGAGCTGATGGAGACACTGGGGGTCGGGTGGAGAGGAGGGACCCTGGGACATAGCTTTTGTGGATGCTGTTTATTCTTTCTGTTTAAGAAGCTTGTCATGAACTGAGAGGGCAGAAAAAAAGCCCTGTGGAAATTCTGGCCATTTCTGGACAACTCTAATCAGGAGGGATAACATTTCCAGTTTCTGTTCTACAGACAGCATTTTTTTGGCCTCTACAAATCTCCGCTAGGCTTCATGGCCAACAAGAATAGGACAGATTTCCAGCCTTGGATGCCAGCAGCGCTGCACAAAATGAGCGTGGGGACGTGCTGGAGACGAAGTGTATCGGGCTTTTCCCTGGTGCATTTCTAATGCTAGGAAAGGAAGTGTAGCTCAGCAGCAAAGTGTATTATCTGCATGCAGAAGGTACTGGGTTGAAATGTTTTCATCTCAGTTTAAAAGGCTGGAAAAGAGGCAAAGATAGAAAATGAGTAGTGAAGGTGCAATAGCAGGAAGATGACTGATGGACGATAGAGATCACGGGTCCACTGAAGCTGATGTGACACAGGAAATCACTGAACACGTCAAGGCCTGGGGCCGGCTGCAGCCTTCCTCGAGCCCCAGTCCAGCTCTCCCAACAGGCACACTCCCTCCCCATGGCCCTGCTCCCTCTTGCATCGCCACCAATCATTTGCTCTTCTCCCCATCCCAAAATTTACAATAACTCTCCTGAATCGCAGGCAGTAAGAGCTGTGAATTAACATAAATCGGTACTTTTGGCCCCACATCTTTTGCCTTCAGGATGAAAAAGCTTCAGCTCCACTGCTAAAAGAAGCACTGAGGCAAAACGGCAGGCAACAGAACGGGAAGGGTTTTTCTTTTCTTTGCATTTTTGTGGCGGAGGTTGGACACGATGAGAACGTGACGCCCACTTCATACCCCCTATTTTGGCCAAATGCCCGTCTTTTTCAGCTTCCAGTAGTGACTTCAAGATAAGCCCTGCAGGATGCATTGTGGTCGATCCTTTATTCCCTAGGATCCAGGCCATGTTCTAATCGCCACTACTTCTTGTTTCCCTGATTAGGTAACGAGGCAGGAGCACAATATGGAGCGGATGCCTGAAGACGGGGCCTACGTTAAGGGGCTTTTTTTGGAAGGAGCCCGGTGGGACAGGGAAATCATGCAGATTGGCGACTCTTTCCCCAAGATCCTGTATGATGTCCTGCCTATCATTTGGCTGAAGCCTGGAGAGAGTGCCAGGTTCTTGCATGAAAGGATCTACTTATGCCCCGTCTACAAAACCAGTGCCAGGAGAGGCACCTTATCTACCACAGGCCATTCCACCAATTATGTCCTCTCCATCGAGCTCCCTTCTGACCTTCCCCAGAAACACTGGATAAATCGGGGTGTAGCAGCACTTTGCCAACTGGATGACTGAACTGTTTACACGAATGCCATAAGCCAGCACTTTCCAATTAAAAGATTTACTCTTTGGAACCGACAGCATTTAATATTATTTAAAGCCACAGCCTTGTTATCAGACCATCTGCTTCCTCTATTGTTTTACAGTCTTTCGGTATTAAGACATGGGGAAGCGGAGCCTTCCTTCCCGCTGCTCTGACAGACATACTTTCGGCGATCCCTTCACTCCCAGGGTGACTCAGGAGGGTGTTCTCTGATGGAGGAAGCAAAAGGGGCTGCTGCCAGATCCTCTGTCGCTGAACCTGGAGAAGGGATTGGAGACTGGAAAGGCTGCAGGAAAAAAGCAACCAAAATTATCAAAAGCCCGGACCAACCTTCCTTCAAGAAGAAAGGTTATAATGTTGGAGGCTTTTGAACTTGGAAAAATGGTCATGAGGGATATGACGCATGGTGTCTTTTCCCTATTTTATAGGGATGGGCAAGGTTTACCATTTCAGTTCCCAAATACTCAATCCTGAATTCATTCTGAACACTGATATTCAAAGTTTGCCTGAATTTCATGGCACATTTTTCTTTACATTTCTCCTAATACATATTTTTGCCTAAGCATTTTTCAAAAGGGATGCAGGTGGCACAGTGGTTTAAACCGCTGTGCTGCTGGGCTGGTTGATCGAAAGGTCGCCAGTTCGAATCTGCACAACGGGGTGAGTTCCTGTTGCTCCGTCCCTGCTCCTGCCAACCTTGCAGTTCAAAAGCATGCAAATGCAAGTAGATGAAAAGGTACCACTTCAGTGGGAAGGTTACAGCGCTCTGTGCACTTCGGTGTTTAGTCATGCTGGCCACATGACCACGGAGACTGTCTGCAGGCAAACGCTGGCTCCCTCGGCCAGGAAACGGAGAGGAGCACCGCCCCCGAGAGTCAGGCATGACTGGACTTAATGTCAAGGGGAAACCTTTACCTTAAGCATTTTTCAGCAAGTAATTTTATAAATATAATGATTTTTAAAATTATTTTTCACTAGTATATATATTTTGTTCTTACACTTCCCTAATATACTCATTTTGGTATAACCTTTTTGACTGTGAGTACAAAATTTGAAAGGTAACCTATGCTTGACTTGTATACTTGTTCAAAAATGCAAAATCAGATAAATTTACAGAATGCAAACTGAAAATCTTTCTTCTCTATCCCTTCTCTCTAGTTGGGCCCATCATCATCATCATAAATAAATGAATATTTATTCTTTTTATACCCCACCTTTTTTTTTTTTTTTTTGCTTCCAAGCAGCTCAAGGTAGCTTTCCTAATTCTCTTCTTCCTCACTCTTATCCTCACAACAACCCTGTGAGGTAGGCTGGGCTGAGGGCCTGTGACTGGCCTAAAGTCACCCAGTGAGCTCCATGGCTGAATGGGACTAGAACCGGATTGTCTGGGTCTCAGCCCCACTCTTAACTCTTAACCCTGGCTTTCCGTGAACGATGAGAGGTTCAGGACAGACAAAAGGCCATGCTTCTTCTTTGTGGTGCATAAACTATGGAATTTTCTGCAACGAGATGGAAGGATGACTGCCTTGGGCAACTTCAGAAGTGGATTAGATACATTTATAGAGGGTGATGAGGTTATCCGTGATTCCTACTCAAAATGGCTATATATTACATAGAGTCTTAAAACCTGTTGATACTGGTTTCTGGGTTTCTGTGGGAAGGTGTAGTTCGGCTTGGGAGCTTCCATTAAGCATCTGCTTGAGCACCGTGGGAACAGAATGCAGGCCTGGGTGAGGCCGTGGCCTGAGCCAGCACCACTCTTGCATTTTTATCGCTTTGTTCTGCTTTCTCCACGTTCTGCCATCCTTGTCCTTACGGACATCTCTTGCTGGTCTCCAGCTTCTGACTGCAATTCCAGAAGGCCTTCTCTGCCCTCGGCCTTCCACCCTCACCACAAATGGTCCCCTTTCTCTTGGTTTCAGAAGGAAAGGATCACTGCTGGAGGTTACTTCCCTCCCTGAAAAAAGAAAAACTGGGCAGACATTTGGACTTACATGCTGATACAAGCTAACCTGTGCTTAGTGCTTCAGGGGAGCACACCTGGCAGGAAGGAAAGCAGTTCGATGAGCGGCAACCTGAAAGGGAGGTCGAGTCAAAGAAGGCACCGACATGCACGCAGCTGGGTGAAAGGCCTGCAGGCCAGCAGCAGAAGACTGCATTGAGGGCATCTGTCTCGGCTCTCATCCCAGTAAGAAGCCCAGCAGCAACCCCAAGAGCCTCTGGCCCCTGCTGACTTGGCTCTTTGCCATCACCTTTCCTCTCTGAGCATGACCATTAACCCACTGTACCTATTTTGGTTCTGTTGCGGAACTGAGATTCCGACTGTATACAAAGTACTCTACCTTCCTGATTTTCTGCTACGTAACCTCTAAGTGGAGCTGTACTATAGCAGAATAAAGCAGAGTCAGAAAATACATTCTTTTTCTTTAACTTTCACGAATACTTCATTTTTGCTGCTGTAAAAAACTGAAAATACTCTTCCAAAAATCAGAAACTAGAATTCCCTTCATCCCTTAACATGGATTATATTGGTTAGGGTTGATGGGAGCTGTAGGCCAAAAGAGCTGGAGGGCCGCCAGTTGCCTGCCCTTAGGCTAGTAGCTTTGATGCCATGTCTTCCTCAGACATTCCCAAGAACAGTCCGGCAGTTTCTTTTTGTAAACAGCGCATGTATAATTTTAAATAAAGCATCATAACAACTTGCAAACACATAAATATACAACTGGTGCTTAAACAGCTTCTTAAAGAGGCAGGAAAATGTGGAAGAAGTTGCAAGAAAAAACAGGTTTGTTCTGGAGGAAAAAAATGCACCACCTCCTGTTTCTAGGTGCATCTGGACACACCTGCTGTTGTGCTATGCCTTCCAATGTTCTCATCTGGAAGTTTTTGTTGACTGCAAAAGTATTTTCTGCTGATGCATTTTTCCCTTGAAAGAGCTCAAAACGTTTTGAAAGTACATATCTCAGGTGAAATAACTTGCAGTTTTCAAGAACATGGCCTTTTCAGGATACGCTGATAAAATTTACAGTTGGAAATACATAACTATTAAACATATAAGAAAGTGAAGTTATATTTTCCCAAGAGTTATCTGTTTTGGAGGCTGCTCAATTCATGGGGGTGCAGGAGTTAGCCAGGGGCATCAAGTGAGGTGTTTGCCTGCAGAACTGAGCTCTGAGCTTATTCCATACCCATTTGGTAATATTGACTCAGCTAATTAGGCTGAGCTGAGCCTTATCAGGCCAGCTCACTCACCCTCTGTATATGCTGCAATATATTGAAGCAATTTAGCCTATTCAGATATGGAACTTAAAGGAGGAGGATTTAAATAACTGCATATCCAAGTGCGGCTGAAGCATAATAGTTAACTTAAGCTGTGAGTGGATCAGCCAAATTTAAGGTGACAAAAGCAGTGACTGACTGGAGACTAATCTGTAATTTCAGTCCTTGGGAGGAATAACTCAAACCTCTCGCAATAGGTTGATTCCAGAAAAGCTGCACAAAAAGACCATTCTGCCTTAGCAGATCTGAATGAGTCTTTGCGTTGCTGCTACGCAGTCATTTCCTGAAAGGGAGGATGAGTACAACTGCTGTGCTTTTATGATGTCAGTGAAAAGGTTCCCAACTTGATTCTGCCTTGTTCACCAAATATCTTGGCTAGCCATGTGCAATGTGGGGAAATTCAGCATTTGATTTCAGGAACAACTGATCCAGCAGCTCATATGTTTGTGACAAGGAGCAATGTGGTCTTCAAAACCAATCTGCCAGTACAATCCTGTACATGCATACCCAGAAGTAGGGATGTGGGTGAAATTTGTGTGGCCCACATTTTAATGTGAACCAACTGAACTTGCACTGTGCGAGCTAATATGCAAACCAGAATGCATTTGTCCTTCCCTTTTCACAGTTCTTTGGATGTAATTCTCCCATAAAACTACAAACATTATGGAAAATCGCATGCCATGAGGCATATATTATGGAAAGGGCTAGCAAAATAACATGCACAGTAATTGAAATTATTTGCAAGAATATGTAGAAAATTGTTTGATTTCTGTGTGGACTTTAAAAGGATACCTATATTGTTACAGGAATGGGATGAGCAAAACAGGTTTGTCCATATGTACTACAAAGTAACCTCTTTGACTTGAGTGGGACTGATTCCCATACAAATATGTATAGGTTTGCAGCTGCAATATCTATTCAGACTGAAGGTCTGACATGAGGGTGACAAGAAGCCTTGGTATTGACAGTAATCACCAGTGCAAAGAGTGATGACTTCATCTATAGCAGTTCTGTATTACTACAAATTCCATTATACTCAGCTAGTATGCTGGCTGGAGATAGTGGGAACTGTAGTCCGGCTCATCCGGAGGGAACCGGTTGAGGTGGTGGAAGGTTCATCGAAAAGCTTAAGCTCCACCAGACTTGCTTCTTGCGTCACATTTACTTGATTACTAATTTCTTTTATTGATGATTCAGCTGTTGACACTTAAGAAATACCAGACAGTTTTAATCATCTTTAGTCATCTCCTGCTTGCAATCAAGTAGGTTCTTAACCTTAAGGAAAGTGTCAGTGAGCACTAACCAGCTTCTTCTTCTTCTTCTTTTTAAACCATTGTGGGCGTGAAACTTATCTGCCAAACAGTCCTGGATGATATTGGCTGTAGCCTGAAACTGGATTATGAAACTTCATCATAAGATTTCAAATAGACTGGCTTGGAAAGCTTTCTCAGCTTTTCCTGATGTCGAAACGCTCGGCCTTGCTGCGGTGCGAGTCCCATTGGAGGCAGATGAATCTACACATGCAGAGACAAAAAAGTAAGTCGGACACGGGAGGATCCAGAGCTGCTCAGTGTATGCACTGCCACCGTTTCTTTGTTCCAGCACTCCCACCTCTCGGTGCATCAGTGCGGGAGGCTGACTGGTGGGCCGTTTGACCGGCTTGTCGGGTAAAGACCTCACGTCAACCTTCCTCAGCCTAGTGTCCTGCAGAGGTTGTGGACTGCAATTCCCAGCATTCCTGAAAGGCCATGCTAGCTGGGACTGATGGGAGTTGAAGTTCAAAACACTGGGAAGGCTTTAGGCTGGGGAAAGCTGACAGAAATCATTTTCAGGATGTATTTCACCACCTGTAAAAGGCCTGTAACAACATACACCGTTTTGTAGCAATTGATGGGGTGGCTGAGGTCTGTAAGCTTTCTGTGTGACTGGAAGGGCAATCATAGGGAAGGACCATTACCGGCATCCTGGAATCCTTCTTGCAGGGACGTTGAGTGCTGAGTGGAGGACATGCCTGGTGATTTGTGAATGACAGGAGGGGGATGCTGAATATCGCTTGACAGTTAAAAACTGGGAACCAATGCTACATACTAATTAAACTTCAAATGAACGTCCTGATTCTCCAAGCCACCATGATACTGAAAGGCCTTCATTTTAATGAGTCTGAAAAATGAGACTGCTTTGAAGATCAGCAACTACAGTCCTGACTCAACCTGACTCATGCACTTAATGCTAATTGCTGCTAGAAAAGCAGCTGCACGTATTCCCCAATTTAAGCTTAGTATATGCGAGATTCTGCTGAGCATAGGAACAAATAATATAAGAATCCTACTTACAGGCCTTGGGTAGGGGATGTGGTAGTGCAGTCCGATCTCGACCCTCGCCTTGCACTCTTCTACGCATTGCTTAATCAGCTCAGGATCTGTTAGCTAGTCAAGCAACACAGAGGAAGACAAACATTAAAGCAGCCAGTTGCCACAAGGTGCTCTGTAATCAATGGGAAAATTAAAACTGCCTCAGAGATTAACTGCTGTAAGCCGTCCTGAGATATTTATATAAAGAATGGCATACAAAAGTTTTTAAACAACAACAACTTGTGTGGGTTCTCCCTCGCCAAGGAAAGGGCACTTTTTAAATTACCTGCTTTCCTGCCAAAGGCAGCTAACAGCAGGACGTTCCAAACAAGTTAGCCACCAATGGAGGAAGGCACGAAACAAACGGTGGCCACACAGCCCATATTCCTGCAGCAGAGGGGAAGGGTGGCTGTGGAGCTCCTTTGCCTGGCGGTGCCCGTCTGAGTCAGCAGGCAAAGTAAGGACGCCCCAATGGGCTTCCACCAAGAGGGTGTTCCGAAGCATCAAACGCAAGGGAAAAGGCTCTGCTTGTCGTACCCACCCACTGCTTTCCAGGCTAGAAGGCGTGGGGACCTCTGCTCCTCTGGTCACCAGACTGTTGGCCCAGCTAGCTCAGCATTCTCTACACCAGAGGTGCAGAACCAAGACTCTGCGAGCCAAAACCCAGCCTTCCAGGCTCCCTAATGAGGCCACCCTCTTTCTCCACTTGCTTGGTGTTGATAGGTGTGAAAGGATGATCTGAAACAAGGGAGTAGAGATTTAAAAAGATAACCAAGAAAATTACTCAGCCCAGAGGAGGGGAGGGGCCAAAATCAGATAGCACAAGGTATGGGGAAACAGGCAGGTAGGCAGGAGGGCCAAATACTTCCTGATTGCTTATTGACAAGCTGGGCAGAACAAAATGAGCCTATTGTAGCCCACCAGGGGCAGGGCTGGATTGGGCAGAAGGGCCGGTGTTGGGGCAGAAAGAGTGTAACTCTTTGGACCCTATTAGCCAATTAGGGGAAAGGAAGAGGGAACAAGCGGCCGGGAGCAGGGTTCAAAAGGGGGGAGCGAACATGTGCTCAGGTGAACAGAAGGATGGGAAGGAAACCGTTCCATTCTGTTCCCTTCATTGCAATAATGTTTTAAAAAGAACTCTCTGCATGCCTGGAATATTTTTCTCTTCCGACGGAAAGGAAAGAGTGTTTTTTAACAGTGTTATCCCAGCTTCTCCACAGTTTCCCCCTCACCATCCTAAAAGACTGAAGTGCCTCCCCTAAAGTTTAGTTACTGGCTGCAAGAGCTCGATGCTAAAAGATGCTGGCGTTTTTGGTACAAGCCTTTTGCTCTGCTCACCACTGAAATATGGTCCCAAGAGTTCCTCTAAAACGGAATTCATCCCGCAGGCTGTAAGAGGCTCAGCAGCCCTTGCTTGTATGGACTAGCAGGGACTTTCCTTGAGAATTTGGCTCTTGTTACACAAACACAAAGGCTTCCTGCTTGCAGCTTTCAAAGGGGAAGGAGACCAATGCACAATGGAGGCAGAGCATACTGGGGTCAAGGCTGGCTGTGGCACTCCAGAACAGAGCAACGCAAACATATAATAAATAAACAAACTCTGCTGAAGTGCCACCGAAATCCTTTGGTCTCAGAATATGGTTAAATACAAGGGATCTCTGCTTTTTCTTCTGGATGGGGTTCTGAGCAATGCTTGACTATGTGTGTACAATTAGTCCAAATCAACTAAATATCTGCTTATCAACAGGTGTGTGAAAGAAGCTCAGAATAGTTCTGGGTTCTAGCATGGAGTAACTAACTGGAGCTATTTTTGTGCTTAACCATTTAGAGTAACCTGTCCTTGCATTAAATTGCAGATCTAATCAAACCAAGCACAACACGGTATGGTAACGCAAGGGTGCACTGTGGGACCACAACTCCCTGGCCACTGGCCATCTGGTAGGGCAGATGGGAGCAGGGAGCCCACCTGCATCTGTAGGACCACACCCAAGGGATACAATATTCCCTAAGGAACTTCTCTCTGCGTCCATGATATTCTCAGCAGTTTGAAGTGTATGATCTGGGAGCCCTCAGAAAGGGTCCTTCATCTACCCATCTATACTGGGTAGAAGTGTTACTTCATAGTATTTGCTCAGGCACAACAAGTCATCTCGATGCGTTATGAGAACAAAGCTTTGAAGAAGGAATTCTTAAAGCAGGGGCAGAACCTTTTTCACTCGGAAGGCCAAGTTCCGTTTCAGAGAACAGCATCCTGGTGGTGAGAGGGTGCAAAATAACACCACAGTTTGGCTGGATGCTCTTTGTGCCACTGTCGGTGCCTTAGGAGAGACATTCCTACCTTTTAGACGTGAAGGAAGAAATATGCCAACACTGGGAACCCACCAAACCATTTGCTAGTGGGGGGAAGGGTGTGTGGCCATTTGGGGAACACTTGGCAGGCTAGATTTGGCTTCTGGACCTGGGGTTCAGCACTTATACCCTAAAACAAGGAATATGTCATGGTTACCCTCCAACTCTGAGAACGTACATTTAAGGAGACATCCTCAGCCCTGTACTTCACTTGCCCAGATGCCGTGGGCGTCTTCTTGTCGAGAAATTCCATGTAGTGAAACGACCAGAGCAGTGCAGGAGAGCTGGTTCTCCCGCCAACCCACTCAGGTGCCGCGCAGGGTGCAGTGGAAGAGAAGCCCTCCCTGTGCGCTCCCTTCTCTACCAGCGTGTCTGGCAGGAGGTTTGCGCAGGTGCCTGCACCCGCTTGCTGAGAGCACCTGGTCTTCGCTGCCATGCTGTCTGTGGAAGGATTTACAGGGTAGGACTGGTCCAGTCAAAGATTTGAAAATGACCCCCATGCGACCCAGCTGATCATCCCAGGCATGAAGACTACTGCAAAGACTACTGAAATGCGAAGACTACTGAACTTTGGGTGGCCAAAATAGAAGGGACAGAGAGAATGCAAATCTCCATAAGATGTATGGACATTGACTTATGCCCACAGGCAACATTTAGAATCAATGCCTAGCATTTAAATGCAAATACAAGATACCTCTCTGAATGGGTGTAACTGGTGTTACACCAGCTGGGCTTCCGCTCTTCCTTCTTAGAGCTCTTTTGCTTTACCTTGGTCCTTCAAACCAAGGACAGACTCCTTACACCCTTTCAGTCAGAGGACTGTCATCTATAAAGCAGGGCCACTCTGCTGTATTACCACATCATGAACACGTGATGAAGCCACTGTTACAAGAACTACAACTTGCTTCCCCATCTGAGGAGCTGAACGTTCTGATTGCAGCCAAGAGTCTAAAAAGAGCCAACAGTCTTTGGATAAAGGACACTTGTGCCTACCAGCATGGATGAAATGGGAGAAAAACCACTCCCTTGCCATTTTGGATGTTAAGGCAGAGCCATAACTATTCAGCAACACAGACAAGCTTGGAAAATACTTACATTTTTATTCTTTTGGAATAGTGTTTTAGCTTCATTTATAATATACTGTTTTTCTTTTATGGTCTCTTCCATCTGTCTGGATGCCGATTGCCATTTTTTGGCTATTCGGAATATCTTGCGGTAAAGGCCAAGAACTTCTTGACGAGTGACTGGCGTCATCTAGTGAAATAGGAACATAACCCATAAACATTTGGGATGAGAAAAAAGGGCCTCCAAACAGATGGGACATTTTCACACACTCTTTAATTAGTTTTCAATATTTTATTGGCTTTCTCAGTGAATGTGAAAGGATCCAAAGTGGCAGAAAACTACTATTATCTGCAAACCAGCCAGAATATTTACTTTTTCATGCACCAAATGAGGAAAAACCCATCCTGCTTATATAAGTAACATGCCACATTATTCACGCTTTATTCAAGCATGCAGAGATCTACGCTTGATCCTCCAGTGCTTAAATTTGGATTTTAAAAAGAGTCGCTTTGGAAATCAGGCTCACCCTCATTTAGAACTACCTTTTCTTGTGCAAACAGACATACTATCAAATGGGGAAAGGGTCTGTGTGAACCAAGCTGTATGTATAGTGAATTAACAAGTTGAGGAGAAGGTCAATTCTTGGTGAAAAATGCAAATTCCATCCCAAGGATCATTGGAAAACAGACAGAAAATAATATGGCAAGTATACAGTTGGTTAAAGAAATGGAAGCAAAGAGTTGGCATTGGGACATTTCTCACAATGAAAGGGTTTAAACAGGATGTGGATTGGGACCCATTTTTAAATCTTGTTCAGTAATGAGCTGGAGTTAGAGTAAGTAGTACAGTGGTTACATTTGCTGATGAACACAAAGGAATTTGCTTCTGAGTAGACATCATTGGAATGCATTGTTGAATTCCTAAAGCTTTAATTAGTGGGGTGGGCAAGGAAGAAATCAACAGAAATTGGGGGCCAAACCCACCATGCACATGTAGGTGTGTTCTCCAGCTGCACAAAGCGAGCACATGATCCGAGCCAACCATCCCATAAAAAGAAAGGCTTGAGTGAAAGCACCCCAGTGCACACATTCATCTTACATCCCAGAACAGAAGGTCTTCTGTTGTCTGGGGCTGCTGATCTTTTTCTGGCAGTGCTTTCTGCGAACTAAAGACTAAGTTTTTGTTGTTTACAAGTTCGGACAGTGATTCTCAACAAAATGAGTATAATGATCCCTTTCTTACCATTGTCATTTGGAAGAAACCGATGGCAAATGTTTAACTAAGACCTAGTAGATTTCAAAGAGCCAGAAGGGATACATGGGCCAGTGGGTGGCCCTTTAGGGCAATTTAGAAACTGGACCGCTTAAAAGAGATTGCTAGTCCTACAGCTGGGGATTGGGGATCTAATTCATCTGGGCAATTTACCCGGCAAAACGGACAGAAGCCACTCCTCTGACAAGGGAACCGTACCATCCTGCTCATGTTCTCTGCTTTGGAGCTGCCCCAACCGTTTGGCCGCAGGAAGTGTGAGGCAGGGGGACCTTTTTCTCTGGAGGGGTACCGTCTTTTGAGGGTGATCTGTCTAGGACTGCCTGCTATTGGCAGGCAGGGCTGAAGGCCTTCCTCGCAATCCTCCTTCCGTTCCCCTCTTTCGCTGGCAAAGAAGCGCTACCCAGGTGTAGAGGCCGTGCCCTGCGTGCATGCAGGTGGTCCCTGTTCAGTCCCTGGTGCCTCCAAGCAAGGCCAGAAGAACAGCTGCCTGATTCCTTGGGGAGTTGCTGCCAGTCAGTGTTGACAATATGGGGCTATATGGCTCAAGGCCTGGCTCCGTATAAGGCACCTTCCTATGATCTTGGCTAGGGAGAGGCAGGAGCCCAGTGCTAGAGCGAATGCTTTGCATGCTGACGTTCTCGCGGTCAGTACGTGGCATCTTCAGGTAGGGCTGGGAAAAACTTCTGAGGCTCTAGAAAGCCAGAGCTGCCAGTTAGTGTTGACAATACTAGGCTAGATGGACCAAGGGTCTGACAAAGTATGAGGGCGCTTTCTGTGTTCTCCACCCAGTGAGGCCCTTGGAAAAGGGGCAAACCCCCCTTGCCAGAGGTCAGCACAGATCAGCTGTGGGACTTACTAGGCTGAGTGCTGCAGGCCACCCGCCTCCGGCCTACGCAAACACTGAGCCATTTGCCACGTGGCCTCTCCACCCTTGCGCTACCTTCGCAGGCCCTTTGCCAGGAGCGATGCCTCCCTTGCTAGGTAAATCAAGTCACGGGTAGGGAGGATCTTGCTTGGAAAACCAAGAGCAGGCCTCGTGATCTAGCAGTCCGTTCGATCCCACGCTGCCTCATTTGTTGTCTTGATGACAATCCTGCAAGTTGGACTAAGCGGTATTGACTGGCTGAACCTAAGTCGCCCAGCAGCCTTTGGAGCTGGAATGAAAAGACGTAACAATGAAGGCAGGAGAGCATGGAGGTTACCGGTGTTCGTGGTGCGACAGCGGGGACAAAAGAGGGGCGTGAGAATGCCAGCTTCTGACTGGTGTTTCTTCAGCAGCTGATGGTCTGCAAGGGCAGCTTCTTTGAGCACCATAAGCGAGGAAGCCAAGTCGACCAGACATCTGCTTATAACAAAAACGGTTAAAGAGCCAAGTTGTGCTTGGGGTGCTTGACAATGCAAGCCTAGTTGCAGGCACCCTGATTGCTCCTTAATGCCCCCCAGTTCAGCCTTCTTCAGCCAGGGGCCTCCCAAATCTGTGGGCCTGCAAAGCCCATCATCCCCAGCTGACATTCCCCCCCCCCCAGTCCACGTGTGGAGAAATTACATTGGTGAGATCAGCAGAGGATAGTCTAGTCTTTGTTCTCTATCCAACATGTAGCACTGCTCTCTGGGCTCCTTTCCAAAATGCTGCTGTTGTATGTCCCGTTTTGTTGTTTTCCAAGCTAAATTGTATCGTTTAGCTGAAGCCATGTCCACAGTTGCTCCACAGCTGGGAAAAGTGACAGATCATAATTCATACTACTCGCACATAACACCTAAAAGTCACTGGGTCAAAATTCATCCTTGGGGAAAGATTAGCGAAGAGAATCCGCAGAGTTGTGGTGGGGCAGCGCAGAATTCCTATAGGGAGCATGAACAGCTGGTACGTGCTTAGCTCCCGTGACACCAAGCGACAGGGCAGTGTGAGGACTCTTTGCCTGGTTAAAGAGATTGCGTCTCCCCAGCGCATGGCACGCATCAAATCTTCAGCTTCCTTGGCAGAAACAGAATTTATCTCCCCTCTTTGGCAACAGTCAGTCTGGTGGAACAGCACAGGGAGTGCCAGATTAACCTTGCTCTGTCTCGTAGATATCAGTGCGTGGTGCTGCTGGTTTCAGCAAAGAAGAGCAGGATACTTAGGTTCCTGAAGTGGGTACGAGTTATTTGGAAAAATACTAAGTCTTGTGGGCTCCAGTTATCTGCACATGGAATTAGGCAAGCTGGCGGGTTGCAATGTACACAGTCTTGGTGAAATCAAATGTCAAGCAATTGCTGGTTGCTCCTGGATCCTGGCCGTGGTGGTCTAAGAAAACCTGGGTGCCTTCCAGACCATTCTGGTGGGCATGGAAGAGCCGAATCTATGAGCCCCTGGCTTGGGAAGGTTGGAGTAAGAGCAGCCCTTCTGGCTTGCACCAGCCGCAGTGGTGTGTGTGTGTGTGTGTGTGTGTGCACGTTTTCTCCCAGTAGCATTGGATGGTGGTAGCGACATGAGTGTCCCTCCCATTGTGGGTTGGGATGTTCTGATGCCATTTCCAGGTGAGGATCATGGTTGGCTCCCTCTTAGGAAAACGGTTTCCTATCCAGTGGTTCCGGAGCCAGCTCTGCCATGTCCTGTTTGGAGGCATCCCACCTGCTAATTCTGGCCGAAAAGCAATTTGGCTGGCCAAGGGGCCCTAACTTAAAGGGAAGAGCACGGGCTTTGCCTGCTGGAGGTCACGGGTTCAAGCCTGGCATCTCCGGGTGGAGCTAGGGAGGAATTCTCCTTGAAGCACTGGCGAGTCAGGCTGAACAATACGGGACAAATAGCTTGACGCAGTCTCAGGCAGCCCCATTTGAGAGGGGCTGAGAGGTTGGCAGAGAGATGCTTCCAAGAGATCCTCACCAACCCCAGCAATAAGCACTGGGGGATGGGAAGGGGGCTGGATTGCTTGGTAAGTGAGCAGCAAAAATAGAAGTGCTATGGTAGAAGTTCTCTGGAGTTGGGATGGGGCAAAAATATCGCAGTGGTCTAAATAGTAATGTCTCTGAGTAATTCTTCTCCACCTTCTCTCTTTTGGAGATAATCTCTGATACACGGTGTGTGTCCCTTTCCACCTCCCACTGCTTTCACTCAGATCAATGCAGCCCATTGAGAAGATGTTCTAAAAATGTTTGTGGTTTGTGGGTTGCAGCTAGAAAACCACAATCACACAACAAGCCCTGCTATCACTTTGTCATCTTTTCCATTTGGAGTTATTTCTTCAAAGCTTAGGCCCCCAGGTTGAGAGAAAGGCATTCATTTTAAGACGGAAGTGCTTTTGCTCTTCTCCTGCCCGCAGAGTTTTGAATGTTGATTTTGCATTTAATTTCATGTTGTTTAAAATGACCCAACTGCTTGCCTCTATATCTAGCTCCCTGCTGTAAGAAGTGGTGGGAAACATATGCTATCACTCCTGGTGCCCACAGATCCCATGAGCCCCAGCCAGGCCAATGGTCAGGGATGCTGGAACTTGTAGTTTACAACATCTGGCAGGCTCCAGGTTGCCTATTCTGGAATTGCAGTCAAGGCTATGTTCAGATTTACAGGTGGACACAATCCACGGAGAGCCTTTCCCATTTGTGACAGCCACTTATAGAGCGATCCTGTGCATATCTATTCAACAGTAAGTCCCAATCTAGGTGTGCAGGATTGCAGCCTGAGTTTTTATGCTTAGGAGAAGGGGGCAATTTGGCTAAAATTGGGTGGAACCAAAGAGTGGAATTTGTGGATTTTGTTTCCAGAATAATTTGAACACCGGGGAATATGCCGCATGTGGGTGCCATTTTCAGCACAACTACCAGCTAGTGTAATTCTACCCTAAGTAAACAGCAGGCCCATTTTTGTAATATTCCATCTCATCTGCTGCAATTGCAATCTTGAGCAAATAGCAAAATCCCCTGGAATGGTGGCACCTATGGCCAAGAAACATCATTTGTTTGATTTCAGAAAGTGGTGAAGACCGCTTAGTGGGAGTAAAGTATGGAAACTTTGGGAGTATTGTTGGTGTAAAGAATACCCTAGAATGCTAGAGGCCAACACTCCTTACTCTGAGGTACTGAGGACTTCCAGTGGGTAGGAAATACTCTTTCTTTGGGTGCAAATTACAGAATGGTAAGCATGAACCCCCTAACTGGTTCACCTTCTTTTTAATGAAAAGTGACTCTGGGAAGCTGCAGCTCTGAGGGAAGGAACCATTGGAGTGCAGGACGCTTCCATCGTTCTTCCTGAGACTGTTCTTCCTATTTAAAAGTTGGACTGAGTTCTTGTGAACAGAGCTCTGTTCATAATACACTCCTGCAAGATGGTAGGAAGAGAGAACTTTAACTGCTTCCTTTTTCTTCCTGCAACCCCTTGAAAAGCTGCTCTGGAGGGGTGGTGATTCCCTAGAATGGTGTGGGAGTTGGCACAGGAAGGCTGTGGGCCAGAACTGGTGAAAATCACGTCCTTCTCCTTTCCTTTCTCCAGCGAGAACCTCTCTGGATCTGAACTCCTTTGGCGATAGCAAAGAGCCTTCTCTTTGCGGGAGGGCTCCAGCAGGGGGAGGTTGTGAAAGCACCCAGAACCCTACACCAGGCCATGGGTTTGGGGGGTGGATTCGATGCAGCCCTTCCATGCGCCTTGTCGGGTCTGGATGACACAAGCAGCAGCACACCACAAGGGAGATGAGGCAAATTGCACAGCATGTGAAGCATGAAAAAGAAGCCACTGTAACTTCTTTTCCCACTCATCACTCCAGCCCAGCATCTCAATCCAGCCCATTGTTCCCGTACGTGCATTTTCATGTGATACGCCATTTGGCCAAAGGAATTCCTTTTTGCCTTATTCTTGTGACTTGATACACATCAGTCCTGATTTATACAGGGAGTTGTTGGATTCTGCCTGCTAACCTTACGAGTAAGGGGTGCTACAGTAGTGGCATGCCATTCACAGGCCAGCACAGTCTTAAGGGCAGAAGGTAACTGCAGAAATCCAACAGATAAAGTGTTTCCTTATCTGTGCAACACCACTGCCTGCAGATGCTGCAATGTTTCAATTTCTGCCAGTGTTTAGACCTTCAAGACACAGGAGTCCCACTAGGAAAGCAGGCGGCAATATAAATTTGCGATCTGGGCGTCAGTTAACAGTCCTTTCGCCCAAGTATAGGCAGGCTCCATCTCATTCAAATAGGACTGTTCTGAGGTCAGGGTCTTCCATCCATCTTGACATTGGTGACGCCATTTTGTCACTACACTCAAGCGCTTTAGCGCCTCCTAGCGGAGAGGGCAGGTACAAGGCATGCGCAGGTCTCCGGGAGGGGCAGCATCACCACCTGGCCTGTACCAATATGCGAAAGGGGTGGACAATCCCAGCCAGCCCCTCCTAGTTCTAAACCGCGTCTCTTTGCCTCCATGAGACACACCTTTCCCCTCTCCCATCTGGTCCCGCTTCATCTTTCCTTTCTCCTTCCTCATCCATTCGCTCCCCTTCTCCAGCCTGCCAAGTAGCACAGCCCAACCCCCGATCGATCCTCGCCCCCTCACTCACCTCAGAAGCCCACGAGAGAGACGCTGAAAAAAAGAGGTCCCTTTTGCCCTTATCCTGCGTGCAGCGTCAAGCGTGCCGGGGCGCGCTTTGCACGTCATCGCGCCGCCAGCTGACTCTCCGCAGAGGCACCACCCCCCGGAAGTGATGCAGGGAGGCTGAGCTCGAGTGGGAGCTTTGGTAAGGAGCTTGTGCGAAAGGGGGGTGGCGGTGCGAGAATTGGACTGTTTCTCTTCCCGTAACCGTTGCGGGTTGGGCAGCGGAGCCTCCCGCGAGTGCCCCCCGGGTCTTCCTCCTCGCGCGGGCGTCTCCGGGGCCGCCTGCCCCTCCCGGAGCCGCTGGCAGCCTGCTCGGCTCCCTTCCTCCTGTGCGGGGAGGCTGCTGCTGCCGCTTCTGCTTCTGCTTCTTCTTTCCCCTCTGGGCTGCCCTCAGCTGGACAGGCAGGAAAAGAGGAAGAAGCGAGGCTGTTTCCCGGGGCAAGGCGCGTCGAGTTCCCTCTCGGGGGGCGAACTGGGGGCTAGCCATGTGTAGCCCTTATCTGCCCCCGCAGGAGAAGTGGGGGCATAGGCGAGGGTGGTGGGAGTGCCCCTCCCTTCCCCCCATTGGGAACATGTAAGCCTCCACTCCCCCACCCCATCGCGGCCCCCCAAAGAAGGTCCCATTCTTCTTTTCCTCCTTTCTCAAGAAGGTGAGTTCGTTGGAATCTCTGGTCAGTTTTTGCGGGGGTGGGGTGGGAAAGGCGCGTTCCCCTTCCTCAGGCTAGACGCAGGCTTACAGTTCTGCCGTCGGAGGGATTGCTCAAAAGGAAGAGGTGCGACCTTCCAAGGGGCTTGCTTCCAAGTAAGTGTGTGGGTTTGCAGACCTTTAATGCGTGACTTCAAGCTGTAGATGGCAGGATAGGAGCTTTAGCTTCAACTACCCTGGTGGGGGGGGGGGCGGGCGGGTTGGACAGGGGTAGTTCCAGCGCTAATGAAATAATATATCCTGCCTGCTTCACTCACACGCACTATTATTTTTCATTTGAATGCTTTCTCCCAGCCACTCTTAATCCTTCAGGCTGGATGTTAAAGATCCATGTAGAAGCCAACCCTCTGCATGTTTATGCAGAAGGAAGCGCCTCTCAGCTCAAAGGGGTTTACTGCTAAGCAAGTCGATGTAGGATTGCAGCTGTTTAATGTGTGACTCGCAGTGGTGGGGGTGCAGCTTTCGGGTCAGTGACCCATGTGTGCTAAGAGGTGGGTGAGTAAAAAAGATTGAACATACTTAAACAGATTGCACACTCCCTTCTTAGAAATTTTTGAAATGTGCCATCATCTGATTTTTTTCCCCCCTGAATTTGTGACAGGAGGTTTTCCTGCCTTCTACAGTCAAATAAATACTAATGTTCTTTGGAGGCAGTACTCATTTGATCGAGCCATTCTGCCTTGCATGCGGTGATGTGCTTAAACTGATTCTCCTTCCTTCATTATCTGTCTGTACAGGGAACTATTATAATCTGCATCAATGAGCATAGAACTCGGAGATAGTGGCTTTTGATCTAGATTACTGTTTTCAAGGGAGTGGGGGACTGATCCTGCGCTCTCTCCTCACCTCCCTCTCCCAAGTGGGAACATTTACAACTTTTTCCCACCACAAGTAAAAGGTATCAGCATCCTAGACAGTTCATGGTCAAAGGTTGGTTGGTTGGACTCTGGTCACAGTGCATCATTTTAGGGATGCTTCCATGTCCAAGGTTGCATCCTGCTCTCTCATTTGTATCACCAAGTGAACAAACAGTATGAGAAACAGCCTGCTCTGTGAGGTGGGTCTTTGGTCTGAATGAACTGGGCTGTTGCTATTTTCTCCTGTATCTGTCACTCATCCAGGGCAGCTTCTGTTGAAGCTTTGAAGGACTCGCATACTGCCATTTTATGTGAATAAAAAAGTGGTGCTCCTTTCTATACGTACATATATGCACACTTTCAGTAATATAGGTATTAAAAACTGTTAGTTTTTGAGAGTGGCAAACCTGGTGGTGATAGTTTTTGTTTGGTATTAATGATTGTAGAGTCCAGGGGCAGAATTAGACTGTGTGCAAGCTTGTTTTGCCATATTTAGCCTTGGATGTTAAGGGGTAGGGGGGATGAGAACACTTTCAAGCTTTTGCAGCACTTGCTGATTCCTCTGGTCCAGGTAAAGAATCCAGCTATTTTGAAGCGGAGGGGAGCTTGGGATGGCTGTCAGAGATAACTTTGGGGTCTGACAGATACAGGGATAACTGTGAAACTGATCTACTGCTTTATTGAAACAAGAAGTGGGTTTTCTCTTAACTGTAGAAAATGTGTTCCCTTTTTTGTTTTATTTGGCTGTATAGGAAACGTGCAAACAAAATGCCACATTCCAGTGTGGTTTGCTTTTCCAGTCATTATTCATATTCTCTTCCTATCTGAAGGGTGTGGAGGCAGCTTTTTAAAAAGCATAACGCCCTGCCCCCGAGGGGTTTAGTGTTTACGTGAGCAATGAGTTCAGAGGTGTGTTTTTTCCTGAACTGGGAATATTCTTTTTAGTAAAAATTGTACCACCTTTCTAATATCCTAAATTCTCTGTAAAGTGGATTTCTTTGTTTTTAAAATACTGGCCATGTAGCTGGGCAGTGGCTGAGCAGATCATTCCAGCATGCATCTTACTGATTTTGATTTAAGTCCAACCACTGGATTTCTGTTTTTGGCAAATTTTATAAGGGGGTCTTTCTACTATGGGGGAGTTACGATGCTTATCAATAGGAAGTACAGATTGTCTTAAAATGTATTTTAGGCCATTTAAAATTGAATATTTTAAAGTCTTGCTGCAAGTTAATCATTTTTCTGCAGGGTAATAGAAAAGCGCTTGTTTAATGAGAATTGTTACAAGCGTGGTAAAGCAAACATTAACTGGAAGTTGTTTCCTTTTACGGCTACCATTGAGAAGAATGTTTGTACTCTTTGGGCAGTTGGACTAAAACAATTGATGCTCTGTCTCTTCCAGTATGGCTTTGGACTCCAGTGGGATGCCTAGCCCTTAAATTCTTTGAATATACTTTAGAACCGCAGTTTTCCTCTGAAGTTCATGGGAGCTTTTCTTTGCTTCCTCAGTTGCTTGGCTGTATTACTCAACAACTGGCCATATGAAGGTTGCCCCTTTGCTCTAAGAAAGAACTCCAGGCTTATCTTAAGATTCAGAGCTGATTTCTTCTTCAGCGTGGTCTACCAGTTGACATTTCCTTCTGCCTCCTCTCTCTTCCTTCTCATACTGGGCAGCTTCAGTAATGAGTGGATGCTTAGCAATTTGTGTCATGCAATCAGGAAAGGGCTGGCAGCTTTGGAGATGCATCCCAACCTCCAGGGCTAGCGAAACTCGCATATATTAGCTGCATGTAATTACCATAATTTGTAGGTCATTTTCACAGATGTGCTGGGTCCCCAGCTGCAACAGATAAATGCGTTGCACTTCTGCGAGACTCGTGGTTTTAAATTGTTAACCCCAAATATGTAAAAGAAAATTAAAATTAAAAATCGGTTGGATCCGAATGGGTTTGGGAAACTGTAAGGCTTTAAACAACCAAGACTTTCTCCCTCCCTGAACCTTTAGCTGGACACCAAAGCTCAGCTAGCTAGATGTCACTAACACTATTTTTGGTGATGGGGTGGATTCTGATGTTCTCTGTCAAATCTACTGGTTGTCCTTATTTTATTTGAAGAAATGTTCTTCTGGAAGACTTATGGGCATGGTGAAAACTCGGTCCTGATGTCCTGTGCTGCTTCCTTTCTGCTTTGTCATGTGACCAGCACCATTCCCAGGCGGCCCTAGACCTGCTCAGTTGGCAGGCATTCATAGCACGTTTGTGATCCCCTTTTCTCCTGAGCACAACCCACCTTCAAATTTCTATCTGTGCTTTACTCATAGCATATATAAGCCACCCTATAACAAAAAGCTCACAGGGAAGCTTATGAGATGAAATCCAGCTTGAAAGTTTGGATAAAAGGATAAAATATGGTGCAGCATAAAGCTTGAAGTGGAGAAGCAAAAGTAGACTAAAGTAGATTTAAGAAGCTGAAGCAGCTTGGGGAACAATGGACAGAAAAATGAAGGCGAATTGCTAAGGTTTGTGGCTGTTGCAGTTTGGGTTTTTTTAAGGACCTGGAAGGGGAGCTGCATGGGATCCCAAGCTGTAACATCATCGAGTTGCTCACCCCTGGTTAAACAATCTCTTGGTTTGAGTTTGGCCAAGCATTTTTTCTCCATCAAGGAATGCCACAGTTTATCCAAACCTAGCCATGTTGAGTAGCTAGTGCTTGAATACCGATTCAGAACAGTGCTTGAATACTGATACCCACTGGAATTCAGCAGGAGTTTAATTCCAGGAATGGAACACCTCAGCCTTCAGGTCCCACTCTGGCAATGTGGGCCTCTCCAGCTGGCCGGGCGCCTTTCCACTAGCCCCGCCCCTTTTCTCTGACCACCAATCGTTGATTTCCTGGCTTAGTGCCTTTCCCTAACCCCCATTCTCAAAGGCTTTCCTACTGGCATTAAGAACTTAAGTCAGAAAATGTTGGCATGTTTGGTCCAGCACACCGCTGGGAGGCAGCCCCCCAAATCTTCTCTGAAATGGATTTTGGGTCTTGAGCTGAAAGAGGTGCTGCACCCGTTTTATAGCTTGCCGGGAGAGAAAGAGTGGTGGGTTGGGGTTGGGGTTGGCGTGCACCCTGCTGAAGCTGGGTTGGTGGGACTGGTAACTGGGTTGGTTACCAGAGGATATGGTTCTTTCCTGGTTGTGTACAGTTTACTCTGAATCTGTCGAACACCAGTTTTAAAAATGACTGTTATGAAACATTAGGATCTGGACCTTGGGAGTGCCCAGCTGAGCTCTGAGGAATGGGATCGCTGCTCGTGCATTCATGATTTGCGCACTGCCTGAGGGAGAAGAGGCGCCCTCGGAATATCCTAACAAAAAAAGAATTGGGTATGTATGCAGGGATTCGGGCTGCCGCAACTACAGGGCCACATGGCTCCATGAGAGACTTGGGGTGCTGGGGAGGAGGACAGATTTGCTCAGCGGTGTGGCGGGTTCAAGCTGTGAAGCACTGCAAGGGGAAGAAGGAGCCGTCCTTCCAGCCCAGAGCGTGGACCAGCTAACCAGCTCACATTCGCTTGGTTCTTGCTGCAAGCTCATCTGCTCTATGGGCCCCTTGCCATGCTAGAAAGTTTTCAGAACATGGTTGGTTGGTGAATTCCCAAGATTTTTTCTAGCGGGCCGCTACTCAACTACTCGGGTGTTACTTGCTGCAAACAGCACCGGGGGGGCGGGGGGGACAGGGAAGGCAGCAGGTGGGGAGAGGCGTAAGTCCCCTCTACCTGCACGGTGCTCCCCACCTTAGGAGCACAGGAGCTACGCTAGGTCAGGGTGGGGGTCCATCTAGCCCATCATCCTGTTCACAGCGGGTACCCTGTGCCTGTGAAAAACATGCAGGTAGGACCTGAGTGTGCAGCAGCACCATCCTCAGGTTTCCCAGCTGCTTGCATCTAGAGACATACTGCTTTTACTGTCTCTGATGCTGTGGAGGTAGCACCAGGCCTGTTTGCCATTGATGGCCTTGAACTCCCAGCCACGGCTGGAGAACACGAAAACACCCCAAACCCTTGGTCACATCTCTAAGCTTGCAACTGCGAACCTGCTTTTATTATGATAACACGTAGTTCCCCCCTGAGAATCTGGGGAGAATTTGGGTTTATATATCTAGGTTATTAGTTTCTTTCCTCTTTGAATGCCTCTTGTACTATTCCCTGATTGGGTCGTGGATTTTCTGAGGTGGAAATCAATTGAGGAAAACCTGAACTGGAACATTTTCATTTTTCATACTTGCAAAAATGTATAAAATGTATGAAGATGTTCATACCCTTACCCTGTGTGGTCAAGTTTTTGGACTGGGGTTGGAGTGGGAATTGTGTTTCAAATGAATTCGAAGTATTACTTTGGAAGGCTTTTTTTCCCCCCCAAATAAATGCACACATTTTAAGAAACAGCATCTCAAGTAGCATAGACTTCCCTTGCATTGTTAAAATTTTAAGAAAAAAAAAACAATTGAAGCATTGGAAACTGCTAGTGTGCTAATTTTAGCGCATCCCAAGAGTTGTCTTTGGAACAAAGTTAATTACGAACTAGTTACTAGCCAATTTGGTGTTGTTGTTTGCTGCTTTTGTGTCTTGATGTACCCAAAGTAGCTTATGATACACTCAAAGCAATAGGCACATCATTACAATAAGTCTACTACCAATTCATTTCACATTATGTAGCAGTTGAAATACTTTGGTTTTAAAGCAGGTTATTTTAATAATACATGAATCAGTTGAAGTGTTGAACTGGGGCTGGGTTCTAATCCCTGTTCTCCATTCACTGGAGATTTAAACTTACTGGGTGACTTTTTTCCAGTTGCTGATTTTCCATTAGTTTGCCTTACAAGATGGTTGTGAAGATAAAATAGAGGTGGGCAGAACCATTTAAGCCTCCTTGTGTTCACACCAGGGGTTGGGAGAAGCAGAATAGGATATTGGAGGTTCATTACCAGATGATTTACCAAGAGCAGTCGCTTGTTTTTATTACTCATTAAAAGCGTACAAGCCAGAATTGGATATGATCAAACTTTCCAGAATGCTTGGGTAACACTCGACAATATAATCGGCAGTCTGTTCTTGCACAGTGCCAAGTCCAGGGAATCGCAGCCAGACTTTTTACAATGTAGTGTTGTGAGCAGAAGCATCGAAACCATCTTTCTTAGGGGTAGCAGCACAGAAGAATCTGCATTAAGGTTGAGTGTTCCCCAAACTCTGAAAAATAAAAAATGGGTATAGCTTTAGAGATGACCAGGTCTCTCACTGGGCTCTTCCCTTTCTTCAGAGGAAAAGAGCATCACATGCATTCCCTTACCTTGTTCTTCAGTAGATGAGCATGAGTTGCAAAGCACAAAGTCATTTTCTTCCCTGAGCTTCTGGTTGCCCAACACTATCCAGCTGCTCTGCAGCAGCTGGCCTCTGCATCCGCTCCCCCTTTTCTGGTGTAGTCTCTATAGATTCCAAAGGAGGTAAGGACGGGTTCACTTAGATACCAAGTTTCTCTGCTGGTGAATTGGAGCTTGCTTGCTGTTTGTTTGTTCAGGGAACTTCTATGCCGCCCCATTTGCCGAAGCTTCCGGGCGGCTCACAAACATAAATAAATAACATCATATCAAACAATATAAATTAACAGTATAAATTAATATACACAGCTTTCGCTGTGTTGTATCCATTTGCTATGTTATTAATCAATTTGACGAAGCAGCTCACTTATATGAAAGGGATGATCGTCAGTGGAAAATTCTCCAAAATGTTTTTCCAATACAGAAAACTCTGTGCCATACCTTGCTGTTGGTAGTAGAGAGAGCCGGGGGGGGGGGGGGGGGGGGGCAGGGCCTCTGAATCTTTGATGTAGCCAGCCTCCTGAAGTCAATAAGTACAAGTGTTTTCGGTCTTCCCTGCTGTAGCTAAGGGCAAGTCCCTGTGGATTTATTGTGTTGAGAGAGCCTGTGGCAATTTTGCTTCAGGTGTGCCGTTCTAATAGTTACAGTCTCCTCGGGCCTCGCAATTGCTTTGCTGAGCTGATTCCTCTTGGCACACTTCCAGGGGGCACTGGTGGGCAGCAGAATCCCACAGGAAGGTACGAAGATGCTGCATACAGAGTCTGACCCCTGGTCCATCTAGCCCAATATTGTTAGCACTGACTGGCAGCAGGTGCGTTCCAAGATCTCAGGCAGGTGCTTTTCTTACCTGGCTTGAGGTGCCAGGAATGAACTTGCAGTAGGGCCTCTGTGATATCAGTCTTATGGTATGTAGCAGTAAGTTTTCTGGTAGTGTTCCCTGTGTGTATATAAAGGCTTCCATATAGCAGCCTATGATGAAAACTCAGCACACGTATTAGGGAAGGATTTGCCCTTGTTTCAAATATGGAGCAAAGCAAGCCTGCAGAAAGAGTCAAAAATGGGTTTATGTGTCCCCAGAGGAGGCTGAGTTGCTCTGGTCATTCTTGGCTTTGTTGTTCAAAAGGGGCCGTGCTTGATCAGCCAAGTGGTCTTTGCGGAAGGAGGTGGTCACTGTTTCCTGCTAACCAACTTGTCAGATGTAATGTCGGCTTTTTCCAGTTGAGAATTTCATCGTGACTCAGGCTTGGTGCTGTATTTCTCAGAGATTGTGATGTAAGAATTTCATCTTTGGTAACTTTCAAATCACAACAGCTACAGTTCAGTGCTCTTTTTTCATCAGTGGATAGAAGTTTATGCTCTTCTTGTCTTCTGCCTAGGCATGTGAACAAACCAATAAGTATATAAGTTGAAAAATAAATGTATCAAATAAGCAGGTATATTTGTTGAAGGAACAGAACTACCAGAACCGCAAGAAATTACTGTGAATGAGTCGATAGCATTGGAGAAATTAATTGGCATGAGGAAAAAAGGTGCAAATATAGTTAACTTCAAATTAAAAGTTGAAGTTTTAAAACCTAATGAAATGATAAGCAGGAAAGCATTTTTCATTTAGCTTTTACTCCCAGTCAGTCTGTCTACATTTGCCAAAGGCTATACCTTTCCCCCTGAGGCTGCTGCAAAGGATGGCATATACCTGTTTTTATTAAATTAAATTAAAATTAAGTCTGAAAATGCAAACTCTTTCTACCCAGCTTCAATTCGTGGAAAGTCCAGTGAGCTTGCAACCTGATTGGGGAAAACAACGTCCATGCCTGTTTGTCTCCTGGCTGCCATGATTCTTATGGACACATGGATGCAGAAGATTCTGTAGTCTTGCTTTGTCTCAAGGATTTGGCTAAAGCAATCGGAGCATCCCTGAACGAAAACCGTGGTGACAGTAACCTCCAAGGTGTGTAGAGATGGCACGGTGTCTTTCTGCCAAGCCCAGCATTGTGCGCAGTGATGGCGAAGGCGCTTACCTTTGTTGCAGGTAGCTTTGCCTGACTTGTTCTCTGCAGAACCTTTGGGATGTAGAACCTTTCTGACTTCAGCGTAACGAAGTGTTTCAGACAGGGCTTGGAGTCCAGCAGCTCCAGATCCCACCAGACTTCACTGGTATGGCTGAAGGTTGTGGAGGAATGAAAAGCGTGGTAATTGGGCAGTATCTGGGCAACCACAGGTAGCCCATCCCATGATACAAGGTGCAGGAACTCAGCAAGCTCTCAGGTGGGGCTCTGAGGCTCGGCTCGGCATGTGGGCCTCAATTTGTGGTGCTTCGTCCAATGCTCCGGACAGGCTGGTGATGATGCTCACGTGTGGCTCCCGCCTCCTCTTGCCTCTTTGTCCAGAAACAGTGTCCTCTACCCCCACCACCTTAGAAAAGAAAGAAAAAGCCCAAGCACCAAACCTGGCAAGTTAGGAGCAGCGGTTTCATCACACGCTCACCTGTTTTAGGTCAAAGGCAGTGTGTGCTTCATGCTTTGTTAGGGACCTTTTGATGTGGCTACAATCCTGTGCTCATCTTTCCAGCCAGGGACCACTGCTTCCTTTGTCGAGCTCTGGAGAAGACGGCTGGGCTTGTAGAAGCACAACATGTGTCCTGCTCACTGTGTGTGTGTGTGTGTGTGTGTGTGTGTGTGTGTGTGTGTGTGCGCGCGCGCGTGCCATGTTGGGCTGGCAATCCTGAGAGTGATGGTCCAGTGCATCCGGAGGGGGCAGATGGAGGAAGGCCCTTGCCCGTTATCGCCACGTCCCATTCGAATAGACCTCTTAGTGACGTGCTTTCCCTGACTGTCTTTGAGCCGGAGCTCTTGCCAGCTGGGGTCCCTGAACATCTTAAAACAGAGGGTGCCGGCGGGTGGTGCATGGCCAGTTTGGGAAGGAAAAGCCCTCAAAATCCCGGTTGCGGAACTGCTAGCTGAGCTTTTGCCTGAGAGTTGCTCTGTGCCTTGAGGGTTGTACAGGGGTATATTGTTCAGCAGGGCGCATGTGCACACACACACGGGTGCCGGAACCGAGAACCAGAGCACAATGCAGGCTAATTGACTACCGGGCTAGATTGAGAGGAGTGGTGTTCAAATCCCACCTCTGCCATGAAGTTAACGCGCAGCCAAATCATGGTTGGGAGGTGGTGCTTCATTTGTAAAATAATGCTCTCAGGGCGGACAAATAAAGTCAGCAGATTATAAAGCACTTTGCAGATTACAAGTGCCTTGGGAATTATTTTATGGTCACAGAAAACTATTCACGTTCTCGTGGGCTTAATATATAGAGCATCAGAAGACAACCTCGTGTCTGAGCTGGAAAAGCCCCTGCCCCGTGCCTGTGCCTTAAAATCTGATGTGGGCACCGGGAAATCTGCCAGGCAAAATGTATGTTCTTGCTTTAATATTGCCTTTTCATTCAAGGCAGTGTAATATTGCCTTGAGTGGAAAGGAAATATTACACTGGCTAGATCTTTTGATGCCCCCCGCCCCCCCCCCAAACTCATTCTCGTGAACTTTGGCTGCAGTTGCAGCTGCAGAGCAAAGTGCTAGGCAGGGCTCTTTGCTGCTGGCTTTCTCACCTTTCATCGCAGGTGGGGTGTTAACCTGTCTTCTGGTAGGTGTCACCTCCCCCCCTTTTTAAGCGCTGGCCTTTAGGTCTTTGTGGCATATCTGCTCCAGTGACAAGCGTTAATTGTGTGCTTACTGGTAGTCTATTCTTCCAGGGATGGCGCAGTAGCTCAAAACAACGGTAATTGCATAGCGACTCATATTAGCATATGTTTTTATCTGGTGCAGAGCCAAGTGCGATTTGCTCTTTTTCAAAAAGCAGGCCGCTGGCAGGGAGGGTGTTTCAGATCAGGCAGTGAACACATTCGGAAAAATCCAATGGAACCACCACATGTTGTCTCAACAGCCAGCGCTGCTTCAGGCCCCAAAGATATTTAAAGAACTCTTAATGTCTGAACTGTGTCAGGTGTAACACCACTGCAGAATTGGAGGCTGTATGTGCAGGAGGGTTGTTTTCGGCTTTCAGAGGACTGTGCAAAGTTGCCTGGGAAAGGCGGATGAGTTTGGATTCCGGTTTGGTGGATTTCGTGCCCATAGTTTCCTTTCCTCAAAGGTTACTTGCCAAGGAAAGGCCCCAGGTGCCTCTGGCATTTGATCCTGGGCTGTGGAGAAAGGCAAGCTCATTGGGGTGATTGGGTTCTAGAGTGCTCAAAAGAAGTGTCAAAAGACTGAGAAGACAGGATAGCAGAGTAGAAGGGTTGGAAAGGGGGAGAGGAGCTGGCCAGAAAGCTTGACGGCAGAACGTTGCTCGCTGGGTGGGGGAGCTCAGTCACAAATGGGTGACTTCCTTTAGTAGGTTCTTGAGTTCGCTGGACTGCCTCTAGGTCCCAGCCCTGGATGAAGCCAGCAGGATGATCAGGAGCTGGTGGGAGGAATTAGCCCATCCAGCCATTGTAGGAAGGAGACGGGGCTGGAGCTGCGGAGTCACATGAAAATCCAGCCAGCAGCCTCCTCTGCACTCTGCACAGAGCGGGCACCCATGCATTGCCCACAGCATGCTGCATGTTTTCTTGTGAAGCGTGCCCAGGCGCACACTGAGAACTGCTGCTTTCCTGCATCCCCAACTCTTAAAAAGTGTTTAAAACTGGCCTGTGTGAGGGACACCCAGTGATGCATCCTTGTGTTGGAAGAGTTGTCCGCCGAGGTGCCTTATGCATACCGCGCTCTGCAAGTGGAGAATATGGTGCCCTGAGAGCTTTGGAGGGCACCACGTGTGTCCCTGCATCAGTGTATAATCTCACACAGGTATGCAGCCTTCCTGGCATCTCAGGTCTAGCACGGCCACACAGCAGTATCAGGGCTTGCAGAGGAGAAATGGGGAGGACCTTGGGCAAGCGTCTGGTCTTGATGGGCCCACCACTTGCTCTCTCTTTCCTCATTCTTCTGATTCGGTTCAGCTCATGGCTCTTTCTCCCCACACTCAGCCGCTTCTCTGTTGTGTTCTGTGGAAACAGTGCAACTGGCCAGAGACTGTACAAATCCACTTATGCAAAACCTCTGGGATATGCATAATTTATTCTGAGCCTGGGATTTGGATTTCCAAGGCATGGGCGGTGGGCCAGCCTTGACACAATGAAAGGGCTTTGGGGTGGGGGGAGAGACCGACCACTGGGTCGACTGGAGAAGTCAGTGGAGACGTGCTCTGTCTGGGAAGGGTCTCGGTGTTTGTGCAGATGAAAAGGAATTATTTAGCTCCTGGAATATTGTGACACAAGGAAAGAGATCCTGTAGTGCAGCTGACGCAGGAGCAAAATAATTGCTATTCCACTGTCCAGATCTACATTTCAAAAGAAATGTTTTGAATTGCTCATATAAAAGGTTGCATGTGGTGGGAGCTGGGTAACACCCTTCCCTCCCTAGAAGCCCTCCAGACATTTGCAACCACAGCTCCTGTTGGATTCCAACAGCATGGCTGGGGATGATAGGAGCTGTAGGCGAAAATGTTTGGGCAGCTCAAGGATGAGGAATCCTGTAGGACCTAATTCCCTTTGCTTCCCTGTCTGCATTCACAGTCTTGGTTGAGAAATTGTCATAACTGAGAGGTCAGCTTCCTCATTCCCTGAACTCATGGCTCAGTGACCATCTCCTCTCCGTGTGTTTTCGGAAGTGGAATCGCTAGAGAACTTGGCTGAAGTACATACTAATGTATCCCATCTTCCTAAGCTTAGAACGGCGCATGTGGATTTCTGTCCTCTCTGATTATTATTTTTTTTAATCATGGCAGTCCTGTGAGGTAGAAGCGCCTGAGAGAGGTGACTTCTCTAATAGCCATGACTATAGTGAGCTCCATGGCTGAGCAGGGATTTCATGAGGTCCTTCAATTCTTTCTGCCAGGGCTGCTGTGCTTAATTGGCTGCATTAATCAGTGCTTAAGGGATTGAAAAAGGTATCCCTGATTCTCATCAGGCTGCAGCTTCTTTCTAAGTGTATTTTTGATGCAAGAGCTTAGCAAGCTGTAGATGGCTAACACCATCTCAAAGGAGGCCTTCCCTTTTTCATAGTGATGTGAGTTTTTTGGACCTTTCTGAATTCGCAAATGTTTTGGGGCGAAAATGGTATGCAGACAAACTGACCCCATTTACATATGGCAATTTGCATTGGACAATTTTCTGGTGTTGTACAGAGTGATCTAACTTCTATATATTCGAGTTGCATTTAAAATGTGACAAGGGTGTTTTCTGAGAGGGCTGCCCAACACTACCAATCAGAAGGTGTCTTACAATAATTCAGCCTTTTTTCCTAATGGAGGAAGACGCAAGTGGTGGGGAAGCACAGGAGAAGACTAATTTAAAGATGGTGAGCACTGTCCCCTACCCAGTTCTGTGAATGAGGCAAGGATGCTGCTGCTGTAGGCGTCTTGTGTGGAAGCTTCCCCCAGCTGAAAAGAAATTGAATTCTGTTAGGTTCTTCTACCCAACACACTAAGTGTTTCACCTGAAATAGTTTAGGGGAAACGTGTGATTTCAGCCTTAATATTATGTAGATTTTTCCTAGACTGTTTGCAAAAAACTTGAAGCTGGAACAAGCAGCTTGTGGCTCATTAGATATTCTTGGAGCACAGGATGGAACATTGATCAGCATTGGCTATTCTGATTAGGGCTGATGGGTGTCCTAGTCTGTCTTGGAGCTAATATGTCCCCCATCCATGGTTATTAGGACAATAGCACCTTGTTTAAATGTAAGGAGAAAAATTGTACTGAAAATAGTTGACTCACTTTAGATTCGCAACCTGGAGAGAACTGTGCATGCCAGGGTGACGTGGATTCCCACCGAGTTCACTTTCACTTTAGTATTCATTAGTTTGATTTTGCACTGAGGCATGTATGCATAGATGCGTTTCAACACAGATGCACGT